GACTGACTGGCTGGGTGACTGACTGGCTGGGTGACTGACTGGTTGGGTGTCTGACTGTCTGGGTGTCTAACTGTCTGGGTGTCTGACTGTCTGGGTGACTGACTGGCTGGGTGTCTGACTGACTGGTTGACTGACTGGCTGGGTGACTGGGTGTCTGACTGTCTGGGTGACTGACTGACTGGCTGGGTGACTGGTTGGGTGACTGGTTGGGTGACTGACTGTCTGGGTGTCTGACTGGCTGGGTGACTGACTGGCTGGGTGACTGACCGTCTGGGTGTCTGACTGGCTGGGTGACTGTCTGGGTGACTGACTGGTTGGGTGACTATCTGGGTGACTGACTGGTTGGGTGACTGAATGGCTGGGTGTCTGACTGTCTGGGTGACTGACTGGCTGGGTGACTGGCTGGGTGACTGACTGTCTGTGTGTCTGACCGTGCGACCGCCCCAGGGCTCCTCTCACCTGCACGGCGTCCCGCTGTTGTGCGTTGCTGGTGCTCAGCTGGTGCTGCAGCGCGAGGCAGCGCGCCTTCTCCTGCTGCAGCTGACTGTCTGGGTGACTGTCTGGGTGACTGACTGACTGGGTGACTGACTGTCTGGGTGACTGGCTGGGTGACTGACTGTCTGTGTGTCTGACTGAGCGACCGCCCCAGGGCTCCTCTCACCTGCACGGCGTCACGCTGTTGTGCGTTGCTGGTGCTCAGCTGGCGCTGCAGGGCGAGGCATCGCGCCTTCTCCTGCTGCAGCTGACTGTCTGGGTGTCTGACTGTCTGTGTGTCTGACTGTGTGTCTGACTGACTGTCTGGGTGTCTGACTGACTGTCTGGGTAACTGACTGTCTGGCTGGGTGACTGACTGTCTGGGTGTCTGACTGACTGTCTGTGTGTCTGACCGAGCGACCGCCCCAGGGCTCCTCTCACCTGCACGGCGTCCCGCTGTTGTGCGTTGCTGGTGCTCAGCTGGCGCTGCAGGGCGAGGCAGCGCGCCTTCTCCTGTTGCAGCTGACTGTCTGGGTGACTGACTGTGTGTGTGTCTGACTGTGTGTCTGACTGACTGTCTGGGTGTCTGACTGACTGTCTGGGTAACTGACTGTCTGGTTGACTGACTGACTGTCTGTGTGTCTGACCGAGCGACCGCCCCAGGGCTCCTCTCACCTGCACGGCGTCACGCTGTTGTGCGTTGCTGGTGCTCAGCTGGCGCTGCAGGGCGAGGCAGCGCGCCTTCTCCTGCTGCAGCTGACTGTCTGGGTGTCTGACTGTCTGTGTGTCTGACTGTGTGTCTGACTGACTGTCTGGGTGTCTGACTGACTGTCTGGGTGTCTGACTGTATGGGTGACTGACTGGCTGGGTGTCTGACTGGCTGGGTGTCTGACTGTCTGGGTGACTGACTGACTGGTTGACTGACTGGCTGGGTGACTGTCTGGCTGGGTGACTGACTGACTGGTTGACTGACTGGCTGGGTGACTGTCTGTGTGTCTGACTGACTGGCTGGGTGTCTGACTGCCTGGGTGTCTGACTGACTGGGTGACTGTCTGTGTGTCTGACTGACTGGCTGGGTGTCTGACTGTCTGGGTGTCTGACTGGCTGGGTGTCTGACTGACTGGGTGACTGTCTGTGTGTCTGACTGACTGGCTGGGTGTCTGACTGTCTGGGTGTCTGACTGTCTGGGTGACTGTCTGTGTGTCTGACTGACTGTCTGGGTGTCTGACTGACTGACTGTGTGACTGACTGAGCGACCGCCCCAGGGCTCCCCCCACCTGCACGGCGTCACGCTGTTGTGCGTTGCTGGTGCTCAGTTGGCGCTGCAGGGCGAGGCAGCGCGCCTTCTCCTGTTGCAGCTGACTGTCTGGGTGTCTGACTGTCTGGGTGTCTGATTGTCTGGGTGACTGACTGTCTGGGTGACTGACTGACTGTCTGGGTGACTGACTGTCTGTGTGTCTGACTGACTGTCTGTGTGTCTGACTGACCGAGCGACCGCCCCAGGGCTCCTCTCACCTGCACGGCGTCACGCTGTTGTGCGTTGCTGGTGCTCAGCTGGCGCTGCAGGGCGAGGCAGCGCGCCTTCTCCTGCTGCAGCTGACTGTCTGGGTGACTGACTGTCTGGTTGACTGACTGTCTGGCTGGGTGACTGACTGTCTGTGTGTCTGACTGAGCGACCGCCCCAGGGCTCTCTCCCCCACCTGCACGGCGTCACGCTGTTGTGCGTTGCTGGCGCTCAGCTGGCGCTGCAGGGCGAGGCAGCGCGCCTTCTCCTGCTGCAGCTGACTGTCTGGGTGACTGGCTGGGTGACTGACTGTCTGGCTGGGTGACTGACTGTCTGGGTGTCTGACTGGCTGGGTGACTGTCTGGGTGTCTGACTGTCTGGGTGACTGACTGTCTGGGTGTCTGACTGTCTGTGTGACTGACTGTCTGGGTGTCTGACTGGGTGTCTGACCGAGCGACCGCCCCAGGGCTCTCTCCCCCACCTGCACGGCGTCCCGCTGTTGTGCGTTGCTGGTGCTCAGCTGGCGCTGCAGGGCGAGGCAGCGCGCCTTCTCCTGTTGCAGCTGACTGTCTGGGTGACTGTCTGGCTGGGTGACTGACTGACTGGGTAACTGACTGTCTGGCTGGGTGACTGACTGTCTGGGTGTCTGACTGAGCGACCGCCCCAGGGCTCCTCTCACCTGCACGGCGTCCCGCTGTTGTGCGTTGCTGGTGCTCAGCTGGCGCTGCAGGGCGAGGCAGCTCGCCTTCTCCTGCTGCAGCTGACTGTCTGGGTGACTGTCTGGGTGACTGACTGACTGGGTGACTGACTGTCTGGGTGACTGTCTGGGTGACTGACTGTCTGGGTGTCTGACTGGCTGGGTGACTGACTGTCTGTGTGTCTGACCGAGCGACCGCCCCAGGGCTCCTCTCACCTGCACGGCGTCCCGCTGTTGTGCGTTGCTGGTGCTCAGCTGGCGCTGCAGGGCGAGGCAGCGCGCCTTCTCCTGCTGCAGCTGACTGGCTGGGTGACTGACTGTCTGGGTGACTGACTGGCTGGGTGACTGTCTGTGTGTCTGACTGTCTGGGTGACTGACTGTCTGGTTGACTGACTGACTGTCTGTGTGTCTGACTGTCTGGGCGACCTCCCCAGGGCTCTCTCCCCCACCTGCACGGCGTCCCGCTGTTGTGCGTTGCTGGTGCTCAGCTGGCGCTTGCAGGGCGAGGCAGCGCGCCTTCTCCTGCTGCAGCTGACTGTCTGGGTGACTGACTGTCTGGTTGACTGACTGTCTGGCTGGGTGACTGACTGTCTGTGTGTCTGACTGAGCGACCGCCCCAGGGCTCTCTCCCCCACCTGCACGGCGTCACGCTGTTGTGCGTTGCTGGCGCTCAGCTGGCGCTGCAGGGCGAGGCAGCGCGCCTTCTCCTGCTGCAGCTGACTGTCTGGGTGACTGGCTGGGTGACTGACTGTCTGGCTGGGTGACTGACTGTCTGGGTGTCTGACTGGCTGGGTGACTGTCTGGGTGTCTGACTGTCTGGGTGACTGACTGTCTGGGTGTCTGACTGTCTGTGTGACTGACTGTCTGGGTGTCTGACTGGGTGTCTGACCGAGCGACCGCCCCAGGGCTCTCTCCCCCACCTGCACGGCGTCCCGCTGTTGTGCGTTGCTGGTGCTCAGCTGGCGCTGCAGGGCGAGGCAGCGCGCCTTCTCCTGTTGCAGCTGACTGTCTGGGTGACTGTCTGGCTGGGTGACTGACTGACTGGGTAACTGACTGTCTGGCTGGGTGACTGACTGTCTGGGTGTCTGACTGAGCGACCGCCCCAGGGCTCCTCTCACCTGCACGGCGTCCCGCTGTTGTGCGTTGCTGGTGCTCAGCTGGCGCTGCAGGGCGAGGCAGCTCGCCTTCTCCTGCTGCAGCTGACTGTCTGGGTGACTGTCTGGGTGACTGACTGACTGGGTGACTGACTGTCTGGGTGACTGTCTGGGTGACTGACTGTCTGGGTGTCTGACTGGCTGGGTGACTGACTGTCTGTGTGTCTGACCGAGCGACCGCCCCAGGGCTCCTCTCACCTGCACGGCGTCCCGCTGTTGTGCGTTGCTGGTGCTCAGCTGGCGCTGCAGGGCGAGGCAGCGCGCCTTCTCCTGCTGCAGCTGACTGGCTGGGTGACTGACTGTCTGGGTGACTGACTGGCTGGGTGACTGTCTGTGTGTCTGACTGTCTGGGTGACTGACTGTCTGGTTGACTGACTGACTGTCTGTGTGTCTGACTGTCTGGGCGACCTCCCCAGGGCTCTCTCCCCCACCTGCACGGCGTCCCGCTGTTGTGCGTTGCTGGTGCTCAGCTGGCGCTGCAGGGCGAGGCAGCGCGCCTTCTCCTGCTGCAGCTGACTGTCTGGGTGACTGACTGTCTGGGTGACTGACTGTCTGTGTGTCTGACTGAGCGACCGCCCCAGGGCTCCTCTCACCTGCACGGCGTCCCGCTGTTGTGCGTTGCTGGTGCTCAGCTGGCGCTGCAGGGCGAGGCATCGCGCCTTCTCCTGCTGCAGCTGACTGGCTGGGTGACTGACTGTCTGGTTGACTGACTGTCTGGGTGTCTGACTGTCTGTGTGTCTGACCGAGCGACCGCCCCAGGGCTCCTCTCACCTGCACGGCGTCCCGCTGTTGTGCGTTGCTGGTGCTCAGCTGGCGCTGCAGGGCGAGGCAGCGCGCCTTCTCCTGCTGCAGCTGACTGTCTGGGTGTCTGACTGTCTGGGTGTCTGATTGTCTGGGTGACTGACTGTCTGGGTGACTGACTGACTGTCTGGGTGACTGACTGTCTGTGTGTCTGACTGACTGTCTGTGTGTCTGACTGACCGAGCGACCGCCCCAGGGCTCCTCTCACCTGCACGGCGTCCCGCTGTTGTGCGTTGCTGGTGCTCAGCTGGCGCTGCAGGGCGAGGCAGCGCGCCTTCTCCTGCTGCAGCTGACTGGCTGGGTGACTGTCTGTGTGTCTGACTGACTGTCTGTGTGTCTGACCGAGCGACCGCCCCAGGGCTCCTCTCACCTGCACGGCGTCCCGCTGTTGTGCGTTGCTGGTGCTCAGCTGGCGCTGCAGGGCGAGGCAGCGCGCCTTCTCCTGCTGCAGCTCGCCGTGCGACGACTCCAGCTGAACCAGCAGAGCCTCCTGGCTCTCGTGCAGACGCCGAGACCGCTGCGGAGTCGCGTACACGCACGTGGCTCAGGTGATCATCATGATCATGATCGTCATCATCATGATGATCATGATCATGATGATGATCTTTCGATTTAAAGCTTTCGTGACTGCAAGGATTCATCTTCTTTGGTTCTTTCGGTAAAGTCACCACCACCACGTAGAATGATAATAAAATAATAATAAATTGATGAAATAAAATAACACGATAATAATATTCTCACGACGTTTCGGGCCACAACACAAGCGGCCTTCATCAGGTGGAGGGACGAGACTGTCACACGAGCCCGATCACTCCAGCGCTGTCCTACCAGACATTCTCGTCCCTTCACCTGATGAAGGCCGCTTGTGTTGTGGCCGAAACGTCGCGAGAATATTATCGTGTTATTTTATTTTATCAATTTATTATTTTATTCTCATTCTACGTGGTGGTGACTTTACCGAAAGAACCAAAGAAGAATAACAACAATGTCATTACTGCCATATGCAGTCTATGGGTCTCTGATTCTCTGTGAGTGTCTATGGGTCTCTGACTCTCTGTGAGTGTCTATGGGTCTCTGACTCTCTGTGAGTGTCTATGGGTCTCTGACTCTCTGTGAGTGTCTATGGGTCTCTGACTCTCTGTGAGTGTCTATGGGTCTCTGACTCTCTGTGAGTGTCTATGGGTCTCTGACTCTCTGTGAGTCTCTATGGGTCTCTGACTCTCTGTGAGTGTCTATGGGTCTCTGACTCTCTGTGAGTCTCTATGGGTCTCTGACTCTCTGTGAGTGTCTATGGGTCTCTGACTCTCTGTGAGTGTCTATGGGTCTCTGACTCTCTGTGAGTCTCTATGGGTCTCTGACTCTCTGTGAGTGTCTATGGGTCTCTGACTCTCTGTGAGTGTCTATGGGTCTCTGACTCTCTGTGAGTGTCTATGGGTCTCTGACTCTCTGTGGAGTGTCTATGGGTCTCTGACTCTCTGTGAGTGTCTATGGGTCTCTGATTCTCTGTGAGTGTCTATGGGTCTCTGATTCTCTGTGAGTGTCTATGGGTCTCTGACTCTCTGTGAGTGTCTATGGGTCTCTGACTCTCTGTGAGTGTCTATGGGTCTCTGACTCTCTGTGAGTGTCTATGGGTCTCTGACTCTCTGTGAGTGTCTATGGGTCTCTGACTCTCTGTGAGTCTCTATGGGTCTCTGACTCTCTGTGAGTGTCTATGGGTCTCTGACTCTCTGTGAGTGTCTATGGGTCTCCGACTCTCTGTGAGTCTCTATGGATCTCTGACTCTCTGTGAGTGTCTATGGGTCTCTGACTCTCTGTGAGTGTCTATGGGTCTCTGCCTCTCTGTGAGTGTCGATGGGTCTCTGACTCTCTGTGAGTGTCTATGGGTCCCTGACTCTCTGTGAGTGTCTATGGGTCTCTGACTCTCTGTGAGTGTCTGTGGGTCTCTGACTCTCTGTGAGTGTCTATGGGTCTCTGACTCTCTGTGAGTGTCTATGGGTCTCTGACTCTCTGTGAGTGTCTATGGGTCTCTGACTCTCCGTGAGTGTCTATGGGTCTCTGACTCTCTGTGAGTCTCTATGGGTCTCTGACTCTCTGTGAGTGTCTATGGGTCTCTGACTCTCTGTGAGTGTCTATGGGTCTCTGACTCTCTGTGAGTGTCTATGGCTCTCTGACTCTCTGTGAGTGTCTATGGGTCTCTGACTCTCTGTGAGTGTCTATGGGTCTCTGACTCTCTGTGAGTGTCTATGGGTCTCTGACTCTCTGTGAGTGTCTATGGGTCTCTGACTCTCTGTGAGTGTCTATGGGTCTCTGACTCTCTGTGAGTGTCTATGGGTCTCTGACTCTCCGTGAGTGTCTATGGGTCTCTGACTCTCTGTGAGTGTCTATGGGTCTCTGACTCTCTGTGAGTGTCTATGGGTCTCTGACTCTCCGTGAGTGTCTATGGGTCTCTGACTCTCTGTGAGTCTCTATGGGTCTCTGACTCTCTGTGAGTGTCTATGGGTCTCTGACTATCTGTGAGTGTCTATGGGTCTCTGACTCTCTGTGAGTGTCTATGGGTCTCTGACTCTCTGTGAGTGTCTATGGGTCTCTGACTCTCTGTGAGTGTCTATGAGTCTCTGACTCTCTGTGAGTGTCTATGGGTCTCTGACTCTCTGTGAGTGTCTATGGGTCTCTGACTCTCTGTGAGTGTCTATGGGTCTCTGACTCTTCGTGAGTGTCTATGGTGCCGGTAGTGTAGTGCCGGTAGTGCGGCGCCGGTGCCGGTAGTGCGGTGCTGGTGGTGCCATGCCTCCTGTAGCTCTCCGAACTTCCCCTCGATGGCGGCGAGCGCCACTCCCTTGTCTGCAAGCTCCTTCTGCAGGCGGATGAGACCTACGCTCTCTCGTATAGAGCTCCTACACACACAGATACACACACACACACAGAGATACACACACACACAGATACACACGCAGACACACACACACACACGGATATATATACACACAGAGATACACACACAGATACACACACACACACGGATATATATATATACACACACACAGAGAGATACACACACACAGAGAGATACACACACACAGATATATATACACACAGAGATACACACACACAGAGATACACACACACAGAGATATATATACACACAGATATACACACACACACACACACGGATATATACACACACACAGAGAGATACACACACACACAGAGATACACACACACAGATATATATACACACAGAGATACACACACACACACACAGAGATACACACACACAGAGATACACACACAGATATATATACACACATACACACAACAACAACCGCCATTCGCCACTAAGTGGCGGTGACGTCACCACGACGCTTGTGCCAGGCCATGTGCACCTTGAGGCCACGTGAAGTGTCGAACGCCGGCTGGCAGGAGGTCACGGGGCAGACCCAGGTGCCACGGGTCGACTGACTGAGATGACTGGCTGATGCACCACCTGTGCCCCCTACTGTGCCAACCTGCTGTGCTTTAGCCACCCGGCGCTCCGCTCGTTGTTGTGAGTGTCGCTCCTCCGCCCTCCGTTGCTGTTGGAGGGCGACTGCCTCCAACTGCCCAGTAGCGTCCTTCACGAGCCTCCTCCACAGAGGCCGATCTTGACACCGCTGGTACCAGTCATCGGCAAGTCCACTCAGCTCCACGTCCTCCTGTACCACATCACTCCATCTCTTCTCTAGCCCGTGCCGCGCCCGCTTAGCCCCCTCGATCCGGCCGAACGAAAGCTGTTTAGGCATGCGGTGGCTGGGCATGCGGGCTACATGACTCAGCCATCGCAGCCTTGGCTGCCGAAGGAGCTCACTGATGGGACCGTGCCCAGATCTTTCAAGGATACGTGAGCTCCTCACACAATCCAGCCTGGTTAAACCCAGGATGGATCGTAGGCAGGCCAGCCTAAATGTTTCTAACCGGCGAAGATGTTCCACCAGGGGGGTCCACGTTTCGCAAGCGTAGAGAAGGGAGGGAATGACCGTGGCCGAGAAGACCTGAAGCTTAGTGCGGAGCGACAGAACAGGTAGCTTCCACACAGCATTACGCAACCAATGAAAAGATATTGCCGCTCGACTGATTCGGAGTGAGACCTCTGCTGTTAAACTGGAGCCGGTCATAAGCACACTGCCCAGGTATGGGAAACTCTCCACTCTCTCCACAACTGCCCCATCACCGATTGGGAGTTGTGGGGGTGGAGTGTCCGATGGTACAAAATACCCAGGCAGGTGCTTAGTTATGGTGGGGCTGATGGTAAGGCCCCATCTCTTAGTAGCACACTCCAGTCTCAACAGCAGCGTCTCCAACTCCTCCTCTGAATGAGCAGCTATTACCAAATCATCGGCATACATAACGTGGTTGGGCAATAGGGAGCCATCCCTTGACTGCACCTGAGCATCGATCAGCCTCCCATTATATCTGTACCATATGGAGATTCCTCCGGTACAGCTATGAGATGATCTCCCAAGCGAAATGCTGAGGGAGAGTGGCGTTTGTGCACAGACTGCCCAATATGACATCATAACAACAGTCTGGACCACTGGACAGGTTCCGCAGGATTGGAAGGATGCCCTGGTGGTCCCCCTCTTTAAGAAGGGGGACCGCACAGACTGTAACAACACACACACAGACACACACACAGACACACACACAGACACACACACAGAGACAGACACACACAGACACACACACACAGATACACACACAGACACACACACACAGACACACACACAGACACACACACACAGACACAGACACACTCAGACACACACAGACACACACAGACACACACAGACACACACACACAGACACACAGACACACACACACACACAGACACAGACACACACAGACACAGACACACACAGACACAGACACACACAGACACACACAGACACACACACACAGACACACACACACAGACACATACACACACAGACACACACACACACAGACAGACACACAGACACAGACACACACACAAAGACACACACACACATACACAGACACACACAGACACACACACAGACACACACACAGACACACACACACACAGACACACACACAGACACACACACACAGACACACAGACACACACACACACACAGACACACACACAGACATACACACACACACACAGTCACACACACACACACACAGACACACACAGACATACACACACACACAGTCACACACACACACACACAGACACACACACACACAGACACACACACAGACACACAGACACACACACATACACACAGACACACACACAGACACACACACAGCCACACACACAGACACACAGACACACACACAGACACACACAGACACACACACACAGACACACACACAGACACACACACACAGACACACACACCACACACAGACACACACACAGACACACAAAGTCACACACACACACACAGACACACACACACAGACACACACACACAGACACACACACAGACACACACACACAGACACACACACACACACAGACACACACACAGACACACACAGACACACACAGTCACACACAGACACACACACACACTGACACACACACACAGTCACACACACACAGACACACACACACACAGACACACACACACAGACACACACACAGACACACACACACACAGACACACAGACACACACACACTGACACACACAGACACACACACACACACACTGACACACACACACACAGACACACACACTGACACACACACACTGACACACACACACACTGACACACACACAGACACACACACAGACACACACACACACACAGACACACACAGACACACACACACAGACACACACACAGTCACACACACACAGACACAAACACACAGACACAAACACACAGTCACACACACACACAGACACAAACACACAGACACAAACACACAGACACACACACACACAGACACACACACACAGACACACACACACACACAGACACACACACAGACACACACACACAGACACACACACAGACACACACACACACAGACACACACACAGACACACACACACACAGACACACACACACAGACACACACACACAGACACACACACAGACACACACACACAGACACACACACAGACACACACACACACAGACACACACACACACAGACACACACACACTGACACACAGACACACACACACTGACACACAGACACACACACACTGACACACACACACAGACACACACAGACACACAGACACACAGACACACACACACAGACACATACACACAGACACACACACAGACACACACAGACACACACACACAGACACACACACAGACACACACACAGACACACACACACAGACACACACACACACACAGACACACACACAGACACACACACAGTCACACACACACAGACACACACACACACTGACACACACACACAGACACACACAAACTGACACACACACACACACAGACACACACACACAGACACACACATACACACAGACAAACACAGACACACAGACACACACACAGACACACAGACACACAACAACAACAACAACCGCCATTCGCCACTAAGTGGCGGTGACGTCACCACGACGCTTGTGCCAGGCTATGTGCACCCTGAGGCCACGTGAAGTGTCGAACGCCCGCTGGCAGGAGGTCACGGGGCAGACCCAGGTGCCACGGGTCGACTGACTGAGATGACTGGCTGATGCACCACCTGTGCCCCCTACTGTGCCAACCTGCTGTGCTTTAGCCACCCGGCGCTCCGCTCGCTGTTGTGAGCGTCGCTCCTCCGCCCTCCGTTGTTGTTGGAGGGCGACTGCCTCCAACTGCCCAGTAGCATCCTTCACGAGCCTCCTCCACAGAGGCCGATCTTGACACCGCTGGTACCAGTCATCGGCAAGTCCACTCAGCTCCACGTCCTCCTGTACCACATCACTCCATCTCTTCTCTAGCCCGTGCCGCGCCCGCTTAGCCCCCTCAATCCGGCCAAACAAAAGCTGTTTCGGCATGCGGTGGCTGGGCATGCGGGCTACATGACCCAGCCATCGCAGCCTTGCCTGCCGGAGGAGCTCACCGATGGGACCCTGCCCAGATCTTTCAAGGATTTGTGAGCTCCTCACACAATCCAGTCTGGTTAAACCCAGGATGGATCGTAGGCAGGCCAGCCTAAATGTTTCTAACCGGCGAAGATGTTCCATTAGGGGGGTCCACGTTTCGCAAGCGTAGAGAAGGGAGGGAATGACCGTGGCCGAGAAGACCTGAAGCTTAGTGCGGAGCGACAGACCAGGTAGCTTCCACACAGCGTTACGCAACCGATGAAAAGATATTGCCGCTCGACTGATTCGGAGTGAGACCTCTGCTGTTAAACTGGAGCCAGTCATAAGCACACTGCCCAGGTATGGGAAACTCTCCACTCTCTCCACAACTGCCCCATCACCGATTGGGAGTTGTGGGGGTGGAGTGTCCGATGGTACAAAATACCCAGGCAGGTGCTTAGTTTTGGTGGGGCTGATGGTAAGGCCCCACCTCTTAGTGGCACGCTCCAGTCTCAGCAGCAGCGTCTCCAACTCCTCCTCTGACTGAGCAGCTATTACCAAGTCATCAGCATACACACACACAGACACACACACACACACAGACACACTGACACACACACAGACACACACAGACACACACACACACAGACACACACACACACAGACACACACACAGACACACACAGACACACACACACACACAGACACACACACACACACACTGACACACACACACAGACACACACACACACACAGACACACACACACACACAGACACACACACACAGACACACACACACACACAGACACACACACACACAGACACACACACACACAGACACACACACACACAGACACACTGACACACACACAGACACACACAGACACACACACACACAGACACACACACACACACAGACACACACACAGACACACACAGACACACACACACACAGACACACACACACACACACTGACACACACACACAGACACACACACACACACAGACACACACACACACACAGACACACACACACAGACACACACACACAGACACACACACACAGACACACACACACACAGACACACACACACACAGACACACACACACACACAGACACACACACACACACAGACACACACACACACACAGACACACACACACACAGTCACACACACACACAGACACACACACACACACAGACACACACACAGACACACACACACTGACACACACACAGACACACACACACACAGACACACACACACAGACACACACACACACACACTGACACACACACACACAGACACACACAGACACACACACACAGACACACACACACACACACAGACACACACACAGACACACACAGACACACACACACACAGACACACACACACACACTGACACACACACACAGACACACACACACACACAGACACACACAGACACACACACACACAGACACACACACACACACAGACACACACAGACACACACACACACACAGACACACACACACAGACACACACACACAGACACACACACACACACAGACACACACACACAGACACACACACACAGACACAGACAGACACACACACAGACACACATACACACAGACACACTGACACACACACAGACACACACACACTGACACACACACAGACACACACACACACAGACACACACACACACACAGACACACACACACACAGACACACACACAGACACACAGACACACACACACACACACAGACACACACACAGACACACAGACACACACACACACAGACACACACACAGACACACACACACAGACACACACACACACACAGACACACACACACACACACAGACACACACACACACACAGACACACACACACACAGACACACACACACACACAGACACACACACACAGACACAGACACACACACACAGACACACACACACAGACACACACACACACACACACAGACACACACACACACAGACACACACACACACACAGTCACACACACACACAGACACACACACAGACACACACACAGACACACACACAGACACACACACACACAGACACACACAGTCACACACACACACACACAGACACACACCCACACACACCGTTGTCCCGACGACTGCTGCTCCCGGAGGCGCAGCGTCGCCTCCCCGACCTCGGCCTCGCGTGCCCTCAGCTGGGCCTGGAGCCCGCCGTGGGCCTGGAGAGCCTCCCGCAGCTCCGCCTGCTGAGTCTCCACGATGTTCTCCCTGCGTCACCACGGCAACACCAAGGCGTTACCACGGCAACACCAAGGCGTCACCACGGCAACTCCAAGGCGTCGCCACGGCAACACCAAGGCGTCGCCACGGCAACACCAAGGCGTCGCCACGGCAACACCAAGGCGTCACCACGGCAACACCAAGGCGTCGCCGTGGTATAACGTGGTACAGAAACTAGTAGTAGTAGGCACGACTACTACTGGTACTACTAGCGTGTGAGTGAGAGACAGAGTGAGAGACAGAGTGAGAGACAGAGTGAGTGAGTGAGAGACAGAGTGAGTGAGAGAGTGAGCGAGAGACAGAGTGAGCGTGTGAGTGAGAGACAGAGTGAGAGACAGAGTGAGAGACAGAGTGAGTGAGTGAGAGACAGAGTGAGTGAGAGAGTGAGCGAGAGACAGAGTGAGCGTGTGAGTGAGAGACAGAATGAGAGACAGAGTGAGAGACAGAGTGAGCGAGAGACAGAGTGAGCGTGTGAGTGAGCGTGTGAGTGAGCGAGTGAAAGACAGAGTGAGTGAGCGAGTGAGTGAGAGACAGAGTAAGCAAGTGAGTGAGAGACAGAGTGAGTGAGTGAGAGAGTGAGAGACAGAGTGAGTGAGAGACAGAGTGAACGTGTGAGTGAGAGACAGAGTGAGTGAGAGACAGAGTGAGCGAGTGAGTGAGAGAGTGAGCGAGAGACAGAGTGAGCGAGTGAGTGAGCGAGTGAGTGAGCGTGAGAGTGAGAGACAGAGTGAGCGAGAGAGTGAGAGACAGAGTGAGTGAGTGAGCGTGTAAGCGAGCGAGTGAGTGAGAGACAGAGTGAGTGAGAGACAGAGTGAGTGAGTGAGTGAGAGACAGAGTGAGTGAGTGAGAGACAGAGTGAGTGAGTGAGTGAGAGACAGAGTGAGTGAGTGAGAGATAGAGTGAGTGAGTGAGCGAGTGAGTGAGAGACAGAGTGAGAGACAGAGTGAGTGAGAGACAGAGTGAGCAAGTGAGTGAGCGTGTGAGCGAGAGAGTGAGTGAGAGACAGAGGGAGTGAGGGAGTGAGAGACAGAGTGAGTGAGAGACAGAGTGAGCAAGTGAGTGAGCGTGTGAGCGAGAGAGTGAGTGAGAGACAGAGGGAGTGAGTGAGTGAGAGACAGAGTGAGTGAGTGAGCGAGAGAGTGAGTGAGAGACAGAATGAGTGACAGAGTGAGTGAGAGACAGAGTGAGTGAGAGACAGAGTGAGTGAGAGACAGAGTGAGTGAGAGACAGAGTGAGTGAGAGACAGAGTGAGCGAGTGAGTGAGCGTGTGAGCGAGAGACAGAGTGAGTGAGTGAGAGAGAGAGAGTGAGCGAGTGAGTGAGCGTGTGAGCGAGAGAGTGAGCAAGTGAGTGAGTGAGTGAGAGACAGAGTGAGTGAGTGAGTGAGCGAGTGAGTGAGAGACAGAGTGAGCGAGTGAGTGAGAGACAGAGTGAGCGAGTGAGTGAGTGAGTGAGCGAGTGAGTGAGAGACAGAGTGAGCGAGTGAGCGAGAGAGTGAGTGAGAGACAGAGTGAGAGACAGAGTGAGAGACAGAGTGAGTGAGCGTGTGAGAGAGAGACAGAGTGAGTGAGTGAATCAGAAAGAGACAGAGTGAGCAAGTGAGTGAGAGACAGAGTGAGTGAGCGAGAGAGTGAGTGAGAGACAGAGTGAGCAAGTGAGTGAGAGACAGAGCGAGTGAGTGAGCGAGAGACAGAGCGAGTGAGTGAGTGAGTGACAGACAGAGTGAGTGAGTGAGTGACAGAGTGAGAGACAGAGTGAGTGAGTGAGAGACAGAGTGAGTGAGAGAGTGAGCGAGAGACAGAGTGAGCGTGTGAGTGAGAGACAGAGTGAGAGACAGAGTGAGAGACAGAGTGAGCGAGAGACAGAGTGAGCGTGTGAGTGAGCGTGTGAGTGAGCGAGTGAAAGACAGAGTGAGTGAGCGAGTGAGTGAGAGACAGAGTAAGCAAGTGAGTGAGAGACAGAGTGAGTGAGTGAGAGAGTGAGAGACAGAGTGAGTGAGAGACAGAGTGAACGTGTGAGTGAGAGACAGAGTGAGTGAGAGACAGAGTGAGCGAGTGAGTGAGAGAGTGAGCGAGAGACAGAGTGAGCGAGTGAGTGAGCGAGTGAGTGAGCGTGAGAGTGAGAGACAGAGTGAGCGAGAGAGTGAGAGACAGAGTGAGTGAGTGAGTGAGCGTGTGAGCGAGCGAGTGAGTGAGAGACAGAGTGAGTGAGAGACAGAGTGAGTGAGTGAGTGAGTGAGAGACAGAGTGAGTGAGTGAGAGACAGAGTGAGTGAGTGAGTGAGAGACAGAGTGAGTGAGTGAGTGAGAGATAGAGTGAGTGAGTGAGCGAGTGAGTGAGAGACAGAGTGAGAGACAGAGTGAGTGAGAGACAGAGTGAGCAAGTGAGTGAGCGTGTGAGCGAGAGAGTGAGTGAGAGACAGAGGGAGTGAGTGAGTGAGAGACAGAGTGAGTGAGAGACAGAGTGAGCAAGTGAGTGAGCGTGTGAGCGAGAGAGTGAGTGAGAGACAGAGGGAGTGAGTGAGTGAGAGACAGAGTGAGTGAGTGAGCGAGAGAGTGAGTGAGAGACAGAATGAGTGACAGAGTGAGTGAGAGACAGAGTGAGTGAGAGACAGAGTGAGTGAGAGACAGAGTGAGTGAGAGACAGAGTGAGTGAGAGACAGAGTGAGCGAGTGAGTGAGCGTGTGAGCGAGAGACAGAGTGAGTGAGTGAGAGAGAGAGAGTGAGCGAGTGAGTGAGCGTGTGAGCGAGAGAGTGAGCAAGTGAGTGAGTGAGTGAGAGACAGAGTGAGTGAGTGAGTGAGCGAGTGAGTGAGAGACAGAGTGACGAGTGAGTGAGAGACAGAGTGAGCGAGTGAGTGAGTGAGTGAGCGAGTGAGTGAGAGACAGAGTGAGCGAGTGAGCGAGAGAGTGAGTGAGAGACAGAGTGAGAGACAGAGTGAGAGACAGAGTGAGTGAGCGTGTGAGAGAGAGACAGAGTGAGTGAGTGAGTGAGCAAGAGACAGAGTGAGCAAGTGAGTGAGAGACAGAGTGAGTGAGCGAGAGAGTGAGTGAGAGACAGAGTGAGCAAGTGAGTGAGAGACAGAGCGAGTGAGTGAGCGAGAGACAGAGCGAGTGAGTGAGTGACAGACAGAGTGAGTGAGTGAGAGACAGAGTGAGAGAGTGAGTGAGAGACAGAGTGAGTGGGTGAGTGAGAGACAGAGTGAGCAAGTGAGTGAGCGAGCATGGGAGCGAGTGAGCGAGCGAGCGAGAGATCGAGCGACTGAGCGAGCGAGTCCGCGTGTGTTGAGAACAAGTGAGTGAGCGTGTGAGTGAGTGAATGAGTGAGCGAGTGAGCGAGCAAGCGAGTGAGTGAGCGAGCGTGCGTGCGAGTAAGGGAGCGAGTGAACATTTAAGCGAGTGTGTGAGCGAGTGTGTGAGCGCGTGAGAACATGAGCGAGTAAGTGAGCGAGTGAACATTTGAGCGAGTGTGTGAGCGCGTGAGAATATGAGCGAGCGTGCGAGCGTGCGAGCGAGCGTGCGAGCGAGTCCGCGTGAGTTGACAGCGAGACTCACAGATTGCGTATCTCCGCCCGGGCCTCCTCCAGAAGGCTGTGCCCGTAGCGTGGCAGCCCCGTCTGCGTAGCCCGCACCGCCACGTCCGGCTCCTGCAGGCGCATCCCTGCGGATAGGCGAGCATGTGTACAGGCAGCAGCACCAGCAGTAGCAGTAGCAGCAGCACAATCAGTAGCACCAGCAGTAGCAGAAGTACCAGCAGGTAGCACAATCTGTAGAACCAGCAGCAGCACCAGTAGCAGCAGCAGCACCAGGAGCATCACAAGCAGCAGCAGCATCAGCACTAGCAGTGGCAGCAGCGTGTAGGCCCTGGTGGGGGCCCAATTATTGCCTGGCATGGACCCGGTTATGGGCCTAGTGCAGGCCCTGGTAAGGACCCAGTTATGGGCTTAGAACAGGTCCTGGTAAGGGGACCCAGTTATGGGCCTAATGCAGGCCTTGGTAAGGGCCCGGTTATGGGCCTAATGCAGGTCCTGGTTAGAACCCGGTTATGGGCCTAGTGCAGGCCTTGGCAAGGGCCCGGTTATGGGCCTAGTGCAGGCCCTGGTAAGGACAGGGTTATGGGCCTAGTGCAGGTCCTGGTAAGGACCCGGTTATGGGCCTAGTGCAGGCCCCAGTTATGGGCCTAGTGCAGGTCCTGGTAAGAACCCGGTTATGGGCCTAGTGTAGGTCCTGGTTAGAACCCGGTTATGGGCCTAGTGCAGGCCTTGGCAAGGGCCCGGTTATGGGCCTAGTGCAGGCCCTAGTAAGAACCCGGTTATGGGCCTAGTGCAGGTTTTGGTGAGGGCCCCCCAAGGGCCTAGTGCAGGCCCTGGCGAGGGCCCCCCTTGGGCCTGTGCCGGGCGCACGGGAGAGCGAGCGAGCAAGAGCGAGCGAGCGAGAGAGAGGAGCGAACCTCCGCGTAGCTTTTCGTCGAGGGGCAAGCGGCCCTCGGTGCGGCGCAGGCCCGAGTCGACGCGCGGCGCCACGCGGCCGAAGGGCGACGCCCGGCGGCCCTGCGCCAGCAGCTGCTGCCGGGCGGCGGACAGCCGCTGCCTGAGGCCCTCGTTGTGGCGCTCGAGCTCACGCACCTTGACGGTCGGGGCGGGGGGGCGGCGGAGACACGGGGCGGGTCGCTGTGGGTCTCTGTGGGTCTCTGTGGGTCTCTGCTGTGTGATGAGTCTATGGGTCTCTGCTGTGTTGATGAGTCTATGGGTCTCTGCTGTGTGATGAGTCTATGGGTCTCTGCTGTGTGATGAGTCTATGGGTCTCTGCTGTGTGATGAGTCTATGGGTCTCTGCTGTGTGATGAGTCTATGGCTCTCTGCTGTGTGATGAGTCTATGGGTCTCTGCTGTGTGATGAGTCTATGGCTCTCTGCTGTGTGATGAGTCTATGGGTCTCTGCTGTGTGATGAGTCTATGGGTCTCTGCTGTGTGATGAGTCTATGGCTCTCTGCTGTGTGATGAGTCTATGGGTCTCTGCTGTGTGATGAGTCTATGGCTCTCTGCTGTGTGATGAGTCTATGGGTCTCTGCTGTGTGATGAGTCTATGGCTCTCTGCTGTGTGATGAGTCTATGGGTCTCTGCTGTGTGATGAGTCTATGGGTCTCTGCTGTGTGATGAGTCTATGGGTCTCTGCTGTGTGATGAGTCTATGGCTCTCTGCTGTGTGATGAGTCTATGGGTCTCTGCTGTGTGATGAGTCTATGGGTCTCTGCTGTGTGATGAGTCTATGGGTCTCTGCTGTGTGATGAGTCTATGGGTCTCTGTGTGTGATGAGTCTATGGCTCTCTGCTGTGTGATGAGTCTATGGGTCTCTGCTGTGTGATGAGTCTATGGGTCTCCGCTGTGTGATGAGTCTGTGGGTCTCTGAGTGTCCCACCTTGGCCTGAGAGTCCTCCAGCATCTCCTCCATCTCGATGTCGCGGCCCGAGCGTGGCCGGACACCGGCGCCACCGCCGGCGACGTTGGCGAGGTCGGCGGTTCCCTCGTGGTTTTTTCGGTCACTCAGCAGACGCATCAGCTTGGTCGCCATCCTGCGGGCGGGCGCCATCATCACCGTCACCACCGTCATCATCGTCATCATCGTCACCACCGTCACCATCGTCAACACCGTCACCATCATCAACACCGTCACCATCGCACCATCGTCACCATCGTCATCGCCATCATCACCGTCACCACCGTCATCACCGTCACCACTGTCACCACCGTCACCACCGTCACCACCGTCATCACCGTCACCACTGCCGCCACCGCCGCCATCGTCACCACCGTCACCATCGTCGCCACCGCCGCCATAGTCACCACCATCATCATCGTCACCATAGTCACCACCGTCATCATCGTCACCACCGTCACCACCGTCACCACCGTCACCACTGTCACCATAGTCACCACCGTCACCACCGTAACCACCTTCACCACCGTCACCATAGTCACCACCGTCACCACCGTCACCACCTTCACCACCGTCACCACCGTCACCATAGTCACCACCGTCACCACCGTCACCAGTGTGTGTACTTGTGTGTGTGTACGTGTGTGTGTGTACGTCCGTGTGTGTGTACTTGCGTGTGTGTGTACGTGCGTGTGTGTGTACGTGCGTTTGTGTGTGTACGTGTGTGTGTACGTGTGTGTGTGTGTGTACGTGTGTGTACGTGTGTGTGTGTACGTGTGTGTGTATGTGTGTGTGTGTGTGTTTCAGGAAAGGGCGGTCCTGCACAGATGCCATATTTTCTGTCCGTCTGCTACAGCAGAGGTGTAGGGAATTCCAACAAGACCTACATCTCTGCTTTATTGACCTGGTCAAGGCCTATGATACCATCAGTAGGCCTAGGCTCTGGGTCGTTCTTCGTGCTTTTGGAGTACCTGACCCTCTGCTCACGATCATTAAGGACCTTCATGATGGTGAGCGGGCCCGGGTAAAACTACGTGGCCGGGAGTCAGAGCCATTCCCTGTACACCTTGGGGTGCGACAGGGATGTCCTCTGGCTCCCACATTATTTAACATCTATTTTGACCACGTAGTTCGTGAAGCCTTCAATAGCTGTACCGGGGGAATCTCCATATGGTACAGATATAATGGGAGGCTAATCGATGCCCGGGTGCGGTCAAGGGATGGCTCCCTATTGCTCAACCACGTTATGTATGCTGATGATTTGGTAATAGCTGCTCAGTCAGAGGAGGAGTTGGAGACGCTGCTGCTGAGACTGGAGCGTGCCACTAAGAGGTGGGGCGTTACCATCAGCCCCACCAAAACTAAGCACCTGCCTGGGTATTTTGTACCATCGGACACTCCACCCCCACAACTCCCAATCGGTGATGGGGCAGTTGTGGAGAGAGTGGAGAGTTTCCCATACCTGGGCAGTGTGCTTATGACTGGCTCCAGTTTAACAGCAGAGGTCTCACTCCGAATCAGTCGAGCGGCAATATCTTTTCATTGGTTGCGTAACGCTGTGTGGAAGCTACCTGGTCTGTCGCTCCGCACTAAGCTTCAGGTCTTCTCGGCCACGGTCATTCCCTCCCTTCTCTACGCTTGCGAAACGTGGACCCCCCTAGTGGAACATCTTCGCCGGTTAGAAACATTTAGGCTGGCCTGCCTACGATCCATCCTGGGTTTAACCAGACTGGATTGTGTGAGGAGCTCACAAATCCTTGAAAGATCTGGGCAGGGTCCCATCGGTGAGCTCCTCCGGCAGGCAAGGCTGCGATGGCTGGGTCATGTAGCCCGCATGCCCAGCCACCGCATGCCGAAACAGCTTTTGTTTGGCCGGATTGAGGGGGCTAAGCGGGCGCGGCACGGGCTAGAGAAGAGATGGAGTGATGTGGTACAGGAGGACGTGGAGCTGAGTGGACTTGCCGATGACTGGTACCAGCGGTGTCAAGATCGGCCTCTGTGGAGGAGGCTCGTGAAGGATGCTACTGGGCAGTTGGAGGCAGTCGCCCTCCAACAACAACGGAGGGCGGAGGAGCGACGCTCAGAACAACGAGCGGAGCGCCGGGTGGCTAAAGCACAGCAGGTTGGCACAGTAGGGGGCACAGGTTGTGCATCAGCCAGTCATCTCAGTCAGTCGACCCGTGGCACCTGGGTCTGCCCAGTGACCTCCTGCCAGCGGGCGTTCGACACTTCACGTGGCCTCACGGTGCACATAGCCTGGCACAAGCGTCGTGGTGACGTCACCGCCACTTAGTGGCGAATGGCGGTTGTTGTTGTTGTTGTGTGTGTGTACGTGTGTGTGTGTGTGTGTGTACGTGTGTGTGTATGTGTGTGTATGTGTGTGTACGTGTGTGTGTGTACGTGTGTGTGTGTGTACGTGTGTGTACGTGTGTGTGTACGTGTGTGTGAGTGTGTGTGTGTACGTGTGTGTGTGTGTGTACGTGTGTGTGTGTACGTGTGTGTGTGTACGTGTGTGTGTACGTGTGTGTGTGTGTGTGTACGTGTACGTGTGTGTACGTGTGTGTACGTGTGTGTGTACGTGTGTGTGTGTGCGTCACCTCTTGATCTTGTCCTCCTGGCTCCGTGCGTGTGTGTGTGTGTGTACGTGTGTGTGTGTACGTGTGTGTGTGTGTGTGTACCCGTGTGTGTGTGTGTACGTGCGTGTGTGTACGTGTGTGTGTGTACCCGTGTGTATGTGTGTGTACGTGTGTGTGCGTGTGTGTACGTGTGTGTGTACGTGTGTGTGTACGTGTGTGTGTGTGTGTACGTGTGTGTGTGTACGTGTGTGTACGTGTGTGTGTGTACGTGTGTATGTGTGTGTACGTGTGTGTGTGTGTACGTGTGTGTGTGTGTGTACGTGTGTGTGTGTGTGTACGTGTGTGTGTATGTGTACGTGTGTGTGTGTGTACGTGTGTGTGTGTGTGTACGTGTGTGTGTGTGTGTGTGTACGTGTGTGTGTACGTGTGTGTGTGTGTACCCGTGTGTGTGTGTGTGCGTCACCGCTTGATCTTGTCCTCCTGGCTCCGTGCGTGCTGCTTCAGGAGGCGGTGCTCCTCGTGCTGACGCAGGAAGCGGTCCTCCAGCTCGGCCCGGCTCACACGTGACACCGCCTGGCGCTCACGCACGTCCCAGCCTGCACCACCACCACCACCGTCGTCATCATCAACACCGCTACCATCATCATCATCACGTGACACCGCCTGGCGCTCACGCACGTCCCAGCCTGCACCACCACCGTCACCACCATCGTCATAAACACCACCACCGTCATCATCATCACCACCATCGTCATCATCAACACCACCATCGTCATCATCAACACCGCTACCATCATCATCATCACCACCATCACGTGACACGGCCTGGCGCTCACGCACGTCCCAGCCTGCACCACCACCATCACCACCACCATCATCACCACCACCATCGTCATCATCATCACCGTCATCATCATCATAAACACCACCGTCACCACCGTCACCACCGTCATCACCACCGTCATCACCACCGCCACCGTCATCATCAACACCATCACGTGACACCGCCTGGCGCTCACGCACGTCCCAGCCTGCACCACCACCATCACCACCATCGTCATAAACACCACCATCGTCATCATCAACACCACCATCGTCATCATCAACACCACCATCGTCATCATCAACACCGCTACCATCATCATCATCACCACCATCACGTGACACCGCCTGGCGCTCACGCACGTCCCAGCCTGCACCACCACCATCACCACCACCATCATCACCACCACCATCGTCATCATCAACACCGCTACCATCATCATCATCACCACCATTGTCATCATCAACACCGCTACCATCATCATCATCACCACCATCACGTGACACCGCCTGGCGCTCACGCACGTCCAAGCCTGCACCACCACCGTCGTCATCATCACCACCACCACCACCATCGTCATCACCACCACCACCATCGTCATCATCAACACCACCACCGTCGTCATCATCATCATCATCACCATCACCACCACCACCACCATCGTCATCACCACCACCACCATCGTCATCATCAACACCACCACCGTCGTCATCATCATCATCACCATCACCACCACCACCACCACCATCGTCATCACCACCACCACCATCGTCATCATCAACACCGCTACCATCATCAACACCATCACGTGACACCGCCTGGCGCTCACGCACGTCCCAGCCTGCACCACCACCGTCGTCATCATCATCGTCATCACCGCCGTCATCACCACTGCCATCATCATCAACACTGTCATCACCACTGTCACCATCGTCACCACCATCATCACCACCATCATCACCACCACCGTTATCATCACCACTGTCACCATCGTCATCACTACTACCACCACCATCACCGCCACCGTCATCATCAACACCATCACGTGACACCGCCTGGCGCTCACGCACGTCCCAACCTGCACCACCACCGTCGTCATCATCAACACCACCGTCATCATCATCATAAACACCACCGTCATCACCACCGTCATCACCACCGCCACCGTCATCATCAACACCATCACGTGACACCGCCTGGCGCTCACGCACGTCCCAGCCTGCACCACCACCGTCGTCATCATCACCGTCATCATCATCGTCATAAACACCACCGTCATCACCACCGCCACCGTCATCATCATCACCACCGCCATCATCACCATCAACACCGCCACCTCCATCCCCACCATCACCACCGCCATCATCACCATCACCACCGTCTGAAGGAGTGAGTGAGTCTGAGTGAGTGAGTGTCAGTGAGTGAGTCTGAGTGAGTCAGTGGGTGAGTGAGTGGGTGGGTGAGTTGAGTGAGTGGGTGAGTGAGTGGGTGGCTGTGTGAGTGAGTGGGTGGGTGAGTGGGTGAATGAGTGAGTGAGTGGGTGAGTGAGTGGGTGAGTGAGTGAGTCAGTGAGTGGGTGAGTGAATGAGTGAGTGGGTGGGTGAGTGGGTGAGTGAATGAATGAGTGTGAGTGAGCGAGTGAGTGAGTCTGAGTGACTGTGAGTGAGTGTCAGTGACTGTGAGTGAGTGAGTAAATGAGTGAGTGTGAGTGAATGAGTGAGTGTGAGTGAGTCTGAGTGTCAGTGAGTGAGTGTAAGTGAGTGAGTCTGAGTGAGTGAGTCTGAGTGAGTGAGTGAGTGTGAGTGAGTGTGAGTGAATCTGAGTGAGTGAATCTGAGTGAGTGAGTGTGAGTGAGTGTGAGTGAACGAGTGAGTGTGAGTGAATGAGTGAGTGTGAGTGAGTGAGTGAATGAGTGAGTCTGAGTGAATGAGTGAGTGTGAGTGAATGTGAGTGAATGAGTGAGTGTGAGTGAGTGAGTCTGAGTGAATCTGAGTGAGTGAGTGAGTCTGAATGAGTGAGTGTGAGTGAATGAGTGAGTATGAGTGAGTCTGAGTGAATGAGTGAGTGTGAGTGAGTGAATGAATGAGTGTGAGTGAGTGTGAGTGAATGAATGAGTGTGAGTGAATGAGTGAGTGTGAGTGAATGTGAGTGAATGAGTGAGTGTGAGTGAGTGCATCTGAGTGAATCTGAGTGAGTGAGTGAGTCTGAATGAGTGAGTGTGAGTGAATGAGTGAGTATGAGTGAGTCTGAGTGAATGAGTGTGAGTGAGTGAATGAATGAGTGTGAGTGAATGAATGAGTGTGAGTGAATGAGTGAGTATGAATGAGTGAGTGTGAGTGAATTAATGAGTGTGAGTGAGTATGAATGAGTGAGTGTGAGTGAGTGAGTCTGAGTGAATGAGTGAGTGTGAGTGAATGAATGAGTGTGAGTGAATGAGTGTGAGTGAATGAGTGAATGACTGAATGAGTGAGTGTGAGTGAATGAGTGAGTATGAATGAGTGAGTGTGAGTGAATGAGTGTGAGTGAGTGAATGAATGAGTGTGAGTGAATGAATGAGTGTGAGTGAATGAATGAGTATGAGTGAGTCTGAGTGAATCTGAGTGAGTCTGAATGAGTGAATGTGAGTGAACGAGTGAGTGTGAGTGAGTGTGAGTGAATGAGTGTGAGTGAATGAGTGAGTGTGAGTGAATAAATGAATGTGAGTGAGTGAATGAGTGTGAGTGAATGAATGAGTGTGAGTGAGATCACCACCACCGCCCTCACCTGGCTGAGCGGTGGTGATGGGGGCGCCGTCGCTGGCGCTGAGGCCGAGTGAGTCTGAGTGAGTGTGAGTGAATGAGTGTGAGTGAATGAGTGTGAGTGAATGAATGAGTGAGTGTGAGTGAGTGTGAGTGAATGAATGAATGAGTGTGAGTGAATGAGTGAGTGTGAGTGAGTGAGTATGAATGAGTGAGTGTGAGTGAATGAGTCTGAGTGAGTGAATGAATGAGTGTGAGTGAGTGAGTATGAATGAGTGAGTGTGAGTGAATGAGTCTGTGTGAGTGAATGAATGAGTGTGAGTGAATGAATGAGTGTGAGTGAGATCACCACCACCGCCCTCACCTGGCTGAGCGGTGGTGATGGGGGCGCCGTCGCTGGCGCTGAGGCCGAGTGAGTCTGAGTGAGTGTGAGTGAGTGAGTGTGAGTGAATGAGTGAGTGTGAGTGAATGAGTGAGTATGAATGAGTGAGTGTGAGTGAATGAGTCTGAGTGAGTGAATAAATGAGTGTGAGTGAATGAATGAGTGTGAGTGAATGAGTGAGTATGAATGAGTGAGTGTGAGTGAATGAGTGAGTATGAATGAGTGAGTGTGAGTGAATGAGTCTGAGTGAGTGAATGAATGAGTCTGAGTGAGTGAATGAATGAGTGTGAGTGAATGAATGAGTGTGAGTGAATGAATGAGTGTGAGTGAATGAGTGGGTCTGAGTGAATCTGAGTGAGTCTGAATGAGTGAATGTGAGTGAACGAGTGAGTGTGAGTGAGTGAGTGAATGAGTGTGAGTGAATGAATGAGTGTGAGTGAGATCACCACCACCGCCCTCACCTGGCTGAGTGGTGGTGATGGGGGCGCCGTCGCTGGCGCTGAGGCCGAGTGAGTCTGAGTGAGTGTGAGTGAGTGAGTATGAGTGAGTGAGTCTGTGTGAGTGAATGAATGAGTGTGAGTGAGTGAATGAGTGTGAGTGAATGAATGAGTGTGAGTGAGATCACCACCACCGCCCTCACCTGGCTGAGCGGTGGTGATGGGGGCGCCGTCGCTGGCGCTGAGGCCGAGTGAGTCTGAGTGAGTGTGAGTGAGTGAGTGTGAGTGAATGAGTGAGTGTGAGTGAATGAGTGAGTATGAATGAGTGAGTGTGAGTGAATGAGTCTGAGTGAGTGAATAAATGAGTGTGAGTGAATGAATGAGTGTGAGTGAATGAGTGAGTATGAATGAGTGAGTGTGAGTGAATGAGTGAGTATGAATGAGTGAGTGTGAGTGAATGAGTCTGAGTGAGTGAATGAATGAGTGTGAGTGAGTGAGTATGAATGAGTGAGTGTGAGTGAATGAGTCTGAGTGAGTGAATGAATGAGTGTGAGTGAATGAATGAGTGTGAGTGAGATCACCACCACCGCCCTCACCTGGCTGAGCGGTGGTGATGGGGGCGCCGTCGCTGGCACTGAGGCCGATGTCCCTGACGGGGAGGTCGTAGGCCGTCTCGTCCGCCATGCTGGAGCTGCTGCTGGCGCTACAGCTGGCACTGCTACAGCTGCTGGCACTGCTGTAGCTGTTGGCGCTGGCGCTGCTGTAGCTGTAGCTCCTGTAGCTACAGCTGCCGCTGCCGCTGCAGCTGCTGCTGGCGTTGCTGTAGTTGCTGGTGCTGTAGCTGCTGCTGCTGGCGCTGCTGCAGCAGCTGGCACTGCTGCTGCCGCTGTAGCTGCTGGCGCTGCTGGAGCTGCAGCTGTAGCTCCTGTAGCTGTAGCTGCTGCAGCTGCTGGCGCTGCTGTAGCAGCTCCTGTAGCTGCTGGTGCTGCTGCAGCTGCTGCAGCTGCTGGAGCTGCTGCAGCTGCTGTAGCTGCTGCAGCTGCTGCAGCTGCTGGCGCTGCTGTAGCTGCTGCTGTAGCTGCTGGTGCTGCTGCAGCTGCTGCAGCTGCTGGAGCCGCTAACGCCGCTGCTGCTGCTGGCGTTGCTGTAGCTGCTGGTGCTGTAGCTGCTGTAGCTGCTGGTGCTGTAGCTGCTGCAGCTGCTGGCGCTGCTGGTGATGTCCGGAGCGGGGCCTGGACACCACCACGTGTACGGAGATCGCCGTCACCACCACGGTCGCAAACGTCACCGTCACCATCACCGTCACCATCAGTCACCACCACCACCGTCATCATCGTCACAGTCATCATCAACACTTTCACCACCACCATCACCACCACCACCAATATCCGCCATTCACCACAAAGTGACGGTGATATCGCCACCGCGCCTGTGCCAGGCTAGGTGCACTTTGAGGCCGTCACGTTAATCATCGGGATGCTCGCTGGTGGCAGGTCACGGGGCAGACCCAGCAGGTGCCGTGGGTTGACTGCTGTGCCAGGCTAGGTGCAGGAGGTCACGGGACAGACCCTGCAGGTGCCGTGGGTTGACTGCTGTGCCAGGCTAGGTGCAGGAGGAGGAGGTCACGGGACAGGCCCAACAGGTGCCATGGGTTGACTGCTGTGCCAGGCTAGGTGCAGGAGGAGGAGGTCACGTGGACAGACCCAGCAGGTGCCATGGGTTGACTGCTGTGCCAGGCTAGGTGCAGGTCATGGAACAGACCCAGCAGGTGCCATGGGTTGACTGCTGTGCCAGGCTAGGTGCAGGAGGAGGAGGTCAGGGGACAGACCCTGCAGGTGCCGTGGGTTGACTGCTGTGCCAGGCTAGGTGCAGGAGGAGGAGGTCACGGGACAGACCCAGCAGGTGCCGTGGGTTGACTGCTGTGCCAGGCTAGGTGCAGGATGAGCTGTAAATCTCCTTTTGCCACGCGGTAAGAACGTCACGACGAACAACCATCACACAAAGCACAGTTATGAGTGCAAAGTGCAAGAAATGTAAACAAATGATCCCTGTAAGAGGCGCGCAACAGATAAGACTACTCAACCATCCGACTGTCGTTATCAGCAGGCCAAAACCTTACTCAGATTATTATTATTAACTTATACTCCATCATTGTTGTGTTGTGTGTGTCTGTGTGGTTACGGTTAACGTCGCCCCGCTATTGAAGCAAGTTTAGTTAGTTTCTTTTTTAATTTAAATGTCTTATTATTCCGTTTCGAAAGACCACGTTGCTAAGGGCCCCGAACCCCGCGAAAATGAAGCCTGCGGCCTTGCCTAGATTAACGCGCCGCCTCGCACGACACTCGCGCCCGCCGGGCCGCCCACGCCCACCGACCCCCAACCCACCTCGTTGTACGCAGCGATCCTCGAACGCCCACGATCAACCTCCCACGACGAGGATGAGGAGGAGGATGAGGGAGAGATGGAGGAGGAGGTGGTTGAGAATGCGAATCCCGAAGGACGACCGCTGAGCCGAGAAACATCAAAAAAATACAAAAATACAACTCAGGCGACAGGCCCGTTGCTAAGGGGGGAGCAGGGAAGCCGTTGCTAAGGGAGGGAGGGGGTGGGGGTAGCGGGGGGCGGGGTGAGGGGGGTCTCTGCTGTGTGATGAGTCTATGGGTCTCTGCTGTGTGATAAGTCTATGCGTCTCTGCTCTGTGATGAGTCTATGGGTCTCTGTGATGAGTCTATGGGTCTCTGCTGTGTGATGAGTCTATGGGTCTCTGTGATGAGTCTATGGGTCTCTGCCGTGTGATGAGTCTATGGGTCTCTGCCGTGTGATGAGTCTATGGGTCTCTGCTGTGTGATGAGTCTATGGGTCTCTGCTGTGTGATGAGTCTATGGGTCTCTGCTGTGTGTTGAGTCTATGGATCTCTGATGTGTGATGAGTCCATGGGTCTCTGCTGTGTGATGAGTCTATGGGTCTCTGCTGTGTGTTGAGTCTATGGATCTCTGTTGTGTGATGAGTCTATGGGTCTCTATGATGAGTCTATGGGTCTCTGCTGTATGATGAGTCTATGGGTCTCTGCTGTGTGATGAGTCTATGGGTCTCTGCTGTGTGATGAGTCTATGGGTCTCTGCTGTGTGATGAGTCTATGGCTCTCTGCTGTGTGATGAGTCTATGGGTCTCTGCTGTGTGATGAGTCTATGGGTCTCTGCTGTGTGATGAGTCTATGGGTCTCTGCTGTGTGATGAGTCTATGGGTCTCTGCTGTGTGATGAGTCTATGGGTCTCTGCTGTGTGATGAGTCTATGGCTCTCTGCTGTGTGATGAGTCTATGGGTCTCTGCTGTGTGATGAGTCTATGGCTCTCTGCTGTGTTATGAGTCTATGGGTCTCTGCTGTGTGATGAGTCTATGGGTCTCTGCTGTGTGATGAGTCTATGGGTCTCTGCTGTGTGATGAGTCTATGGGTCTCTGCTGTGTGATGAGTCTATGGGTCTCTGCTGTGTGATGAGTCTATGGGTCTCTGCTATGTGATGAGTCCATGGGTCTCTGCTGTGTGATGAGTCTATGGGTCTCTGCTGTGTGATGAGTCTATGGCTCTCTGCTGTGTGATGAGTCTATGGGTCTGTTGTGTGATGAGTCTATGGGTCTCTGCTGTGTGATGAGTCTATGGGTCTCTGCTGTATGATGAGTCTATGGCTCTCTGCTGTGTGATGAGTCTATGGGTCTCTGCTGTGTGATGAGTCTATGGGTCTCTGTTGTGTGATGAGTCTATGGGTCTCTGCTGTGTGATGAGTCTATGGGTCTCTGTGTGTGATGAGTCTATGGGTCTCTGCTGTGTGATGAGTTTGTGGGTCTCTGCTGTGTGATGAGTCTATGGGTCTCTGCTGTGTGATGAGTCTATGCGTCTCTGCTTTGTGATGAGTCTATGGGTCTCTGCTGTGTGATGAGTCTATGGGTCTCTGCTGTGTGATGAGTCTATGGGTCTCTGCTGTGTGATGAGTCTATGGGTCTCTGCGGTGTGATGAGTCTATGGGTCTCTGCTGTGTGATGAGTTTGTGGGTCTCTGCTGTGTGATGAGTCTATGGGTCTCTGCTGTGTGATGAGTCTATGCGTCTCTGCTTTGTGATGAGTCTATGGGTCTCTGCTGTGTGATGAGTCTATGGGTCTCTGCTGTGTGATGAGTCTATGGGTCTCTGCTGTGTGATGAGTCTATGGGTCTCTGCTGTGTGATGAGTCTATGGGTCTCTGCTGTGTGATGAGTCTATGGGTCTCTGCTGTGTGATGAGTCTATGGGTCTCTGCTGTGTGATGAGTCTATGCGTCTCTACTGTGTGATGAGTCTATGGGTCTCTGCTGTGTGATGAGTCTATGGGTCTCTGCTGTGTGATGAGTCTATGGGTCTCTGCTGTGTGATGAGTCTGTGGGTCTCTGCTGTGTGATGAGTTTGTGGGTCTCTGCTGTGTGATGAGTCTATGGATCTCTGCTGTGTGATGAGTCTATGGGTCTCTGCTGTGTGATGAGTCTATGGGTCTCTGCTGTGTGATGAGTCTATGGGTCTCTATGATGAGTCTATGGGTCTCTGCTGTATGATGAGTCTATGGGTCTCTGCTGTGTGATGAGTCTATGGCTCTCTGCTGTGTGATGAGTCTATGGGTTTCTGCTGTGTGATGAGTCTATGGGTCTCTGCTGTGTGATGAGTCTATGGCTCTCTGCTGTGTGATGAGTCTATGGGTCTCTGCTGTGTGATGAGTCTACGGCTCTCTGCTGTGTTATGAGTCTATGGGTCTCTGCTGTGTGATGAGTCTATGGGTCTCTGCTCTGTGATGAGTCTATGGGTCTCTGCTGTGTGATGAGTCTATGGGTCTCTGCTGTGTGATGAGTCTATGGGTCTCTGCTGTGTGATGAGTCTATGGGTCTCTGCTGTGTGATGAGTCTATGGGTCTCTGCTGTGTGATGAGTCTATGGGTCTCTGCTGTGTGAGGAGTCTGTGGCTCTCTGCTGTGTGATGAGTCTATTGGTCCCTGCTGTGTGATGAGTCTATGGGTCTCTGCTGTGTGATGAGTCTATGGGGCTCTGCTGTGTGATGAGTCTATGGGGCTCTGCTGTGTGATGAGTTTGTGGGTCTCTGCTGTGTGATGAGTCTATGGGTCTCTGCTGTGTGATGAGTCTATGCGTCTCTGCTTTGTGATGAGTCTATGGGTCTCTGCTGTGTGATGAGTCTATGGGTCTCTGCTGTGTGATGAGTCTATGGGTCTCTGCTGTGTGATGAGTCTATGGGTCTCTGCTGTGTGATGAGTCTATGGGTCTCTGCTGTGTGATGAGTCTATGGGTCTCTGCGGTGTGATGAGTCTATGGGTCTCTGCTGTGTGATGAGTCTATGGGTCTCTGCTGTGTGATGAGTCTATGGGTCTCTGCTGTGTGATGAGTCTATGGGTCTCTGCTGTGTGATGAGTCTATGGGTCTCTGCTGTGTGATGAGTCTATGGGTCTCTGCTGTGTGATGAGTCTATGGGTCTCTACTGTGTGATGAGTCTATGGGTCTCTGCTGTGTGATGAGTCTATGGGTCTCTGCTGTGTGATGAGTCTATGGGTCTCTGCCGTGTGATGAGTCTATGGGTCTCTGCTGTGTGATGAGTCTATGGGTCTCTGCTGTGTGATGAGTCTATGGGTCTCTGCTGTGATGAGTCTATGGGTCTCTGCTGTGTGATGAGTCTATGGGTCTCTGCTGTGTGATGAGTCTATGGGACTCTGCTGTGTGATGAGTCTATGGGTCTCTGCTGTGTGATGAGTCTATGGGTCTCTGCTGTGTGATGAGTCTATGGGTCTCTGCTGTGTGATGAGTCTATGGGTCTCTGCTGTGTGATGAGTCTATGGGACTCTGCTGTGTGATGAGTCTATGGGTCTCTGCTGTGTGATGAGTCTATGGGTCTCTGCTGTGTGATGAGTGTATGGGTCTCTGCTGTGTGGTGAGTCTATGGGTCTCTGCTGTGTGATGAGTCTATGGGTCTCTGCTGTGTGGTGAGTCTATGGGTCTCTGCTGTGTGGTGAGTCTATGGGTCTCTGCTGTGTGGTGAGTCTATGGGCCTCCTCCACTGGACATCTGTAAAAAAAAGAGCTTCATATCGAAATAAATAAATAATTCTTGGGGGGGATGGAGGGTGGGAGGGATGGAGGGGGGCGGGGTTCCGGGGTTAAAGGGCGGGGGTCGAGGGGCATGGGGGGGGTGATGGGGGGGGATGACGTTTGGGCTTCCGGGGGGATTGGGGGGTGAGGGGCGGGGTTTTGGGTGAGTAGGTTAATGAGGGGGGCGGGGTTCCGGGGAATTGCGGGGTTAAGGGGGGCGGGGTTCCGGGGGATTGCGGGATGAGGGGCGGGCTCGTGGGGGGTGATGGGGCGGGGGTTCCGTTGGATTTAACGTGACGAGGGGGGCGGAGTTCCGGGGGATTGTGTATGAGGGGCGGGGCTCCGTGGGAATAGAGGGGCGGGGCTCGGGGCGCTGCAGAGACTCTCGCGAGGAGACGGCGGCCATCACCGCTCCCGTTCCGCCGCGAGACTTGAGGTGACCCCTCCCGCCAAAAGCCGCCTTCAGTCGCCTCACTCACGACTACACCCTCATTCTCAACTCATTACCTCTCATTCACTCTCATTCTCAACTCATTCTTAACTCATTCTCTCTCATTCTTAACTCATTCTCTCGCATTCTTAACTCATTCTCTCATTCTCAACGCATTCTCTCATTCTCAACGCATTCTCTCGCATACTCAACTCATTCTCTCGCATTCACAACTCATTCTCTCATTCTCAATTCATTCTCTCTCATTCTCAACTCATTCTCAATTAATTCTCAAATCATTTTCTCATTCTCAACTCATTTTCTCATTCTCAACTCATTCCCTCATTCTCTCATTCTCAACTAATTCCCTCATTCTCAACTCATTCTCAACTCATTCCCTCATTCTCTCATTCTCAACTAATTCCCTCATTCTCAACTCATTCTCTCGCCTCGCTCTTCTCAATATCTCGTCTCCCCACCATCTCCCCCTCTCCCCACCATCTCCCCATCATCCCCACCATCTCCCCACCATCTCCCCCTCTCCCCACCATCTCCCCCTCTCCCCACCATCTCCCCATCATCCCCACCATCTCCCCACCATCTCCCCTCCATCTCTCCTCCAGCTCCCCCTCTCCCCACCATCTCCACCTCTCCCCACCATCTCCCCACCATCTCCACCTCTCCCCACCATCTCCCCACCGTCTCCCCCTCTCCCCACCATTTCCCCACCATCTCCCCCTCTCCCCACCATCTCCCCACCATCTCCCCCTCTCCCCACCATCTCCCCACCATCTCCCCATCATCTCCCCTCCATCTCCCCCTCTCCCCACCATCTCCCCACCATCTCCCCCTCTCCCCACCATCTCCCCACCATCTCCCCACCATCCCCACCATCTCCCCCTCTCCCCTCCATCTCCCCTCCATCTCTCCCCACCATCTCCATTCCATCTCCCCTCCATCTCTCCCCTCCATCTCCCCACCATCTCCCCCTCTCCCCACCATCTCCCCACCGTCTCCCCCTCTCCCCTCCATCTCCCCTCCATCTCTCCCCACCATCTCCCCTCCATCTCCCCCTCTCGCCTCCATCTCCCCACCATCTCCCCACCATCTTCCCTCCATCTCCCCACCATCTCCCCTCCCATCTCCCCATCATCTCCCCTCCATCTCCCCCTCTCCCCTCCATCTCTCCCCACCATCTCCCCACCATCTCCATTCCATCTCCCCTCCATCTCCCCCTCTCCCCTCCATCTCCCCTCCATCTCCCCACCGTCTCCCCACCGTCTTCCCACTATCTCCCCCTCTCCCCACCATCTCCCCACCATCTCCCCTCCATCTCCCCCTCTCCCCTCCATCTCTCCCCACCATCTCCCCACCATCTCCCCACCATCTCCCCCTCTCCCCACCGTCTCCCCACCATCTCCCCCTCTCCCCATCATCTCCTCCTCTCCCCTCCATCTCCCCTCCATCTCCCCCTCTCCCCTCCATCTCCCCACCATCTCCCCTCCATCTCCCCCTCTCCCCTCCATCTCCCCTCCATCTCTCCCCACCATCTCCCCACCATCTCCCCTCCATCTTCCCCTCTCCCCTCCATCTCCCCACCATCTCCCCTCCATCTCCCCCTCTCCCCTCCATCTCCCCACCATCTCCCCTCCATCTTACCCTCTCCCCTCCATCTCTCCCCACCATCTCCCCACCATCTCCATTCCATCTCCCCTCCATCTCCCCCTCTCCCCTCCATCTCTCCCCACCATCTCCCCACCATCTCGTTTCCATCTCCCCTCCATCTCCCCCTCTCCCCTCCATCTCCCCTCCATCTCTCCCCACCATCTCCCCTCCATCTCCCCCTCTCCCCACCATCTCCATGCCATCTCCCCTCCATCTCCCCCTCTCCCCTCCATCTCTCCCCACCATCTCCCCACCATCTCCCCCTCTCCCCTCCATCTCCCCTCCATCTCTCCCCACCATCTCCCCTCCATCTCCCCCTCTCCCCACCATCTCCCCACCATCTCCACTCCATCTCCCCACCATCTCCATTCCATCTCCCCTCCATCTTCCCCTCTCCACTCCATCTCCCCACCATCTCCATTCCATCTCCCCTCCATCTCCCCCTCTCCACTCCATCTCCCCGTGGCCTCTCCCCTCAACATGAGTTGTATCTGGTGCGGTGGTTTGTGTTGTCAACATCGCCACTGGAGGTGTGGGGGGAGAGACAAAGACGGCCGGGCGTGGTGGTGCTGGTCACCCCCCACCCCCCCCCCCTCCCCTGTGTGTGGGAGGGATGGAGGGGGGGGGTCGGAGTTGAGGTGCACGTGGCCTGGCACACACAGACACACAGACACACACAGACACAGAGACACACACAGACACACACAGACACACACAGACACACAGAGACACACACAGACACACACAGACACACAGACACACACAGACACACAGAGACACACACAGACACACAGAGACACACACAGACACACACAGAGACACACAGACACAGAGACACACAGACACACACACACAGACACACACAGACACACACAGACACACACAGAGACACACAGACAGACACACACAGACACACACAGACACACAGAGACACATACAGACACACACAGACACAGAGACACACAGAGACCCCCACAGACCCACAGACAGACACAGACCCACAGAGACACACAGAGACCCCCACAGACCCACAGACACACAGACACACACAGACACACACACAGACACACACAGAGACACACACAGACACACAGAGACACACACAGACACACAGACACACACAGAGACACACAGAGATACACAGACCCACAGAGACACACAGACACACACAGACACACACAGAGACACACACAGACCCCCACAGACACACACAGACACACAGACCCTCAGAGACACACAGAGACCCCCACAGACCCACAGACACAGAGATACACAGACCCACAGAGACACAAACAGACACGGAGACACACAGAGACACACACAGACACACAGAGACACACACAGACACACACAGAGACACACAGACACACACACACAGACACACACAGACCCCCACAGACACACAGAGACACACAGACACACACAGACACACAGAGACACACAGAGACACACACAGACGCACACAGAGACACAGAGACACACACAGGCACACAGAGACAGAGACACACAGAGACACACAGAGACCCCCACAGAGACACACACAGACACACAGACCCACAGAGACACACACAGACACACAAACACGCAGAGACACACAGACACACAGAGACACACAGACACAGAGACACAGACCCACAGAGACACACACAGACACACAGAGACACACAGACACACACAGACACACAGAGACACACACAGACACACAGAGACACACACAGACACACAGACCCACAGAGACACACAGACTCACAGAGACACACACAGACACACAAACACGCAGTGACACAGACACACACACAGAGACCCACAGAGATACACAGAGACACACAGAGACACACAGACACACAGAGACACACAGACCCACAGAGACACACACAGAGACACAAACACGCAGTGACACAGACACACAGAGACACACAGACCCCCACACAGACCTCCACAGAGACACACACAGACACACAAACACGCAGAGACACAGACACACCCACAGAGACACACAGAAACACATAGACACACAGACACACACACACAGACACGCAGAGACAGACACAGACACACACAGACCCACAGAGACACACACATACCCACAGACACAGATAGACACATAGACCCATAGAGATACATAGAGACCCATAGATATCCACAGAGACACAGACCCAAGGACTAAACTAAACACTAATCAATGTTCATGTTACCTGTTGTAAGTCGCTAATGAGCTGCTGTGTAGCGCTTTGTTCAGAAGCGATCTGGCCAGGACAAATGGATATCAGCTCAACCAACTGGCTGATATCATCATCATCGTGGATATTTATGGCAGCAGCCATTAACATCTCCTAGCCACCGTGATGATGAGAGAGAGACACAGACTCCACATAGACCTCCTGTAGACCAGGCGAGGTAGTCAACATCTCATAGCCACCGTGATGATGATGAGAGAGACGCAGACTCCACATAGACCTGTATACCAGGCGAGGTAGTCAACATCTCCTAGCCACCGTGATGATGAGAGAGAGACGCAGACTCCACATAGACCTCCTGTAGACCACGCGAGGTAGTTAACATCTCATAGCCACCGTGATGATGAGAGAGAGACGCAGACTCCAAATACACAGCAACCTGGCATCGTCAGGGTCGGGATCGAACCCACGACCTCCTGCAGACCAGGCGAGGTAGTCAACATCTCCCAGCCACCGTGATGATGATGATGATAGAGACGCAGACTCCACATAGACAGCAGCAGGTGTCAGGGGTCAGAATGGAACCCACGACCTCCTGCCTACCAGGCGACGTAGTCAACATCTCCCAGCCACCGTGATGATGATGATGAGAGACGCAGACTCCACATACACCTCCTGTATACCAGGCGAGGTAGTCAACATCTCCTAGCCACCGTGATGATGATGAGAGAGAGATGCAGACTCCACATAGACCTCCTGTACACCAGGCGAGGTAGTCAACATCTCATAGCCACCGTGATGATGACGATGAGAGAGAGAGACGCAGACTCCACATAGACCTCCTGTATACCAAGCGAGGTAGTCAACACCTAGCCACTGTGATGATGAGAGAGAGACGCAGACTCCACATAGACCTGTAGACCAGGCGAGGTAGTCAACATCTCATAGCCACCGTGATGATGATGATGAGAGAGACACAGACTCCACATAGACCTCCTGCATACCAGGCGAGGTAGTCAACATCTTCCAGCCACCGTGATGATGATGATGAGAGAGACACAGACTCCACATAGACCTCCTGTAGACCAGGCGAGGTAGTCAACATCTCATAGCCACCGTGATGATGATGATGAGAGAGACACAGACTCCACATAGACCTCCTGTGTACCAGGCGAGGTAGTCAACATCTAGCCACCGTGATGATGATGATGAGAGAGAGAGAGACGCAGACTCCACATAGTCCTCCTGTAGACCAGGCGAGGTAGTCAACATCTCATAGCCACTGTGATGATGAGAGAGAGAGACGCAGACTCCACATAGACCTCCTGTATACCAGGCGAGGTAGTCAACATCTCCTAGCCACCGTGATGATGATGATGACAGAGAGACACAGACTCCACATAGACCTCCTGTAGACCAGGCGAGGTAGTCAACATCTCCTAGCCACCGTGATGATGATGAGAGAGACGCAGACTCCACATAGACCTCCTGCCTACCAGGCGAGGTAGTCAACATCTCCCAGCCACCGTGATGATGAGAGAGAGAGAGAGAGACTGCACATAGACCTCCTGTAGCCCGGGCGAGGTAGTCAACATCTCATAGCCACCGTGATGATGATGATGAGAGAGAGAGACGCAGACTCCACATAGACCTCCTGTAGACCAGGCGAGGTAGTCAACATCTCATAGCCACCGTGATGATGAGAGAGAGAGAGACGCAGACTCCAAATACCCAGCAACCTGCCATCGTCAGGGTCACGGGATCGAACCCACGACCTCCTGTAAACCAGGCGAGGTAGTCAACATCTCATAGCCACCGTGATGATGATGAGAGAGAGAGACGCAGACTCCACATAGACCTCCTGTAGACCAGGCGAGGTAGTCAACACCTAGCCACCATGATGATGATGAGAGAGATGCAGACTCCACATAGACCTCCTGTGTACCAGGCGAGGTAGTCAACACCTCCTAGCCACCGTGATGATGATGAGAGAGACGCAGACTCCACATAGACCTCCTGCCTACCAGGCGAGGTAGTCAACATCTCCCAGCCACCGTGGCCACACAGGAGTAGTAGGCTATCTCTGTCTCCGCTGTCTGCGTGCGAGTCGCAGCCGTTGAGGGCGGTGGGTGCTGGCGGAGGAGAAGATGATGGAGGACGTGATCAACATGGCCGTGTCCGGCATCAACACGGGACACAGCGGTGTGTGACTGTGTGTGTGTGACTGTGTGTGTGTGACTGTGTGACTGTGTGTGTGACTATGTGACTGTGTGTGTGACTGTGTGTGTGTGACTGTGTGGCTGTGTGTGTGACTGTGTGACTGTGTGTGTGACTGTGTGTGTGTGACTGTGTGTGTGTGAGACTGTGTGACTGTGTGTGTGTGTGACTGTGTGACTGTGTGTGTGTGACTGTGTGTGTGTGACTGTGTGTGTGTGTGACTGTGTGGCTGTGTGTGTGACTGTGTGACTGTGTGTGTGACTGTGTGTGTGTGTGACTGTGTGTGTGTGAGACTGTGTGACTGTGTGTGTGTGTGACTGTGTGACTGTGTGTGTGTGACTGTGTGTGTGTGACTGTGTGTGTGTGTGACTGTGTGTGTGTGTGACTGTGTGTGTGTGTGACTGTGTGTGTGTGTGACTGTGTGTGTGTGACTGTGTGTGTGTAACTGTGTGTGTGTAACTGTGTGTGTGACTGTGTGACTGTGTGTGTGTGTGACTGTGTGTGACTGTGTGTGTAACTGTGTGTGTGACTGTGTGTGTGTGTGTAACTGTGTGTGTGTGACTGTGTGTGTGACTGTGTGTGCGTGTGACTGTGTGTGCGTGTGACTGTGTGTGTGTGACTGTGTGTGTGACTATTGCTCAACCACGTTATGTATGCCGATGATTTGGTAATAGCTGCTCATTCAGAGGGGTTGGAGACACTGCTGCTGAGACTGGAGCATGCCACTAAGAGGTGGGGCCTTACCATCAGCCCCACCAAAACTAAGCACCTGCCTGGGTATTTTGAACCATCGGACACTCCACCCCCACAACTCCCAATCGGTGATGGGGCAGTTGTGGAGAGAGTGGAGAGTTTCCCATACCTGGGCAGTGTGCTTATGACCGACTCCAGTTTAACAGCAGAGGTCTCACTCCGAATCAGTCGAGCGGCAATATCTTGTCATCGGTTGCGTAACGCTGTGTGGAAGCTACCTGGTCTGTCGCTCCGCACTAAGCTTCAGGTCTTCTCGGCCACGGTCATTCCCTCCCTTCTCTACGCTTGCGAAACGTGGACCCCCTTAATGGAGCATCTTCGCCGGTTGGAAACATTTAGGCTGGCCTGCCTACGATCCATCCTGGGTTTAACCAGGCTGGATTGTGTGAGGAGCTCACAAATCCTTGAAAGATCTGGGCAAGGTCCCATCGGTGAGCTCCGGCAGACAAGGCTGCGTTGGCTGGGTCATGTAGCCCGCATGCCCAGCCACCGCATGCCGAAACAGCTTCTGTTCGGCTGGATCGAGGGGGCTAAACGGGCACGGCACGGGCTAGAGAAGAGATGGAGTGATGTGGTACAGGAGGACGTGGAGCTGAGTGGACTTGCCGATGACCGGTACCAGCGGTGTCAAGATCGGCCTCTGTGGAGGAGGCTCGTGAAGGACGCTGCTATTGGGCAGTTGGAGGCAGTCGCCCTCCAACAACAACGGAGGGCGGAGGAGCGACGCTCACAACAACGAGCGGAGCGCCGGGTGGTTAAAGCACAGCAGGTTGGCACAGTAGGGGGCACAGGTGGTGCATCAGCCAGTCATCTTAGTCAGTCGACCCGTGGCACCTGGGTCTGCCCCGTGACCTCCTGCCCGCGGGCGTTCGACACTTCACGTGGCCTCGAGGTGCACCTAGCCTGGCACAAGCGTCGTGGTGACGTCACCGCCACTTAGTGGCGAATGGCGGTTGTTGTGTTGTTGTTGTGTGTGTGTGTGACTATGTGTGTGTGACTATGTGTGTGTGACTGTGTGTGTGTGACTGTGACTGGAGCGATAGTGTAGCGGTTAGCGCTACGCTGCACTATGAACCTGGCGACCCGGGTTCGATTCCCGCTCACGGCCAACACCAGTGACGATTATCTGAACCGGTCCCGGGCCTCTCCTAGGTCGACTCAGCCTCAAATGAGTACCTGGTGCGGTGTGTAAACATCGCCACTAGGGAGACAAAGGCGGTCGGGCGTGGTGCTGTCCACCCACCCCCTCGTGTACCGTTCCGGCCTTCATAGGTGCTCGCTAACAGCACTTGCCCCTACAGTCTGTTACGGCTATATGGGGGATCATTGTCTTTGTGTGACTGTGTATGTGTGTGACTGTGTGTGTGTGACTGTGTGTGTGTGTGTGACTGTGTGTGTGTTTGACTGTGTGTGACTATGTGTGTGACTGTGTATGTGTGTGACTGTGTGTGTGTGTGACTATATGCGTGTGACTGTCCGGCATAAAAACAACCCCCTAACTAATTCTAGATTTGAAGCTTTTTTTGACTGCAAGGATTCATACTCTTCGTTTAGTTTTTTTCGGCAAAGTCGCGTAGGGTAAAAAAAAATGAAAACAACTCAATTAAATCACGACGTTTCGGAGGCAACGCAAGCTTCCTTCCTCAGGTTGTGAAAAGGGCACAACAAAATAACTGTGGAGAGAGCTGTTTGTGGTGATAGACTGTTATCTAGGGTAAGAGGAGGGGGAGGAGGCAGGGTGGGAATGAACATGAAGAACATCGGAGCCACGGAATGGGGGGGGAGACGCGGGGCGGGGGAGAGTAGCGGATGAGGTTTAATATGGTCAAGCACATCTTTCCAATGATTGCTCAATTTGAATCCATCTTCTCGGTTGAAGTTATGTCTACGTTTGTAAATTCACCATGGGTGTTGTTGTGTGTGACTGTGTGTGACTGTGTGTGTGACTGTGTGTGACTGTGTGTGTGACTGTGTGTGTGTGTCTCTCTCCGTGTGTGTGATTGTGTGTGTGTGTGACTGTGTGTGTGACTGTGTGCGTGTGTGTCTCTCTCCGTGTGTGTGACTGTGTGTGTGACTGTGTGTGTGTGTGTGACTGTGTGAGTGTGTGACTGTGTATGAATGTGTGACTGTGTGTGTGTGACTGTGTGTGACTGTGTGTATGACTGTGTGTGTGTGACTGTGTGTGACTGTGTATGAATGTGTGACTGTGTGTGTGTGACTGTGTGTGACCGTGTGTATGACTGTGTGTGTGTGACTGTGTGTGTGTGTGACTGTGTGTGTGTGTGTGACTGTGTGTGCGTGTGACTGTGTGTGTGTGTGTGACTGTGTGTGTGTGTGACTGTGTGTGTGTGACTGTGTGTGTGTGTGACTGTGTGTGTGTGACTGTGTGCGTGTGTGTCTCTCTCCGTGTGTGTCGCGACCAGCGGAGGAGCTGGTAGCGCCCCACAGCGACGGTAACGCCGTCACAGCGATGGCGGCGCCGGCGGAGCCGCCGCCCAAGCGCCCGCGCCTCCAAATCTTCGCCGGCCCCGGCGGAGAGGTCACGGACGACGCCAGCCTCAGGGTCAGAACCATCACACAGCAGAGACCCATAGACTCATCATAGAGACCCATAGACTCATCATAGAGACCCATAGACTCATCATAGAGACCCATAGACTCATCACACAGAGAGACCCATAGACTCATCACACAGCAGAGAGCCATAGACTCATCATACAGCAGAGACCCATAGACTCATCACACAGCAGAGAGCCATAGACTCATCATAGAGACCCATAGACTCATCATAGAGACCCATAGACTCATCATAGAGACCCATAGACTCATCACACAGCAGAGACCCATAGACTCATCATAGAGACCCATAGACTCATCATAGAGACCCATAGACTCATCACTCAGCAGAGAGCCATAGACTCATCATAGAGACCCATAGACTCATCACACAGCAGAGACCCATAGACTCATCATAGAGACCCATAGACTCATCATAGAGACCCATAGACTCATCACACAGAGAGACCCATAGACTCATCACTCAGCAGAGAGCCATAGACTCATCACACAGCAGAGAGCCATAGACTCATCATACAGCAGAGACCCATAGACTCATCACACAGCAGAGACCAATAGACTCATCACACAGCAGAGAGCCATAGACTCATCACACAGCAGAGAGCCATAGACTCATCATAGAGACCCATAGACTCATCATAGAGACCCATAGACTCATCACACAGCAGAGACCCATAGACTCATCATAGAGACCCATAGACTCATCATAGAGACCCATAGACTCATCATAGAGACCCATAGACTCATCACACAGCAGAGACCCATAGACTCATCATAGAGACCCATAGACTCATCATAGAGACCCATAGACTCATCACTCAGCAGAGAGCCATAGACTCATCATAGAGACCCATAGACTCATCACACAGCAGAGACCCATAGACTCATCATAGAGACCCATAGACTCATCATAGAGACCCATAGACTCATCACACAGAGAGACCCATAGACTCATCACTCAGCAGAGAGCCATAGACTCATCACACAGCAGAGAGCCATAGACTCATCATACAGCAGAGACCCATAGACTCATCACACAGCAGAGACCAATAGACTCATCACACAGCAGAGAGCCATAGACTCATCACACAGCAGAGACCCATAGACTCATCACACAGCAGAGAGCCATAGACTCATCATAGAGACCCATAGACTCATCATAGAGACCCATAAACTCATCACACAGCAGAGACCCACAGACTCATCACACAGCAGAGAGCCACAGACTCATCACACAGCAGAGACCCATAGACTCCTCACACAGCAGAGAGCCATAGACTCATCACACAGCAGAGACCCATAGTCTCACCACACAGCAGAGACCCACAGACTCATCACACAGCAGAGACCCATAGACTCATCACACAGCAGAGACCCATAGACTCATCACACAGCAGAGACCCATAGACTCATCACACAGCAGAGACCCACAGACTCATCACACAGCAGAGACCCACAGACTCATCACACAGCAGAGACCCATAGACTCATCACACAGCAGAGCCCCATAGACTCATCACACAGCAGAGCCCCATAGACTCATCACACAGCAGAGAGCCATAGACTCATCACACAGCAGAGACCCATAGACTCATAACACAGCAGAGACTCATAGACTCATCGCACAGCAGAGACCCAAAGACTCATCGCACAGCAGAGACCCATAGACTCATCACACAGCAGAGAGCCATAGACTCATCATAGAGACCCATAGACTCATCATAGAGACCCATAAACTCATCACACAGCAGAGACCCATAGACTCATCACACAGCAGAGACCCATAGACTCATCACACAGCAGAGACCCATAGACTCATCACACAGCAGAGACCCATAGACTCATCACACAGCAGAGACCCATAGACTCATCACACAGCAGAGACCCATAGACTCATCACACAGCAGAGACCCATAGACTCATCACACAGCAGAGACCCATAGACTCATCACACAGCAGAGACCCACAGACTCATCACACAGCAGAGACCCATAGACTCATCACACAGCAGAGACCCATAGACTCATCACACAGCAGAGACCCATAGACTCATCACACAGCAGAGACCCATAGACTCATCACACAGTAGAGACCCATAGACTCATCACACAGCAGAGACCCATAGACTCATCACACAGCAGAGACCCATAGACTCATCACACAGCAGAGACCCAAAGACTCATCGCACAGCAGAGAGCCATAGACTCCTCACACAGCAGAGACCCATAGACTCATCATAGAGACCCATAGACTCATCACACAGCAGAGACCCATAGACTCATCACACAGCAGAGACCCATAGACTCAGCCTGCTGTCTGTCTGCCCCCCCCCCCCCCGTCTCGTCTCGTGCAGGCCCTGCTGGTGGGTCTCCACGAGGCGGTGTGTGTCCGGCTGGAGGCCGTGGAGACGCGCCTCCTGGCCCTGGAGTCTCGCTGCGGCCACGTGGAGGAGAAGCTGAGCCTCGTGCTGCTGGGCAGGGCCACCACCGGCAGTGTGGTCGGGGCACCCACCGTGTCGATGCAGGCCGGCTCGCCCTGGGGCGTCACGCACTCGTCCATGAAAGTTCGCAGGTCGGCGTTGGGCGCGGGTGGGGGAGAGGGGGAGAGAGACGTAGACTCATCATAGAGACCCACAGACTGATCATAGAGACCCATAGACTCATCATAGAGACCCACAGACTCATCACACAGCAGAGACGCACAGACTCATCACACACAGAGACCCATAGACTCATCATAGAGACCCATAGACTCATCATAGAGACCCATAGACTCATCACACAGCAGAGACCCATAGACTCATCATAGAGACCCACAGACTCATCACACAGCAGAGACGCACAGACTCATCACACACAGAGACCCATAGACTCATCACACACAGAGACCCATAGACTCATCATAGAAACCCATAGACTCATCATAGAGACCCATAGACTCATCACACAGCAGAGACCCATAGACTCATCACACAGCAGAGACCCACAGACTCATCATAGAGACCCATAGACTCATCACATAGCAGAGACCCACAGACCCATCATAGAGACCCATAGACTCATCACACAGCAGAGACCCATAGACTCATCACACAGCAGAGACCCATAGACTCATCACACAGCAGAGACCCATAGACTCATCACACAGCAGAGACCCATAGACTCATCATAGAGACCCACAGACTCATCACACAGCAGAGACCCATAGACTCATCACACACAGAGACCCATAGACTCATCACACAGCAGAGAGCCATAGACTCATCACACAGCAGAGACCCATAGACTCATCACACAACAGAGACCCATAGACTCATCACACAACAGAGACCCATAGACTCATCACACAACAGAGACCCATAGACTCATCACACAACAGAGACCCATAGACTCATCATAGAGACCCACAGACTGATCACACAGCAGAGACCCATAGACTCATCACACAACAGAGACCCATAGACCCATCATAGAGACCCACAGACTCATCACACAGCAGAGACCCATAGACTCATCACACAGCAGAGACCCATAGACTCATCACACAGCAGAGACCCATAGACTCATCACACAGCAGAGACCCATAGACTCATCACACAGCAGAGACCCATAGACTCATCACACAGCAGAGACCCATAGACTCATCACACAGCAGAGACCCACAGACTCTTCACACAGCAGAGACCCATAGACGCATCATAGAGACCCACAGACTCATCACACAGCAGAGACCCATAGACTCATCACACAGCAGAGACCCATAGACTCATCACACACAGAGACCCATCGACTCATCACACAGCAGAGACCCATAGACTCATCACACAGCAGAGACCCATAGACTCATCACACAGCAGAGACCCATAGACTCATCATAGAGACCCACAGACTCATCACACAGCAGAGACCCATAGACTCATCACACAGCAGAGACCCATAGACTCATCACACAGCAGAGAGCCATAGACTCATCACACAGCAGAGACCCATAGACTCATCACACAACAGAGACCCATAGACTCATCACACAACAGAGACCCATAGACTCATCACACAACAACAGAGACCCATAGACTCATCATAGAGACCCACAGACTGATCACACAGCAGAGACCCATAGACTCATCACACAACAGAGACCCATAGACCCATCATAGAGACCCACAGACTCATAGCGCGGCAGAGACCCATAGACTCATCACACAGCAGAGAGCCATAGACTCATCACACAGCAGAGAGCCATAGACTCATCACACAGCAGAGACCCATAGACTCATCACACAGCAGAGACCCATAGACTCATCACACAGCAGAGAGCCATAGACTCATCACACAGCAGAGAGCCATAGACTCATCACACAGCAGAGACCCATAGACTCATCACACAGCAGAGACCCATAGACTCATCACACAGCAGAGACCCATAGACTCATCACACATCCGAGAGCTGTAGACTCATCATAGAGACCCACAGACTCGGTCTGATTTCTGCATCCCCCCCCCCGCCCGCTCCCCCCTCCACCCCACCGCCAGCGCTGTGCCAGGCCGGCGCCACGCTCCGGTCTTGGTGAAGGTGCCGGAGCCGTCGGCGGCGGCGGTGACGGCGGCGGCCGTGGCCACGATGGCGGAGGCAGTGGTGGCGTCGGTGGAGGTGGAGGAGGCGGAGGGGGTGGGCCGCCTTCAGGTACATTTGCCGGTTCTTTGCCAGGTGCATTTGCCGGTTCTTTGCCAGGTTACATTTGCTGCTTCTTTGCCAGGTACATTTGCTGGTTCTTCGCCAGGTACATTTGCTGGTTCTTTGTCAGGTTACATTTGCTGGTTCTTTGCCAGGTTACATTTGCTGGTTCTTTGCCAGGTGCATTTGCTGATTCTTTGCCAGGTTACATCTGCTGGTTCTTTGCCAGGTTACATTTGCTGATTCTTTGCCAGGTTACATTTGCTGATTCTTTGCCAGGTGCATTTGCCGGTTCTTTGCCAGGTACATTTGCTGATTCTTTGCCAGGTTACATTTGCTGCTTCTTTGCCAGGTACATTTGCTGCTTCTTTGCCAGGTACATTTGCTGGTTCTTTGCCAGGTTACATTTGCTGGTTCTTTGCCAGGTGCATTTGCTGGTTCTTTGCCAGGTTACATTTGCTGGTTCTTTGCCAGGTGCATCTGCTTGTTCTTTGCCAGGTACATTTGCTGGTTCTTTGCCAGGTACATTTGCTGGTTCTTTTGCCAGGTACATTTGCTGGGTCTTTGCCAGGTGCATTTGCTGGTTCTTCGCCAGGTGCATTTGCTGGTTCTTTGCCAGGTGGATTTGCTGGTTCTTTGCCAGGTGCATCTGCTGGTTCTTTGCCAGGTACATTTGCTGGTTCTTTGCCAGGTACATTTGCTGGTTCTTTGCCAGGTACATTTGCTGGTTCTTTGCCAGGTACATTTGCCGGTTCTTTGCCAGGTGCATTTGCCGGTTCTTTGCCAGGTACATTTGCTGGTTCTTAGCCAGGTGCATCTGCTGGTTCTTTGCCAGGTACATTTGCTGGTTCTTTTGCCAGGTACATTTGCTGGGTCTTTGCCAGGTGCATTTGCTGGTTCTTTGCCAGGTACATTTTGCTGTTTCTGTGCCAGGTGCATTTGCTGGTTCTTTGCCAGGTGCATTTGCTGGTTCTTTGCCAGGTACATTTGCTGGTTCTTTGCCAGGTACATTTGCTGGTTCTTTGCCAGGTACATTTGCTGGTTCTTTGCCAGGTACATTTGCTGGTTCTTTGCCAGGTACATTTGCTGGTTCTTTGCCAGGTACATTTGCTGGTTCTTTGCCAGGTACATTTGCTGGTTCTTTGCCAGGTACATTTGCTGGTTCTTTGCCAGGTTACATTTGCTGGTTCTTTGCCAGGTGCATTTGCTGGTTCTTTGCCAAGTACATTTGCTGGTTCTTCGCCAGGTGCATTTGCTGGTTCTTTGCCAGGTGCATTTGCTGGTTCTTTGCCAAGTACATTTGCTGGTTCTTCGCCAGGTGCATTTGCTGGTTCTTTGCCAGGTGCATTTGCTGGTTCTTTGCCAGGTACATTTGCTGGTTCTTTGCCAGGTACATTTGCTGGTTCTTAGCCAGGTACATTTGCTGGTTCTTTGCCAGGTACATTTGCTGGTTCTTTGCCAAGTACATTTGCTGGTTCTTTTCCAGGTACATTTGCTGGTTCTTTGCCAGGTACATTTGCTGGTTCTTTGCCACGTACATTTGCTGGTTCTTTGCCAGGTACATTTGCTGGTTCTTTGCCACGTACATTTGCTGTTTTTTTGCCAGGTACATTTGCTGGTTCTTTGCCAGGTACATTTGCTGGTTCTTTGCCAGGTACATTTGCTGGCTCTTTGCCAGGTACATTTGCTGGTTCTTTGCCAGGTGCATTTGCTGGTTCTTTGCCAGGTACATTTGCTGGTTCTTTGCCAGGTACATTTGCTGGTTCTTCGCCAGGTGCATTTGCTGGTTCTTTGCCAGGTACATTTGCTGGTTCTTTGCCAGGTACATTTGCTGGTTCTTTGCCACGTACATTTGCTGGTTCTTTGCCAGGTACATTTGCTGGTTCTTTGCCAGGTACATTTGCTGGCTCTTTGCCAGGTACATTTGCTGGTTCTTTGCCAAGTACATTTGCTGGTTCTTCGCCAGGTGCATTTGCTGGTTCTTTGCCAGGTGCATTTGCTGGTTCTTTGCCAGGTACATTTGCTGGTTCTTTGCCAGGTACATTTGCTGGTTCTTAGCCAGGTACATTTGCTGGTTCTTTGCCAGGTACATTTGCTGGTTCTTTGCCAAGTACATTTGCTGGTTCTTTGCCAGGTACATTTGCTGGTTCTTTGCCAGGTACATTTGCTGGTTCTTTGCCAGGTACATTTGCTGGTTCTTTGCCAGGTACATTTGCTGGTTCTTTGCCACGTACATTTGCTGGTTCTTTGCCACGTACATTTGCTGGTTCTTTGCCAGGTACATTTGCTGGTTCTTTGCCAGGTACATTTGCTGGCTCTTTGCCAGGTACATTTGCTGGTTCTTCGCCAGGTGCATTTGCTGGTTCTTTGCCAGGTACATTTGCTGGTTCTTTGCCAGGTACATTTGCTGGTTCTTCGCCAGGTGCATTTGCTGGTTCTTTGCCAGGTACATTTGCTGGTTCTTTGCCAGGTACATTTGCTGGTTCTTTGCCAGGTACATTTGCTGGTTCTTTGCCAGGTACATTTGCTGGTTCTTTGCCAGGTACATTTGCTGGTTCTTTGCCAGGTACATTTGCTGGTTCTTTGCCACGTACATTTGCTGGTTCTTTGCCACGTACATTTGCTGGCTCTTTGCCAGGTACATTTGCTGGTTCTTTGTCAGGTACATTTGCTGGTTCTTTGTCAGGTACATTTGCTGACATGTGCGTGTGTGTGTACGTGCGTGTGTGTACGTGCGTGTGTGTACGTGCGTGTGTGTACGTGCGTGTGTGTACGTGCGTGTACGTGCGTGCGTGTACGTGCGTGCGTGTGCGTGCGTGTACGTGCGTGTGTGTACGTGCGTGTGTGTACGTGCGTGTGTGTACGTGTGTGTGCGTGTGTGTGTGTACGTGTGTGTGTACGTGCGTGCGTGTACGTGCGTGTGTGCGTGTGTACGTGTGTGTGAATGCGTGGGGAGTGGTAGTGTATCGGTTAGGGCATTGCACTACAAACCCGGCGACCCGGGTTCGATTCCCGCTCACGGCCAACACTACCGGTGACGATTATCTAAACCGGTCCCGGGCCTCCCCTAGGTCGACACAGCCTCAAATGAGTACCTGGTGCGGTGTGTAGTAAACATCGCCACTGGGGAGACAAAGGCGGCCGGGCGTGGTGCTGGCCACCCACCCCCTCGTGTGCCGTGCCGGCCTTCATAGGTGCTCGCTAACAGCACTTGCCCCTACAGCCCTGCTAGAGGCTACACGGGGGACCTTTGTCTGTGTGTCTATAGGGCACTGCTGCTGCTACTAACAGCACTTGCCCCTACAGCCCTGCTAGAGGCTACACGGGTCACCTTTGCCTTCGTGTGACCGCGTGTGTTTACGCTTGCGCACAGGAAGAGGTGGAGGATGAGGAGGAGCAGGAGGAGGATGAGGAGGAGCAGGAGGAGGATGAGGAGGAGGAGGTGGAGGGGAGGGGGGGCGGTGGCGGCCCCGACGCGCTGCGCTCGCCCTCCGGCAGCCAATCAGGAGACGCCGCCACGGGGGGGGGGCGGCCGGGGAGTTGTGGGGGGCGGCGGTGGCAGCGGTGGGAACTTCCACCCCAGCGTGACGCTCATCACGCTCAACAGCGAGGGTGAGGCGCTCACCCAGTCACTCACCCAGTCACTCACCCAGTCACTCACCCAGTCACTCACCCAGTCACTCACCCAGTCACACACTCACCCAGTCACACACTCACCCAGTCACTCACCCAGTCACACACTCACCCAGTCACACACTCACCCAGTCACACACTCACCCAGTCACTCACCCAGTCACTCACCCAGTCACTCACGCAGTCACTCACCCAGTCACTCACGCAGTCACTCACCCAGTCACTCAGTCACTCACCCAGTCACTCACTCACTCACTCACCCAGTCACTCACCCAGTCACACACTCACCCAGTCACACACTCACCCAGTCACTCACCCAGTCACTCACCCAGTCACACACTCACCCAGTCACACACTCACCCAGTCACACACTCACCCAGTCACTCACCCAGTCACTCACCCAGTCACTCACCCAGTCACTCACGCAGTCACTCACCCAGTCACTCAGTCACTCACCCAGTCACTCACTCACTCACTCACCCAGTCACTCACCCAGTCACACACTCACCCAGTCACTCACTCACTCACCCAGTCACTCACTCACCCAGTCACTCAGTCACTCACCCAGTCACTCACTCACTCACCCAGTCACTCACCCAGTCACACACTCACCCAGTCACTCACTCACTCACTCACCCAGTCACTCACTCACCCAGTCACTCACTCACTCACCCAGTCACTCACTCACCCAGTCACTCACTCACCCACTCACTCACCCAGTCACTCACCCAGTCACTCACTCACTCACCCAGTCACTCAGTCACTCACCCAGTTACTCACTCACCCAGTCACTCAGTCACTCACTCACTCACCCAGTCACTCACCCAGTCACACACTCACCCAGTCACTCACTCACCCAGTCACTCACTCACCCAGTCACTCACTCACTCACCCACTCACCCAGTCACTCACTCACCCAGTCACTCTCCCAGTCACTCACCCAGTCACTCAGTCACTCACCCACTCACCCACTCACCCACCACTCACCCACTCACTCACCCACTCACTCACTCACTCACCCACTCACCCACCCACTCACTCACTCACCCACTCACTCACTCACCCACCCACTGACTCACCCACCTACTCACTCACCCACTCACCCACTCACTCACCCACCCACTCACTCACCCACTCACCCACCCACTCACTCACTCACTCACCCACCCACTCACTCACCCATCCACTCACTCACTCACCCACTCACCCACCCACTCACCCACCCACTCACCCACTCACTCACTCACCCACTCACTCACCCACTCACTCACCCACTCACTCACCCACTCACTCACTCACCCACTCACTCACCCACTCACTCACCCACCCACTCACCCACTCACTCACTCACCCACCCACTCACCCACCCACTCACCCCACCCCACCCCACCACCCACCCCACCTCACCCCACCCCACCCCACCACCCACCCCACCCCTCAGAGGATTTCCCTGACGGCACGTGGCTGGGCGACGAGTCGAACGCCGAGCTGCGCGTGCGCTGCCCCATGACCCCGGGCGACCTGCTGCACGTGACCGCCGCGTGTCCCACGCCCGAGAAGATGGCGCTCACCCTGCTGGACCACCTCTTCCATCGCGAGGTGCAGGCCAACAGCAACCTGTCTGGCCTCGGGCGTCACGGCAAGAAGCAGCTCGACCCGCTCATGGTCTACGGCATCCGCTGTGAGTTGGTGTGGTGGTGTGGTGTGGTGGTGGTGGTGGTGTGGTGGTGTGGTGTGGTGGTGGTGGTGTGGTGTGGTGGTGGTGGGTGCGGGGGGAGGGTGTGAGTTGGTGTGGTGGTGGTGGTGTGGTGGTGTGGTGGTGTGGTGGTGGTGGTGTGGTGGTGGTGGTGTGGTGTGGTGGTGGTGGGTGCGGGGGGAGGGTGTGAGGTGGTGGTGGTGGTGGTGGTGTGGTGGTGGTGTGGTGGTGGTGTGATGTGGTGGTGTGGTGGTGGTGGTGGTGTGGTGGTGGTGTGGTGGTGGTGTGGTGGTGGGTGCGGGGGGAGGGTGTGAGGTGGTGGTGGTGGTGGGTGAGTAGGGAGTGAGTATCGTGGGTAGGGGGTGAGTAGGGTGGGTGGAGTGGGTTGGTGGTGGGGTAGGTGGTGGTGGTGGTGTGGTGGTGGTGGTGGTGTGGTGGTGGTGTGGGTGCGGGGGGAGGGTGTGGGGTGGTGGTGGTGGTGGGTGGGTGGGTAGGGGGTGAGTGGGGTGGGTGGGTTGGGGGTGAGTGGGGTGGGTGGGTAGGGGGTGAGTGGGGTGGGTAGGGAGTGAGTGGGGTGGGTGGGTTGGGGGTGAGTGGGGTGGGTGGGTAGGGAGTGAGTATCGTGGGTAGGGAGTGAGTGGGGTGGGTGGAGTTGGTTTGAGGGGATGGTGGTGGTGGTGGTGGGTGGGTGGGTAGGGGGTGAGTGGGGTGGGTGGGTAGGGAGTGAGTGGGGTGGGTGGAGTGGGTTTGATGGGATGGTGGTGGTGGGTGGGTGGGTAGGGAGTGAGTGGGGTGGGTGGAGTGGGTTGGGGGTGGGTTAGGTGGTGGTGGGTGGGGTGGGTGCAGAGTGGGTGGGTGGGGAGGGACAGGTGGGTGGTGGGGGGGGGGTGATGGTGGGGGGGGTAGTTAGTGGGGGTGTCCCATTCCATGCTGACAAATGGTAACCTCCCTCTCTCCTCCACCACCACCACCACCTGCACCACCACCACCTGCACCACCACCACCACCTGCACCACCACCACCTGCACCACCACCACCTGCACCACCACCACCACGATAACCACAACAACCACCACCACCACCTGCACCACCACCACCTGCACCACCACCACCTGCACCACCACGATAACCACAACAACCACCACCACCACCTGCACCACCACCACCACCTGCACCACCACCACCTGCACCACCACGATAACCACAACAACCACCACCTGCACCACCACCACCTGCACCACCACCACCACCACCTGCACCACCACCTGCACCACCACGATAACCACAATAACCACCACCACCACGACCACCACGACCACCACGCCGACCGTGACACAGGCCACCTCTTCCACAAGTTCGGCATTGCCGAGTGCGACTGGTACCGCATCAAGCAGAGCATCGACTCCAAGTGCCGCACCGCATGGCGGCGAAAGCAGCGTGGTCAGAGCCTCGCCGTTAAGGGATTCTCACGACGCAGCACAGCCGCCGCTGACGCAGCAGCAGCAGCAGGCGGCGGCGGAGGTGGCGGAGGTGGCGGTGATGGTGGAGGTGAGGGTGGTGGTGGTGTTGGTGGTGGTGGTGGTGAGGGTGGTGGTGGTGTTGGTGGTGAGGGTGGTGGTGGTAGTGGCGGTGGTGGTGGTAGTGGCGGTGATGGTGGTGGTGGTGGCGGTGATGGTGGTGGTGGTGAGGGTGGTGGTGGTGGTGGTGGTAGTGGCGGTGATGGTGGTGGTGGTGGTGGTGGCGGTGTTGGTGGTGAGAGTGGTGGTGGTGGAGGTGAGGGTGGTGGTGGTGATGGTGAGGGTGGTGTTGGTGGTGAGGGTGGTGGTGGTGGTGGTGGTGGTGGTGGTGATGGTGGAGGTGAGGGTGGTGGCGATGGTGGTGGTGATGGTGGAGGTGGTTGTGGTGGTGGTGGTGGTGGTGGTGGCGGTGATGGTGGAGGTGAGGGTGGTGGTGGAGGTGGTGGTGGTGGCGGCGGTGATGGTGGAGGTGATGGTGGTGGTGGTGGTGGTGATGGTGGTGGTGGAGGCGGTGATGGTGGTGAGGGTGGTGGTGGTGGTGGTGGTGAGGGTGGTGGTGGTGGTGGAGGTGAGGTTGGTGGTGGTGATGGTGGAGGTGAGGGTGGTTGTGGCGGTGGTGGTGGTGGTGATGGTAGAGGTAAGGGTGGAGGTGAGGGTGGTGGTGGTGCGGTAGTGGTGGTGGCGGAGGTGGTGGTGGCAGTATTGGTGCGGTGGTGGTGGTGGTGGGTGGGTAGGGAGTGAGTGGGGTGGGTGGAGCGGGTTGGTGGTGGGGTAGGTGGTGGTGGGTGGGGTGTGGGGTGGGTGCAGAGTGGGAGGGTGGGTGGGTGGGTGGGGAGGGACAGTTGGGTGGGGGGGGTGATGGTGGTGGTAGTGGTGGTGGTGGGGGTGGCGGTAGTGGTGGTGGTGGCGGAGGAGGTGAGGGTGGTGGTGGTGGTGGGTGTGGCAGTAGTGGTGGTGGTGGGTGTGACAGTAGTGGTGGTGGTAGTGGTGTTGGTGCTGGTGGTGGTGGTGAGGGTGGTGGTGGGGGTGGTGGCGGAGGTGGTGGTGGTGGTGGGGGTGGCGGCGGCGGAGGAGGTGTGTGTGGATGTGGTGGTGGTAGTGATGGTGATTATGTCGGTGATGGTGGTGATGTCGGTAATGGTGATGATGATGGTGCTGCTGATGATGCGGCTGGCAGTGATGATGTGGGTGGTGATGGTGATAATGATGTGGGTGATGCTGATGCTGATGCTGCCGATGATGTGTGGTGACGGCGGTGATGGCGATGATGTGTGGTGATGACAATGATGGCGGTGATGGCGATGATGGCGGTGATGTGTGGTGATGGCGGTGATGACGGTGATGGCGATGATGGCGATGATGTGTGATGATGGCGGTGATGGCGGTGATGTGTGGTGATGGCGGTGATGTGTGGTGATGGCGGTGATGTGTGGTGATGGTGGTGATGTGTGGTGATGGTGGTGATGTGTGGTGATGGCGGTGATGGTGGTGATGGCGATGATGGCGGTGATGGCGGTGATGGCGGTGATGTGTGGTGATGGCGGTGATGGCAGTGATGGCGGTGATGTGTGGTGATGGCGGTGATGGCGATGATGGCGGTGATGGCGGTGATGGCGGTGATGTGTGGTGATGGCGGTGATGGCAGTGATGGCGGTGATGGCCTTCGGAAGAGACCCATACCGCCCTCGACCTGACTGTGACCCCCTTCCATCCGCGCTTTGTCAGGCGTCTGCAGGGAGGGGACGCAGCTGCATAGCTACACGCTGGCCAGCGGGCAGCAGGTCCACATCCAGCACGTCGGGGAGGATGGGCAGATCATACCCACGGTGGGTGGGTGGATGGGTGGGTGGGTGAGTGGGTGGGTGGGTGAGTGGGTGGGTGAGTGGGTGGGTGGGTGAGTGGGTTGGTCGGTCGGTGGGTGGGTCGGTGGGTGGATGGGTGGGTGGGTGAATGGGTGGGTGGGTGAGTGGGTGGGTGGGTGAGTGGGTGGGTGGGTGAGTGGGTTGGTCGGTGGGTGGGTCGGTGGGTGGGTGAGTGAGTGAGTGGGTGGGTGAGTGGGTGGGTGGGTGAGTGGGTGGGTGAGTGGGTGCGTGGGTGAGTGAGTCGGTGGGTGAGTGAGTCGGTGGTGAGTGGGTGGGTGGGTGAGTGGGTGGGTGGGTGAGTGGGCGGGTGGGCGGGCGGGTGGGCGGGCGGGTGGATGAGCGGGCGGATGAGTGGGTGGGTGGGTGGGCGGGTGAGTGGGCGGGTGAGCGGGTGAGTGGGTGGGTGAGTGAGTGAGTGGGTGGGTGTGTGGGCGAGTGGGTGGGTGAGTGGGCGAGTGGGTGAGTGGGCGGGTGAGTGAGTGAGTGGGTGGGTGAGTGGGCTGGTGGGTGGGTGAGTGGGTGAGTGAGTGGATGGGTGGGTGAGTGAGTGGGTGGGTGAGTGAGTGAGTGGGTGAGTGAGTGGGTGAGTGGGTGAGTGAGTGGGTGGGTGAGTGAGTGAGTGGGTGGGTGGGTGAGTGGGTGGGTGGGTGGGTGAGTTGGCGAGTGCCCTCTGTGACCCCTCACTGCGTCTCTCCCCAGGGCAATCTCCAGATCCATCAGGTGCATGTCAGCCAGGACGGGGAGGTGAGTCGCTCACCTCACGTACTGTACCGTCTGTACCATACCATCTATACCTTACCATCTATACCTTACCATCTATACCTTGCCATTTATACCATACCATATATACCTTACCATCTATACCTTACCATCTATACCTTACAATCTATACCTTACCATCTATACCTTGCCATTTATACCTTACCATCTATACCTTACCATCTATACCTTACCATCTATACCATACCATATATACCTTACCATCTATACCTTACCATCTATACCTTACCATCTATACCTTACCATCTATACCTTACCATCTATACCTTACCATCTATACCTTACCATCTATACCTTACCATCTATACCTTACCATCTATACCTTACCATCTATATCATACCATCTATACCTTACCATCTATACCTTACCATCTATACCTTACCATCTACACCTTACCATCTATACCATACCATCTACACCTTACCATCTATACCTTACCATCTATACCTTACCATCTATACCATACCATCTATACCTTACCATCTACACCTTACCATCTATACCTTACAATCTATACATTACCATCTATGCCTTACCATCTGTACCTTACCATCTATACCTTAACATCTATACCATACCATCTATACCTTACCATCTACACCTTACCATCTATACCTTACCATCTATACCATACCATCTACACCTTACCATCTACACCTTACCATCTACACCTTACCATCTACACCTTACCATCTACACCTTACCATCTACACCTTACCATCTACACCTTACCATCTACACCATACCATCTATACCTTACCATCTACACCATACCATCTATACCTTACCATCTACACCATACCATCTATACCTTACCATCTATACCTTACCATCTATACCGTACCATCTCTACCCTACCGTACCGTCTGTACCGTACCGTCTATACCAGGGGTGGGCAATTTTTTTGACTCGGGGGGCCACAATGGGTTCTAAAATTTGACAGAGGGGCCTGGCCAGGAACAGATGGATGGAGTGTTTGTATGAACTGATTGTAAATGACGTGAAAAAATCGTTACATGAAAGGATTTGGCCTTTAACAGGTAGCAAAGCATTTATTTGCAAGGCAAAATAACAAAATTGCACGAACATGAACAGTACAAAAGCATTTGATTTAAAGCTTTCGTGATTGCAGTAATTCATATTCTTAGTTCTTTCGGTAAAGTCACGTTGAAGGGAAACAACAAAATCATAAAATATATATAAAACAATAAAAAAATTCTCACGACGTTTCGACCATAACACAAACGGTCGTCTTCAGGTGTGTCGGCCTGCATTAATTAATTTATTTGTAAACGGTGTATGTACCCAATTTATTTATTTATAACTTAAATAAATACACCGTTTACAAATAAATACATTTATGCAAACCAACACACCTGAAGACGACCGTTTGTGTTATGGTCGAAACGTCGTGAGAATTGTTATTATATATATTTTATTATTTTGTTGTTTCCCTTCAACGTGACTTTACCGAAAGAACTAAGAATAAGTACAAAAGCATGTCGTAACTACCGGTCAAAGTGCGCCATCTAATGGGGAAATGGGGGCATTACAGGAGAAAGGTAAAATTTAATTTAATAATAATATTACCTGGACAAGTTCGGCGGGCCGGATTATAAAGCCCAACGGGCTGTGCTTTGCCCGTGTCTGGTCTATACCGTACCGTCTGTACCGTACCGTACCGTCTGTACCGTACCATCTATACCGTACCGTCTATACCTTACCGTACCGTCTGTACCGTACCGTACCGTCTGTACCGTACTGTTTGTACAGTACCATCTGTACCTTACCGTACCGTCTGTACCGTACCGTCTGTACCGTACTGTTTGTACTGTACCATCTATACCGTACCGTCTGTACCGTACCGTACCGTCTGTACCGTACTGTTTGTACAGTACCATCTATACCTTACCGTACCGTCTGTACTGTACCGTACCGTCTGTACCGTACTGTTTGTACTGTACCATCTATACCTTACCGTACCATCTGTACCGTACCGTACTGTCTGTACCGTATTATTTGTACCGTACCATCTATACCTTACCGTACCGTCTGTACTGTACTGTCTGTTCCGTACCGTACCGTCTGTACCGTACCGTCTGTACCGTACTGTTTGTACTGTACCATTTATACCTTACCATACCGTCTGTACCGTACTGTACTGTCTGTACCGTACCGTACCTTCTGTACTGTACCGTTTGTACCGTACCGTCTGTACCGTACCATCTATACCGTACCGTCTGTACCGTACCGTACCGTCTGTACCGTACCATCTATACCGTACTGTCTATACCTTTCCGTACCGTCTGTACCGTACCGTACCGTCTGTACCGTACTGTTTGTACAGTACCATCTGTACCTTACCGTACCGTCTGTACCGTACCGTCTGTACCGTACTGTTTGTACTGTACCATCTATACCGTACCGTCTGTACCGTACCGTACCGTCTGTACCGTACTGTTTGTACAGTACCATCTATATCTTACCGTACCGTCTGTACTGTACCGTACCGTCTGTACCGTACTGTTTGTACTGTACCATCTATACCTTACCGTACCATCTGTACCGTACCGTACTGTCTGTACCGTATTATTTGTACCGTACCATCTATACCTTACCGTACCGTCTGTACCGTACTGTACTGTCTGTTCCGTACCGTACCGTCTGTACCGTACCGTCTGTACCGTACTGTTTGTACTGTACCATCTATACCTTACCATACCGTCTGTACCGTACTGTACTGTCTGTACCGTACCGTACCTTCTGTACTGTACCGTTTGTACCGTACCGTCTGTACCGTACCATCTATACCGTACCGTCTGTACCGTACTGTACCGTCTGTACCGTACCGTCTATACCGTATCATCTATACCTTACCGCACTGTCTGTACCGTACCGTCTATACCGTACCATCTTTACCTAACTGTACCGTCTGTACCGTACCGTCTATACCGTACCATCTTTACCTTACTGTACCGTCTGTACCGTACTGTACTGTCTGTACCGTACCGTACCTTCTGTACCGTACCGTTTGTACCATACCGTCTGTACCGTACCGTCTGTACCGTACCGTCTATACCGTACCATACCGTCTGTACCGTACCGTACCGTCTGTACCGTACTGTTTGTACAGTACCGTCTGTACCGTACCGTACCGTCTGTACCGTACCGTCTGTACCGTACCGTCTGTATCGTACTGTTTGTACTGTACCATCTATACCTTACCGCACTGTCTCTACCGTACCGTCTATACCGTACCATCTTTACCTTACTGTACCGTCTGTACCGTACCGTCTATACCATGCCGTCTATACCTTACCATACCCTCTGTACTGTACCGTTTGTACCGTACCGTCTGTACCGTACCGTCTGTACCGTACCGTCTATACCGTACCATCTATACCTTACCGCACTGTTTGTACCGTACCGTTTGTACCGTACCGTCTATACCATGCCGTCTATACCTTACCATACCCTCTGTACTGTACCGTTTGTACCGTACCGTCTGTACCGTACCGTCTGTACCGTACCTTCTGTACCGTACCTCTCCCCCCCCCCCCTCCCGGCAGCTGATCGCGGTGACGGCTGGCGATGCCAGCAGCTCTGCCGGTGACGTCAGCACCACGACGCTGCCGGCCGGCTCCATCCAGGTGCAGTACGTGCAGCTGGCGCCTGCCGGCGGCGGCGGCGGCGGTAGCGGCGGCGGCGGCGGCGATGACGTCCGAGACGGAGGCCACGACGGAGGAGCGGTGACCACGGTGAGTGACCGGGGAGGAGATGGCACCCACAACCCCCCCCCCCCCGCTCCTTCTTATACACTCACTCAGTCACACAGTCACTCAGTCAGTCACTCACTCAGTCACACAGTCACTCACTCAGTCACTCACTCAGTCACACACTCAGTCACACAGTCACTCACTCAGTCACACAGTCACACACTCACTCACTCAGCCACTCACTCACTCAGCCACTCACTCACTCAGCCACTCACTCAGTCACTCACTCACTCAGCCACTCACTCAGTCACACAGTCACTCACTCAGTCACTCACTCAGTCACACAGTCACTCACTCACACACACAGTCACTCAGTCACACAGCCACTAACTCACACAGACAGTCACTCACTCACACAGCCACTCACTCACTCAGCCACTCACTCAGTCACTCACTCACTCAGCCACTCACTCAGTCACACAGTCACTCACTCAGTCACTCAGTCACTCACTCAGTCACTCACTCAGTCACTCACTCACTCACTCACACAGTCACTCACTCAGTCACTCACTCACTCAGTCACACAGTCACTCACTCAGCCACTCACTCACTCAGTCACTCACTCACTCAGTCACACAGTCACTCAGTCACTCAGCCACTCACTCACTCAGCCACTCACTCACTCAGCCACTCACTCAGTCACTCACTCACTCACACAGCCACTCACTCACTCAGTCACTCACTCACACAGCCACTCACTCAGTCACTCACTCAGTCACACAGTCACTCAGTCACTCACTCACTCAGCCACTCACTCACTCAGCCACTCACTCAGTCACTCACTCACTCACTCACACAGCTACTCACTCACTCAGTCACTCACTCACTCAGTCACACAGTCACTCACTCAACCACTCACTCACTCAGTCACTCACTCACTCAGCCACTCAGTCACTCACTCAGCCACTCACTCACTCAGTCACTCACTCACTCAGCCACTCACTCAGTCACTCACTCACTCAGTCACTCACTCACACAGCCACTCACTCAGTCAAACAGTCACTCACTCACTCAGCCACACAGCCACTCACACAGCCACTCACTCACACAGCCACTCACTCACTCAGTCACTCACTCACTCAGCCACACAGTCACTCACTCACTCACACAGCCACTCACTCACTCACACAGCCACTCACTCACTCAGTCACTCACTGACTCACACAGCCACTCACTCACTCAGCCACTCACTCACTCACACAGCCACTCACTCACTCAACCACTCACTCACTCACACAGCCATTCACTCACTCAGCCTCTCACTTAGCCACTCAGTCACACAGCCACTCACACACACAGCCACTCACTCAGTCACTCACTCACACAGCCACTCACACAGCCACTCACTCAGTCACTCACTCAGTCACACAGTCACTCACTCAGTCACTCAGTCACTCACTCAGTCACTCACTCACTCAGTCACTCACTCACTCACTCAGTCACACAGTCACTCACTCAGTCACTCACTCACTCAGTCACACAGTCACTCACTCAGCCACTCACTCACTCAGTCACTCAGTCACACAGTCACTCAGTCACTCACTCACTCAGCCACTCACTCACTCAGCCACTCACTCACACAGCCACTCACTCACTCAGTCACTCACTCACACAGCCACTCACTCACTCAGTCACTCACTCAGTCACACAGTCACTCACTCACTCACACAGCCACTCACTCACTTAGTCACTCACTCACTCAGTCACACAGTCACTCAGTCACTCACTCACCCAGCCGCTCACCCACTCACACAGGGCTCATAGCCCAGTGCCCCGCTAACCGCTGCTACACCCACCGCTCCCCACAACAACAACAAACAACAACAAATAACCGCCTTTCTCCGCAAAGTGGCGGTGACGTCACCGCAGCGCTTGTGCCAGGCTAGGTGCACGTTATAAGGTCACGTGAAGTGTCAAGAACACGCACGCTCACTCTCTAACCCACTGACTTCACCCCCCCACCACCACCCCCCCACCACCACCACCCCCACCACCACCACCCCCACCACCACCACCACCACCCCCACCACCACCCCCACCACCACCACCACCCCCACCACCACCATCACCCCCCCCACCATCACCACCCCCACCACCACCCCCACCACCACCACCACCACCATCACCCCCCCCACCATCACCACCCCCACCACCACCTTCATCACCACCATCACCACCACCACTACCACCACTACCATCACCACCCCCACCACCACCACCCCCACCACCATCACCACCATCACCATCACCACCTCCACCCGCACCACCACCACCACCACCACCCCCACCACCATCACCAACATCACCACCACCCCCACCATCACCACCCCCCACCACCATCACCACCACCACTATCACCATCACCACCCCCACTACCATCACCACCCCCACCACCATCACCACCCCCCCCACCATCCCCCCCCACCATCCCCCCCCCCCCCCCAGGCTGTGATGGAAGTGGCTGCGAGAGACTTCCAGGCGGTGCTGTCCCCCCACCTGGGGGTGGTGCAGGGCGGGCAGATTCACATCCACCAGGAGGCCACCGGCACCACCACCACCACCACCGCCGCCACCACCTTGACCAACGTCGTTCATATTCAGGTCCCCGCCTCCTCCTCCTCCTCCTCGTCAACATCGTCATCATCGTCATCCTAGCAGCGGCAGCAGCGCGGTCGTGATGTCATCACAAGTCGTGATGTCATCCTAGCAGCGGCAGCAGCAGCGCGGTCGTGATGTCATCACAAGTCGTGATGTCAGTACAAGTGATGTCATCACAAGTCGTGATGTCAACGCAAGTCGCGATGTCATCCTAGCAGCGGCAGCAGCGCGGTCGTGATGTCATCACAGGTCGCGATGTCATCACAAGTCGTGATGTCATCACAAGTCGTGATGTCATCACAAGTCGTGATGTCATCACAAGTCGTGATGTCATCACAGGTCACGATGTCATCACAGGTTGCAATGACATCACAAGTTGTGATGTCCTCACAAGTCGTGATGACATCACAAGTCGTGCTGGTAGCGGCCACAGCCGTGGCACCACAGCGAGAGTCACGGGGCCCATAGCATCACCGCCATCATCATCATCACCATCATCACCATCATCATCACCATCATCATCATCACCATCACCGCCATCATCATCATCATCACCGTCACTGCCATCATCATCATCATCACCGTCACCGCCATCATCATCATCATCACCATCATCATCACCATCACCGCCATCATCATCATCACCGTCACTGCCATCATCATCACCGTCACCGCCATCATCATCATCATCACCGTCACGGCCATCATCATCACCGTCACCGCCATCATAATCACCGTCACCGCCATCATCATCACCGTCACCGCCATCATCATCACCGTCACCGCCATCATCATCACCGTCACCGCCATCATCATCACCGTCACCGCCATCATCATCACCGTCACCGCTATCATCATCACCGTCACCGCTATCATCATCACCGTCACCGCTATCATCATCACCGTCACCGCCATCATCATCACCGTCACCGCTATCATCACCGCTATCATCACCGCCACCTTCACCGCCATCATCATCACTGTCACCGCCATCATCATCACCGCCACCTTCACCGCCATCATCACCATCGCCACCATCATCATCACCGCCATCATCATCACCGCCATCACCATCATCACCGCCACCTTCACCGCCATCATCATCACCGCCATCATCATCACCGTCACCGCCATCATCATCACCGCCACCTTCACCGCCATCATCACCGTCACCGCCATCATCATCACCGTCGCCGCCATCATCATCACCGCCGCCACCATCACCGCCACCATCATCACCGCCACCATCATCACCGCCACCTTCACCACCATCATCATCACCGCCGCCATCACCGTCGCCGCCATCATCACCACCGCCATCATCACCATCATCACCACCGCCTTCACCATCATCACCATCATCACCACCGCCATCACCATCATCACCATCATCACCACCGCCATCACCATCATCACCATCATCACCATCACCATCACCACCGCCATCACCATCACCATCATCACCATCATCACCATCATCACCGCCATCACCATCATCACCATCATCACCATCATCATCACCGCCATCATCACCACCATCATCACCACCATCATCACCATCACCACCGCCATCACCATCATCACCATCATCACCACCGCCTTCACCAAGGCGGGGGAGGCGGCGGCGCTGTGAGGATTCCCAATTAAAGCGAAACCTCCACAAGCCGCCCTGCGTCGTCTTTGTTCTTGTTGTTGTTGTCTTTGTTGTTGTCTTTGTTGTTGTCTTTGTTGTTGTTGTCTTTGTTGTTGTTGTCTTTGTTGTTGTCGTTGTTGTTGTCTTTGTTGTTGTTGTCTTTGTTGTTGTCGTTGTTGTCTTTGTTGTTGTAGTCTTTGTTGTTGTAGTCTTTGTTGTTGTTGTCTTTGTTGTTGTTGTCTTTGTTGTTGTTGTTGTCTTTGTTGTTGTTGTCTGTTGTTGTTGTCTTTGTTGTCGCCTTTGTTGTTGTCTTTGTTGTCGTCTTTGTTGTCGTCTTTGTTGTCGTCTTTGTTGTTGTTTTCGTCATTGTTGTTGTCTTTGTTGTTGTTGTTGTTGTTGTCTTTGTTGTTGTTGTCTTTGTTGTTGTTGTCTTTGTTGTTGTCGTCTTTGTTGTTGTTGTCGTCTTTGTTGTTGTTGTCTTTGTTGTTGTCGTCTTTGTTGTTGTTGTCGTCTTTGTTGTTGTCGTCTTTGTTGTTGTCTGTGTTGTTGTTGTTGTCTTTGTTGTTGTTGTCTGTGTTGTTGTTGTTGTCTTTGTTGTTGTTGTCTTTGTTGTCGTCTTTGTTGTTGTCTTTGTTGTTGTTGTTGTCTTTAATGTTGTTGTTGTCTTTGTTGTCGTCTTTGTTGTTGTCGTCTTTGTTGTTGTCGTCTTTGTTGTTGTTGTCTTTGTTGTTGTTGTTGTCTTTGTTGTTGTTGTTGTCTTTGTTGTCGTCTTTGTTGTTGTCTCTGAGATGGGGCGAGGAGGGGGGGGGAGTAGGGGCGGGGTGGGGGGGAGGTTGTGGAGGAGGTGCGGAGTACGCTCATTCCACGTTCCTATGGCGGGGAGAGCTCCTCCCGCATTGGGAACAAGCAGTGTGCAGACCTCGCGAGATGCTGCCCTGAGCGGAGTCTTTATTTGTTTCGTTTAACACGCACACACACAGACACACAGACACATAGACACACACACAGACACACACATACACACACATACACACACACAGACACACATCACACACAAAAACATACACACCACACACACAGACACACATCACACACACAGACACACAGACCACACACACAGATACACACAACAACAACCGCCATTCGCCACTAAGTGGCGGTGACGTCACCACGACGCTTGTGCCAGGCTATGTGCACCCTGAGGCCACGTGAAGTGTCGAACGCCCGCTGGCAGGAGGTCACGGGGCAGACCCAGGTGCCACGGGTCGACTGACTGAGATGGACTGGCTGATGCACCACCTGTGCCCCCTACTGTGCCAACCTGCTGTGCTTTAGCCACCCGGCGCTCCGCTCGCTGTTGTGAGCGTCGCTCCTCCGCCCTCCGTTGTTGTTGGAGGGCGACTGCCTCCAACTGCCCAGTAGCATCCTTCACGAGCCTCCTCCACAGAGGCCGATCTTGACACCGCTGGTACCAGTCATCGGCAAGTCCACTCAGCTCCACGTCCTCCTGTACCACATCACTCCATCTCTTCTCTAGCCCGTGCCGCGCCCGCTTAGCCCCCTCAATCCGGCCAAACAAAAGCTGTTTCGGCATGCGGTGGCTGGGCATGCGGGCTACATGATCCAGCCATCGCAGCCTTGCCTGCCGGAGGAGCTCACCGATGGGACCCTGCCCAGATCTTTCAAGGATTTGTGAGCTCCTCACACAATCCAGTCTGGTTAAACCCAGGATGGATCGTAGGCAGGCCAGCCTAAATGTTTCTAACCGGCGAAGATGTTCCATTAGGGGGGTTCACGTTTCGCAAGCGTAAAGAAGGGAGGGAATGAGCGTGGCCGAGAAGACCTGAAGCTTAGTGTGGAGCGACAGACCAGGTAGCTTCCACACAGCGTTACGCAACCGATGAAAAGATATTGCCGCTCAACTGATTCGAAGTGAGACCTCTGCTGTTAAACTGGAGCCGGTCATAAGCACACTGCCCAGGTATGGGAAACTCTCCACTCTCTCCACAACTGCCCCATCACTGATTGGGAGTTGTGGGGGTGGAGTGTCCGATGGTACAAAATACCCAGGCAGGTGCTAAGTTTTGGTAGGGCTGATGGTAAGGCCCCATCTCTTAGTGGCACGCTCCAGTCTCAGCAGCAGCGTCTCCAACCCCTCTGAATGAGCAGCTATTACCAAATCATCGGCATACATAACGTGGTTGAGCAATTGGGAGCCATCCCTTGACCGCACCCTGGCATCGATCAGCCTCCCATTATATCTGTACCATATGAAGATTCCCCCGGTACAGCTATTGAAGGCTTCACGAACTACGTGGTCAAAATAGATGTTAAATAATGTGGGAGCCAGAGGACATCCCTGTCACACCCCAAGGTGTACAGGGAATGGCTCTGACTCCCGGCCACGTTTTACCCGGGCCCGCTCACCATCATGAAGGTCCTTAATGATCGTGAGCAGAGGGTCAGGTACTCCAAAAGCACGAAGAACGACCCAGAGCCCAGGCCTACTGATGGTATCATAGGCCTTGACCAGGTCAATAAAGCAGAGATGTAGGTCTTGTTGGAATTCCCTACACCTCTGCTGTAGCAGACGGACAGAAAATATGGCATCTGTGCCGGACCGCCCTTTCCTGAAACCGCATTGGGGCTCCGCAAGCCTCTCCTCAGCGTGCCTGGCAAGGCGATGCTGAATAATCCTTGCCAGGACCTTTCCCGGCACACTGAGGAGTGAGATGCCCCTGGAGTTGTTACAGTCTGTGCGGTCCCCCTTCTTAAAAAGGGATGCCCTGGTGGTCCCCCTTCTTAAAAAGGGGGACCACCAGGGCATCCTTCCAATCCTGCGGAACCCGTCCAGTGGTCCAGACCGTTGTTATGATGTCATATAGGGCAGTCTGTGCACAAACGCCACCCTCCCTCAGCACCTCGCTTGGGAGATCATCTCTGCCCGCTGCCTTTCCTGGTCTCAGACTCCGGATCGCCTTCAGTACTTCCTCAACAGATGGCACCTCAGCCAGCCACTCACAGGGGGTGACTTCTTCCAATATTTGAGGCACCGCAGCCTCAGCAGGGTCATCCTCACTTTGTGCCACGATGTTTTCCTGGCTGAGGGATTTTCCCTCTCCCAGGACCTCACAGAAATGCTCAGCAAATCTGCAAACCTGTTGCTGGGGGTCGGAGATTGGATCACCGTTTTATCCCCTAATGATGGTAATAGGTGTGGCGCTGCAGGTTACTTTTTTGATGGAGTTAAATAGAGATTTGTGATCACGGGCCACTGAGGCAGACTCCATCTCCTCAGCAACCCGCGACCACCACCCATCCTTGCAGCGCCTCACGGCTCTCCGAACCTCCGAGCAAAGGCTGCGGTAAGCCTCCTCATTCTCTGACGTGGGATTCTGTATCCGATGACAGTGGGCCTGTCGCTTTTTCTCAACCATCCTGAACACCTCCTCTGTCAGCCAGGGTCTCTGGGGAGGTCTGGACCGTGTACCCAAAGCAGCCATTGCAGCTGCATGAGTCACAGTCCTAAACCTCGCCCATTTACCTCGACATCAGGAGGAGTCGGGGACGATGCCAATCCCAGCCGCAAGTGATGATGGAATTCTCGCTTGCAACTTTCATCATAAAACTGAGACCAGGCCACTTTTAGTTGGAATGGGGTCCTGGGTGTACACCCACCACCAGAGTGGAAGAATGGTAGGCGCATCTTACAGATGACTAGTCGATGGTCAGAGGGCAGATCAGCTCCACGGTAGGTCCTGGGTGTCAAGGACATGGGCACGCATCCGCTGGTCCGTCACGATGTAGTCCAGCAGATGTTCTTGCTTGGACCCGGCATGCATCCATGATGTTGTGTGGATGCGCCGATGCCGGAACAGCGTGTTGGTAATTACAAGCCCATGGACTGCACAAAAATCTAGCAGCCTCCTACCGTTGTTATTGAGCTGATCTGGCCCATGCCCTACAATCACTCCAGACCAGGTGCCAGTATCATGACCAACTCGGGCATTGAAGTCACCCAACATGATGACTCTATCCCGAGGGGCCACTTTAGCCAGCACCTGTGACAGGAGGTCATAGAAGGCATCTGACTCATCGGCTTTGCCTGCATCCCTCCACGGATGTTCATCTTCGGTGGGGGCATAAGTAACCACGACCACCATTCCTCGCCTCCGGTTGATGGGAAGGCGAGCCCAAAGTAGCCTGGGGCTTACAGCTTCCCACACCTCACCGCCACGCTCCCACGCCCCCTTCATTCTTTTGTTCAAAAGAAGAGTCACACCCTGTTGTTTGGCAGTCTGCTGCCCCGATTAGAGGACTGTCCACCCCTCATGGTGGCAGGAGCCAGAGCCGGTCCACCGGACCTCCTGAATGCCACATAGATCCAGGTGGTACCGGTCCAGCTCCCGACAGAGGAGTGGCAGCCTCTCCTCCGCAGTGAGCGTTCGAACATTCCACGTGGCCACCCGTAGTGGCTTTTCGTTGTTTCTGGAGGAGCCCCGAGGATAGATATTCAATGTCCTGGCTCCGCCCATTGGGGTTTGGCCAGGAAACATCATAGACGCCTGGCCCCCCGGGGCCTCCGGCACAAGCTTATTAGTTACATATTTAAGTTTAACTCGTGGTTTAGTGGTAATTAATTGAAGGTGGAGGGTTTACCAGCCCCTCGCACCCGTCCAGAGCCCCCATTTAGCTCCTGTGGTGGACACATATGCCATGACGGGAGGAGCCAATCAAAATTGGACCTCCCCCCACAGCACTGTCCACGACAGAGTTGCCCGTCCGGCACCGCGAGGAGGTAGGGGGTTGTTTTGCCGGATATACACACACGCACACACGCGCACACACATGCACACACATACACGCATACGCACACACACGCACACACACACGCACGCTGCAGGGAGGTAAATCTGAAGAGCTCGTAAGCTCTTTGCCGCCGCAACGAGGAGAGGGGGAAGAACACAAGGACAAACGCAGCGATAATCAACAAGAGTGGCCGCTCAAACCGCGCTGCGAGAGCTCTGCTGACTCTCACAGAGACTCAGAGAGACCCACAGAGACTCAGAGACTCTCACAGAGAGTCGGAGAGACTCACAGAGACTCTCACAGAGACTGAGACTCTCACAGAGACCCACAGAGACTCTCACAGAGACCCACAGAGACGCAGAGACTCTCACAGAGACTCTCACAGAGACTCAGAGATCCACAGAGACTCAGACTCTCACAGAGACTCAGAGACTCTCACAGAGACCCACAGAGACTCAGACTCTCACAGACACCCACAGAGACGCAGAGACTCTCACAGACCCACAGAGACGCAGAGACTCTCACAGAGACCCACAGAGACTCACAGAGACTCAGACCCACAAAGACGCAGAGACTCTCACAGAGACCCACAGAGACTCAGAGACTCTCACAGCGACCACAGAGACGCAGAGACTCTCACAGAGACTCTCACAGAGACGCAGAGACTCTCACAGAGACCCACAGAGACCCACAGAGACTCTCACAGAGACCCACAGAGACTCAGAGACTCTCACACAGAGACCCACAGAGACACTCACAGAGACTCAGAGAGACCCACAGAGACCCACAGAGACTCGGAGACTCTCACAGAGACCCACAGAGACTCAGAGATTCTCACACAGAGACTCTCACAGAGACCCACAGAGACTCACTCTCACACAGAGACTCTCACACAGAGATTCTCACAGAGACCCACAGAGACTCAGACTCTCACACAGAGACTCTCACAGAGAGACTCTCACAGAGACTCACAGAGACTCGGAGAGACCCACAGAGACTCTCACAGAGACTCTCACAGAAACTCAGACAGATCCACAGAGACACACAGAGACCCATAGAGACCCACAGAGACACAGAGACTCGCAGAGATTCACAGAGACTCTCAGAGACTCAGAGAGACTCTCACAGAGACCCACAGAGACTCACAGGGACACAGAGACACACATAGACTCGCAGGGATTCACAGAGACTGTCATAGAGACACACAGACTCGCAGAGATTCACAGAGACTCTCATAGAGACTCACAGAGACTCTCAGACACAGAGACCCACAGGGACTCACAGAGATCCACAGAGACCCACAGAGACTCAGAGACTCTCAGAGACCCACAGAGACTCACAGAGACCCACAGAGACCCAGAGACTCACAGAGACTCTCATAGAGACCCATAGAGACCCACAGAGACTCGCAGAGATTCACAGAGACTCTCAGAGGCTCTCACAGAGACCCACAGGGACTCAGAGACCCACAGAGACTCTCACAGAGACTCTCATAGAGACCCACAGAGACCCACAGACTCACAGAGACTCTCAGACACACAGAGACCCACAGGGACTCACAGAGACCCACAGCGACTCATAGACTCTCACAGAGACGCACAGAGACTCTGGGTAAAACCGCACCAATATTTTTATTTCTTCCGCTTTAACAGAGTGGCAAAGCACATGGAGGGGCGACGGGGGAGGGGGGGAGGTAACGCGACTTATGAAAAGAAAAATATAAATAACATTCACGCGAATAATAATTAAAAAAACAACCTACTTTTCATTTTGTTTTTTAACCGGGTAGCCACACTCCTGTGTGATGAGTCTGTGGGTCTCTGTGATGAGTATATGGGTCTCTGCTGTGTGATGAGTCTATGGGTCTCTGCTGTGTGAGTAGTCTATGGGTCTCTGCTGTGTGATGAGTCTATGGCTCTCTGCTGTGTGATGAGTCTATGGGTCTCTGCTGTGTGATGAGTCTATGGCTCTCTGCTGTGTGATGAGTCTATGGCTCTCTGCTGTGTGATGAGTCTATGGCTCTCTGCTGTGTGATGAGTCTATGGCTCTCTGCTGTATGATGAGTCTATGGGTCTCTGCTGTGTGATGAGTCTATGGGTCTCTGCTGTGTGATGAGTCTATGGCTCTCTGCTGTGTGATGAGTCTATGGCTCTCTGCTGTGTGATGAGTCTATGGGTCTCTGTGTGTGATGAGTCTATGGCTCTCTGCTGTGTGATGAGTCTATGGGTCTCTGCTGTGTGATGAGTCTATGGCTCTCTGCTGTGTGATGAGTCTATGGGTCTCTGCTGTGTGATGAGTCTATGGGTCTCTGCTGTGTGATGAGTCTATGGCTCTCTGCTGTGTGATGAGTCTGTGGGTCTCTGCTGTGTGATGAGTCTATGGCTCTCTGCTGTGTGATGAGTCTATGGCTCTCTGCTGTGTGATGAGTCTATGGGTCTCTGTGTGTGATGAGTCTATGGGTCTCTGCTGTGTGATGAGTCTATGGGTCTCTGCTGTGTGATGAGTCTATGGCTCTCTGCTGTGTGATGAGTCTATGGGTCTCTGTGTGTGATGAGTCTATGGCTCTCTGCTGTGTGATGAGTCTATGGCTCTCTGTGTGTGATGAGTCTATGGGTCTCTGCTGTGTGATGAGTCTGTGTCTCTGCTGTGTGATGAGTCTATGGGTCTCTGCTGTGTGATGAGTCTGTGTCTCTGCTCTGTGATGAGTCTATGGCTCTCTGCTGTGTGATGAGTCTATGGGTCTCTGCTGTGTGATGAGTCTATGGGTCTCTGCTGTGTGATGAGTCTATGGCTCTCTGCTGTGTGATGAGTCTATGGGTCTCTGCTGTGTGATGAGTCTATGGGTCTCTGCTGTGTGATGAGTCTATGGGTCTCTGCTGTGTGATGAGTCTATGGGTCTCTGCTGTGTGATGAGTCTATGGGTCTCTGCTGTGTGATGAGTCTATGGGTCTCTGCTGTGTGATGAGTCTATGGGTCTCTGCTGTGTGATGAGTCTATGGGTCTCACACTCCACGCTCCACATTCCGAGTCCCGCGCTCTCACAGAGAGGCCTCGGGTGGATCCGGCCCCCGTCTTTTCCCACCGCTCCCCCCCCTAAAAAAAATCCGATCCACCGTCACGGACAAATCCGGTCCACCCCGTGCCGTGCCAGCGGGAGGTCCGTCACGGCGGCGGCGGCGGCGGTGCGGAGGTGGTGCCGGGGGTCGTGAGGTCACTCCTGCGGCACCACCATGAGGAGCTTCTGGAGGAAGACGGTGACGCTCTCTGGCAGGCCCGGAGGAGGCGACAGGCGGAGAGACGCGCGGAGGTTACGGAGACACCGTGGTGGTGGTGCGGTGTGGTGGTGATTGTGGTGGTGTTTGTGGTGGTGCGGTGTGGTGGTGGTGCGGTGTGGTGGTGTTTGTGGTGGTGGTGTTTGTGGTGGTGTTTGTGGTGGTGGTGTTTGTGGTGGTGGTGTTTGTGGTGGTGGTGTTTGTGGTGGTGTTTGTGGTGGTGCGGTGTGGTGGTGTTTGTGGTGGTGTTTGTGGTGGTGTTTGTGGTGGTGGTATTTGTGGTGGTGGTGTTTGTGGTGGTGGTATTTGTGGTGGTGGTGTTTGTGGTGTTTGTGGTGGTGTTTGTGGTGGTGGTGGTGTTTGTGGTGGTGGTGGTGTTTGTGGTGGTGTTTGTGGTGGTGGCGTTTGTGGTGGTGTTTGTGGTGGTGTTTGTGGTGGTGTTTGTGGTGGTGTTTGTGGTGGTGTTTGTGGTGGTTGTGGTGGTTGTGGTGGTGTTTGTGGTGGTTGTGGTGTTTGTGGTGGTGTTTGTGGTGGTTGTGGTGGTTGTGGTGTTTGTGGTGGTGTTTGTGGTGGTTGTGGTGTTTGTGCTGGTGGTGTTTGTGCTGGTGGTGTTTGTGCTGGTGGTGTTTGTGCTGGTGGTGTTTGTGCTGGTGGTGTTTGTGGTGGTGGTGTTTGTGGTGGTGTTGTGGTGGTGTTTGTGGTGTTTGTGGTGTTTTGTGTGTGTTTGCGGTGTGTGTGGTATTTGTGGTGTGTGGTGTTTGTGGTGTTTGTGGTGGTGGTGTTTGTGGTGGTGTTTGTGGTGCTGGTGGTGTTTGTGGTGTTCGTGGTGGTGTTCGTGGTGGTGTTCGTGGTGGTGGTGTTTGTGGTGGTGTTTGTGGTGGTGTTTGTGCTGGTGGTGTTTGTGCTGGTGGTGTTTGTGCTGGTGGTGTTTGTGCTGGTGGTGTTTGTGCTGGTGGTGTTTGTGCTGGTGGTGTTTGTGGTGTCCGGCAAAACAACCCCCTACCTCCTCGCGGTGCCGGACGGGCAACTCTGTCGTGGACAGCGCTGTGGGGGGAGATCCAATTTTGATTGGTTCCTCCCCTCATGGCATATGTGTCCACCACAGGGGCTAAACGGGGGCTCTGGACGGGTGCGAGGGGCTGGTAACCCCTCCACCTTCAATTAATTACCACGAAACTACGAATTAAACTGAAATATGTAACAACTAAGCTTGTGCCGGAGGCCCCGGGGGCCAGGCGTCTATGACGTCTCCTGGCCAAACCCCAATTGGCGGAGCCAGGAGATTGAATACTACCCTCGGGGCTACTCCAGAAACCAACGAAAAGCCACTACGGTTGGCCACGTGGAATGTTCGAACGCTCACTGCAGAGGAGAGGCTGCCACTCCTCTGTCGGGAGCTGGACCGGTACCACCTGGATCTATGCGGCATTCAGGAGGTCCGGTGGACCGGCTCTGGCTCCTGCCACCATGAGGGGTGGACAGTCCTCTACTCGGGGCAGCAGACTGCCAAACAACAGGGTGTGGGTCTTCTTTTGAACAAAAGAATGAAGGGGGCGTGGGAGCGTGGCGTGAGGTGTGGGAAGCTGTAAGCCCCAGGCTACTTTGGGCTCGCCTTCCCATCAACCGGAGGCGAGGAATGGTGGTCGTGGTTACTTATGCCCCCACCGAAGATGAACATCCGTGGAGGGATGCAGGCAAAGCCGATGAGTCAGATGCCTTCTATGACCTCCTGTCACAGGTGCTGGCTAAAGTGGCCCCTCGGGATAGAGTCATCATGTTGGGTGACTTCAATGCCCGAGTTGGTCATGATACTGGCACCTGGTCTGGAGTGATTGGAGGGCATGGGCCAGATCAGCTCAATAACAACGGTAGGAGGCTGCTAGATTTTTGTGCAGCCCATGGGCTTGTAATTACCAACACGCTGTTCCGGCATCGGCGCATCCACACAACATCATGGATGCATGCCGGGTCCAAGCAAGAACATCTGCTGGACTACATAGTGACGGACCAGCGAATGCGAGCCCATGTCCTTGACACCAGGACCTACCGTGGAGCTGATCTGCCCTCTGACCATCGACTAGTCATCTGTAAGATGCGCCTGCCATTCTTCCACTCCGGTGGTGGGTGTACACCCAGGACCCCATTCCAACCTAAAGTGGCCTGGTCTCAGTTATCTGATGAAAGTTGCAAGCGAGAATTTCATCATCGCTTGCGGCTGGGATTGGCATCGTCCCCGACTCCTCCTGATGTCGAGGGTAAATGGGCGAGGTTTAGGACTGTGACTCATGCAGCTGCAATGGCTGCTTTGGGTACGCGGTCCAGACCTCCCCAGACACTCTGGATGACAGAGGAGTTGTTCACGATGGTTGAGAAAAAGCAACAGGCCCACTGTCATCGGCTACAGAATCCCACGTCAGAGAATGAGGAGGCTTACCGCAGCCTTCGCTCGGAGGTTCGGAGAGCCGTGAGGCGCTGCAAGGATGGGTGGTGGTCGCGGGTTGCTGAGGAGATGGAGTCTGCCTCAGTGGCCCGTGATCACAAATCTCTATTTAACTCCATCAAAAAAGTAACCTGCAGCGCCACACCTATTACCATCATTAGGGGAAAAAACGGTGATCCAATTTCCGACCCCCAGGAACAGGTTCGCAGATTTGCTGAGCATTTCTGTGAGGTCCTGGGGGAGGGAAAATCCCTCAGCCAGGAAAACATCGTGGCACAAAGCGAGGATGACCCTGCTGAGGCTGCGGTGCCTCAAATATTGGATGAAGTCACCCCCTGTGAGTGGCTGGCTGAGGTTACCATCTGCTGAGGAAGTATTGAAGGCGATCCGGAGTCTGAGACCAGGAAAGGCAGCGGGCAGAGATGATCTCCCAAGCGAAATGCTGAGGGAGGGTGGCGTTTGTGCACAGACTGCCCTATATGACATCATAACAACAGTCTGGACCACTGGACGGGTTCCGCAGGATTGGAAGGATGCCCTGGTGGTCCCCCTTTTTAAGAAGGGGGACCGCACAGACTGTAACAACTACAGGGGCATCTCACTCCTCATTGTGCCGGGAAAGGTCCTGGCAAGGATTATTCAGCATCGCCTTGCCAGGCACGCTGAGGAGAGGCTTGCGGAGCCCCAATGTGGTTTCAGGAAAGGGCGGTTCTGCACAGATGCCATATTTTCTGTCCGTCTGCTACAGCAGAGGTGTAGGGAATTCCAAACAAGACCTACATCTCTGCTTTATTGACCTGGTCAAGGCCTATGATACCATCAGTAGGCCTGGGCTCTGGGTCGTTCTTCGTGCTTTTGGAGTACCTGACCCTCTGCTCACGATCATTAAGGACCTTCATGATGGTGAGCGGGCCCGGGTAAAACTACGTGGCCGGGAGTCAGAGCCATTCCCTGTACACCTTGGGTGCGACAGGGATGTCCTCTGGCTCCCACATTATTTAACATCTATTTTGACCACGTAGTTCGTGAAGCCTTCAATAGCTGTACCGGGGAATCTCCATATGGTACAGATATAATGGGAGGCTAATCGATGCCCGGGTGCGGTCAAGGGATGGCTCCCTATTGCTCAACCACGTTATGTATGCTGATGACTTGGTAATAGCTGCTCAGTCAGAGGAGGAGTTGGAGACGCTGCTGCTGAGACTGGAGCGTGCCACTAAGAGGTGGGGCCTTACCATCAGCCCCACCAAACTAAGCACCTGCCTGGGTATTTTGTACCATCGGACACTCCACCCCCACAACTCCCAATCGGTGATGGGGCAGTTGTGGAGAGAGTGGAGAGTTTCCCATACCTGGGCAGTGTGCTTATGACTGGCTCCAGTTTAACAGCAGAGGTCTCACTCCGAATCAGTCGAGCGGCAATATCTTTTCATCGGTTGCGTAACGCTGTGTGGAAGCTACCCGGTCTGTCGCTCCGCACTAAGCTTCAGGTCTTCTCGGCCACGGTCATTCCCTCCCTTCTCTACGCTTGCGAAACGTGGACCCCCCTAATGGAACATCTTCGCCGGTTAGAAACATTTAGGCTGGCCTGCCTACGATCCATCCTGGGTTTAACCAGACTGGATTGTGTGAGGAGCTCACAAATCCTTGAAAGATCTGGGCAGGGTCCCATCGGTGAGCTCCTCCGGCAGGCAAGGCTGCGATGGCTGGGTCATGTAGCCCGCATGCCCAGCCACCGCATGCCGAAAACAGCTTTGTTTGGCCGGATTGAGGGGGCTAAGCGGGCGCGGCACGGGCTAGAGAAGAGATGGGAGTGATGTGGTACAGGAGGACGTGGAGCTGAGTAGACTTGCCGATGACTGGTACCAGCGGTGTCAAGATCGGCCTCTGTGGAGGAGGCTCGTGAAGGATGCTACTGGGCAGTTGGAGGCAGTCGCCCTCCAACAACAACGGAGGACGGAGGAGCGACGCTCAGAACAACGAGCAGAGCGCCGGGTGGCTAAAGCACAGCAGGTTGGCACAGTAGGGGGCACAGGTGGTGCATCAGCCAGTCATCTCAGTCAGTCGACCCGTGGCACCTGGGTCTGCCCCGTGACCTCCTGCCAGCGGGCGTTCGACACTTCACGTGGCCTCAGGGTGCACATAGCCTGGCACAAGCGTCGTGGTGACGTCACCGCCACTTAGTGGCGAATGGCGGTTGTTGTTGTTGTTGTGGTGTTTGTAGTGGTGGTGTTTGTAGTGGTGGTGGTGTGTGTGGTGTGTGTGGTGTTGGTGTTTGTGTGGTGTGTGTGGTGTTTGTGTGGTGTTTACGGTGTCACCGTGTTACCCATTTTCCGCGCGAGCCGTGGTGGACGCCGCCAGCGCACGCCGGCGTAGTAGAACGGCACCCCGGTGAGGAGGATTGCCGCGCCGATGGCGCACTCCGTGGGGGTGGCCCAGAAGGAGACGACGACGAGGAACAGGCAGCCCAGCACGAAGCTCACCGGCAGCAGCAGACTCACCTGCAGCAGCGTGAAGCACGCAGCAGCGTGAAGCACGCGGCAGCGTGAAGCACGCAGCACCGTCACCCACCCAGCACAGTGAAGCACGCGGCAGCGTGAAGCACGCGGCACCATCACCCACCCAGCACAGTGAAGCACGCGGCAGCGTGAAGCACGCGGCACCATCACCCACCCAGCACAGTGAAGCACGCGGCACAGTGAAGCACGCAGCACCGTCACCCACCCAGCACAGTGAAGCACGCGGCAGCGTGAAGCACGCGGCACCGTCACCCACCCAGCACAGTGAAGCACGCGCAGCGTGAAGCACGCGGCACCGTCACCCACCCAGCACAGTGAAGCACGCGGCAGCGTGAAGCACGCAGCACCGTCACCCACCCAGCCACAGTGAAGCACGCGGCAGCGTGAAGCACGCAGCAGCAGACTCACCTGCAGCAGCGTGAAGCACACACATGGTCTCTGTGTGTCTCTCTGTGTCTGTGTCTCTGTCTCTCTCTGTGTCTCTGTGTGTCTCTCTGTGTCTGTGTCTCTGTGTGTCTCTGTGTGTCTCTGCGTGTGTCTCTGCGTGTGTCTCTGCGTGTGTCTCTGCGTGTGTCTCTGTGTGTCTCTGTGTGTCTCTGTGTGTCTCTGTGTCTCTGTGTGTCTCTGTGTGCCTGTCTCTCTGTGTGTCTGTGTGTCTCTGTGTGTCTCTGTGTGTCTCTGTGTGCCTGTGTCTCTGTGTGCCTGTGTCTCTGTGTGTCTCCCTGTGTCTGTGTGTGTATCTCTGTGTCTGTGTGTCTGTGTCTCTGTGTGCCTGTGTCTCTGTGTGTCTCTGTGTGTCTCTGTGTGTCTCTGTGTGTCTCTGTGTGTCTCTGTGTGTCTCTGTGTGTCTCTCTGTGTCTCTCTGTGTCTCTCTGTGTCTCTCTGTGTCTCTCTGTGTCTCTGTGTCTCTCTGTGTCTCTCTGTGTCTCTCTGTGTGTCTCTGTCTCTCTCTGTGTCTCTGTGTGTCTCTGTGTGCCTGTGTCTCTGTGTGTCTCTGTGTGTCTGTGTCTCTGTGTGTCTGTGTCTCTGTGTGTCTCTCTGTGTGTCTCTCTGCGTGTCTCTGTGTGTCTCTGTGTGTCTCTGTGTGTATCTCTGTGTCTGTGTGTCTCTGTGTGCTTGTGTCTCTGTGTGTCTCTCTGTCTCTGTGTCTCTCTCTGTGTCTCTGTGTCTGTGTGTCTGTGTCCGTCTTCACCTTGATGGGGCGGTGGAGGTCTGGCTGAGTGTAACGTAGCCACATCATCCCCGCTATGTCTCTCTCTGTGTGTCACTGTCTCTGTGTGTCTCTGTGTGTGTCTGTGTGTGTCTCTGTGTGTGTCTCTGTGTTTCTCTCTCTGTCTCTGTGTCTCTGTGTCTGTGTCTTCACCTTGATGGGGCGGTGGCGGTCTGGCTGAGTGTAACGTAGCCACATCATCCCCGCTATGTCTCTCTCTGTGTGTCTCTGTCTCTGTGTCTCTGTGTGTGTCTCTCTCTGTTTCTGTGTGTCTCTGTGTGTCTCTCTCTGTTTCTGTGTGTCTCTGTGTGTCTCTCTCTGTTTCTGTGTGTCTCTGTGTGTCTCTGTGTGTGTCTCTGTGTCTCTGTGTGTGTCTCTGTGTCTCTGTGTGTCTCTGTGTGTCTCTGTGTGTCTCTGTGTGTCTCTGTGTGTCTCTGTGTCTCTGTCTGTGTCTTCACCTTGATGGGGCGGTGGCGGTCTGGCTGAGTGTAACGTAGCCACATCATCCCCGCTATGTCTCTCTCTGTGTGTCTCTGTGTGTGTCTCTGTGTGTGTGTCTGTGTGTCTCCGTGTGTGTCTCTGTGTGTGTCTCTGTGTGTGTCTCTGTGTGTGTCTGTGTGTCTCTCTCTGTCTCTCTGTCTCTGTGTGTGTCTCTGTGTGTGTCTTCACCTTGATGGGGCGGTGGCGGTCTGGCTGAGTGTAACGTAGCCACATCATCCCCGCTATGTCTCTCTCTGTGTGTCTCTGTGTGTGTGTGTCTCTGTGTGTCTCTGTGTGTGTCTGTGTGTCTCTCTCTGTCTCTCTGTCTCTGTGTGTGTCTCTGTCTGTGTCTTCACCTTGATGGGGCGGTGGCGGTCTGGCTGAGTGTAACGTAGCCACATCATCCCCGCTATGTCTCTCTCTGTGTGTCTCTGTGTGTGTCTCTGTGTGTGTGTCTCCGTGTGTGTCTCCGTGTGTGTCTCTGTGTGTGTCTCTGTGTGTGTCTCTGTGTGTGTCTCTGTGTGTGTCTCTGTGTGTGTCTCTGTGTGTGTCTCTGTGTGTGTCTTCACCTTGATGGGGCGGTGGCGGTCTGGCTGAGTGTAACGTAGCCACATCATCCCCGCTATGCACAGGCCCACACAGAGCCAGTTGAAGAAGCTGAACAGGTTGATGATGGAGAAGACGTCGCTCGAAACCGCGTAGACCAGCGTGAGGGCACACTGCGGGGAGACACGCGGGGAGACATGGAGACACGCGGAGACACGGAGACACGTGGGGAGAGACATGGAGACACGCGGAGACACGCGGAGACATGCAGACACGCGGAGACATGGAGACACGCGGGGAGACATGCAGACACGCGGAGACACGGAGACACGCGGGGAGACATGGAGACACGCGGGGAGACACGGAGACACGTGGAGACACGTGGGGAGACATGGAGACACGCGGAGACACGTGGGGAGACATGGAGACACGCGTAGACCAGCGTGAGGGCACACTGCGGGGAGACACGCGGAGGACACGGAGACACGTGGGGAGACATGGAGACACGCGGAGAGACGCGGGGAGACACGCGGAGACACCCGGAGACACGCGGGGAGACATGGAGACACGCATAGACCAGCGTGAAGGCACACTGCGGGGAGACACGCGGGGAGACATGGAGACACGTGGGGAGACATGGAGACACGTGGGGAGAGACACGTGGGGAGAGAGAGAGACACGTGGGGAGAGGACACGTGGGGAGAGACACGTGGGGAGAGACACGTGGGGAGAGACACGTGGGGAGAGACACGTGGGGAGAGACACGTGGGGAGAGACACGTGGGGAGAGACACGCGGGGAGAGACACGTGGGGAGAGACACGTGGGGAGAGACACGCGGGGAGAGACACGTGGGGAGAGACACGCGGGGAGAGACACGCGGGGAGAGACACGTGGGGAGAGACACGTGGGGAGAGAAACGTGGGGAGACATGGAGACACGTGGGGAGAGACACGCGGGGAGAGACACGTGAGGAGAGACACGCGGGGAGAGACACGTGGGGAGACATGGAGACACGTGGGGAGAGACACGCGGGGAGAGACACGTGGGGAGAGACACGTGGGGAGAGACACGCGGGGAGAGACACGCGGGGAGAGACACGCGGGGAGAGACACGTGGGGAGAGACACGTGGGGAGACATGGAGACACGTGGGGAGAGACACGCGGGGAGAGACACGTGGGGAGAGACACGCGGGGAGAGACACGTGGGGAGACATGGAGACACGTGGGAGAGACACGCGGGGAGAGACACGTGGGGAGAGACACGCGGGGAGAGACATGTGGGGAGACATGGAGACACGTGGGGAGAGACACGTGGGGAGAGACACGTGGGGAGAGACACGTGGGGAGAGACACGTGGGGAGAGACACGTGGGGAGAGACACGCGGGGAGAGACACGCGGGGAGAGGACACGCGGGGAGAGACACGCGGGGAGAGACACGCGGGGAGAGACACGCGGGGAGAGACACGCGGGGAGAGACACGTGGGGAGACATGGAGACACGTGGGGAGAGACACGCGGGGAGAGACACGTGGGGAGAGACACGCGGGGAGAGACACGTGGGGAGACATGGAGACACGTGGGGAGAGACACGCGGGGAGAGACACGTGGGGAGAGACACGCGGGGAGAGACACGTGGGGAGAGACACGTGGGGAGAGACACACGTAGACACGGAGACACGTGGGGAGAGACACGTGGGGAGAGACACGTGGGGAGAGACACGCGGGGAGAGACACGCGGGGAGAGGACACGCGGGGAGAGACACGCGGGGAGAGACACGCGGGGAGAGACACGTGGGGAGAGACACGTGGGGAGACATGGAGACACGTGGGGAGAGACACGCGGGGAGAGACACGGGGGGAGAGACACGCGGGGAGAGACACGTGGGGAGACATGGAGACACGTGGGGAGAGACACGTGGGGAGAGACACGTGGGGAGAGACACGTGGGGAGAGACACGCGGGGAGAGACACGCGGGGAGAGACACGCGGGGAGAGACACGCGGGGAGAGACACGCGGGGAGAGACACGCGGGGAGAGACACGCGGGGAGAGACACGTGGGGAGAGACACGTGGGGAGAGACACGTGGGGAGACATGGATACACGTGGGGAGAGACACGCGGGGAGAGACACGCGGGGAGAGACACGTGGGGAGAGACACGCGGGGAGAGACACGTGGGGAGACATGGAGACACGTGGGGAGAGACACGCGGGGAGAGACACGTGGGGGAGAGACACGCGGGGAGAGACACGTGGGGAGACATGGAGACACGTGGGGAGAGACACGTGGGGAGAGACACACGTAGACACGGAGACACGTGGGGAGAGACACACGAGGAGACGCGGAGACACGTGGGGAGAGACACGTGGGGAGAGACACGTGGGGAGAGACACACGTAGACATGGAGACACGTGGGAGAGACACGTGGGGAGAGACACGTAGACATGGAGACACGTGGGGAGAGACACGCGGGGAGAGACACACGAGGAGACATGGAGACACGTGGGGAGAGACACGTGGGGAGAGACACACGTAGACACGGAGACACATGGGGAGAGACACGTGGGGAGAGACACGTGGGGAACGTGCCACTCCCCCACCCCCTACCCCCCGCCCCCCTCACTCACAGTGACGATGAGCGAGGGCACGGGGGTGAGAAGTGAGGTGTGAATCATGGACATTGCCTGGGGCAAGTGACCCTCCCTGGCTCCCACGAAGAACATCCTGCACACACACACAGTTACACAGTCACACACACACAGTTACACACAGTCACACACACAGTCACACAGTTACACACACAGTCACACAGTCACACACACACAGTCACACACACACACAGTCACACACACACAGTCACACACAGAGTCACACACACAGTCACACACACACACACAGTCACACACACACAGTCACACACAGAGTCACACACACACAGTCACACAGTCACACACACAGTCACACACACACAGTCACACAGTCACACACACAGTCACACACACAGTCACACAGTCACACACACACAGTCACACAGTCACACACACAGTCACACAGTCACACACACAGTCACACAGTCACACACACAGTCACACAGTTACACACACACAGTTACACACACAGTTACACACACAGTCACACACACAGTCACACACACAGTCATACACACAGTTATACACACAGTCACACACACAGTCACACACACAGTCACACACACACAGTTATACACACAGTTACACACACAGTTACACACACACAGTCACACACACACACAGTTATACACACAGTTACACACACATAGTCACACACACACAGTCACACACACACAGTCACACAGTTACACACACAGTTACACACACAGTTACACACACACACACATTCACACACACACACACACACAGTCACACACACACACACAGTCACACACACACACACACAGTCACACACACACACAGTCACACACACACACACAGTCACACACACACACAGTCACACACACACACAGTCACACACACAGTTATCCACACAGTCACACACTCACACAGTCACACACACAGTCACACACACACACAGTCACACACACACACAGTCACACACACAGTCACACAGTCACACACAATCACACACACAGTCACACACAATCACACACACAGTCACACACACAGTCACACACAATCACACACACAGTCACACACACAGTCACACACAATCACACACACAGTCACACACAGTTACACACACAGACACACACAGTCACACACAGTTACACACACAGTTACACACACAGTCACACACACAGAGTCACACACACACAGGCACACACACACAGGCACACACACACAGGCACACACAGGCACACAGTCACAGTCACACGCACACACAGGCACACAGTCACAGTCACACGCACAGTCACACACAGGCACACACACAGTCACACACACACACAGTCACACACACACAAACACACACACAGTTACACACAGTCACACACACACAGTCACACACAGTCACACACAATCACACACACAGTCACACACAGTTACACACACTTACACACACAGTCACACAGTCACACACAGTCACACACAGTCACACACAGTTACACACACACAGGCACACACAGGCACACACACACACACAGGCACACACAGGCACACAGTCACACACAGGCACACACACAGTCACACACACACACAGTCACACACACACACACACAGTCACACACAGACACAGTCACACACAGACACAGTCACACACACACAGGCACACACAGGCACACAGTCACACACACAGGCACACAGTCACAGTCACACACACAGTCACAGACACAGTCACACATAGTCACACACACACAGTCACACACACACAAACACACACACACAAACACACACAGAGTCACACACACACACAGTCACACACACACAGTCACACACACACAGTCACACACAGGCACACACATATAGTCACACACACACAGTCACACACACAGTCACACACACAGTCACACACACACACGGGTCAGACACAGCCACACACACAGTCACAACAACCGCCATTCGCCACTAAGTGGCGGGTGACGTCACCACGACGCTTGTGCCAGGCCATGTGCACACACACACACAGTCACACACACACACACAGACACGCACAGTGTTAGTTAGGTTGGTCTAGTTAAGCGCTAGTTAGGAGCTAGTTAGGAGCTAGTTAGGAGCTAGCTAGGTGCTAGCTAAGCGCTAGTTAGGCACTAGTTAGCGCCTAACCAGCGCTGAGTTAGGGGCTAGTTAAGTGCTAGTTAAGTGCTAGTTAGGTGCAAGTTAGGCGCTAGTTAGGGGCTAGTTAAGTGCTAGTTAAGTGCTAGTTAAGCGCTAGTTAGGCGCTAGTTAGACGAGTGTATTTTACCGGGCGGACGTGAAGAGGGAGCCGTTGACGGAGCCGAAGCAGGAGAGGCCAACACACAGCGGGATGAGCCACGCCATGCGGCCCAGATGGTAGTTACCAAAATCCTGCGGTGGTGGTGGTGGTGACGGTGGTGGTGGTGGTGGTGACGGTGGTGGTGGTGACGGAGGTGGTGGTGACGGAGTTGACGGAGGTGGTGACGGAGGTGGTGACGGAGGTGGTGGTGGTGGTGGTGACGGAGGTGGTGGTGACGGTGGTGGTGGTGACGGTGGTGGTGGTGGTGGTGACGGAGGTGGTGGTGGTGGTGACAGTGGTGGAAGGGGGAGACATGGTGCAGTGACACCGCTGTTAATACACAACAACCACAACAACCACAACAACCACAACCACAGGGTGGGCAAATGTCCGACCTAGCGACTGACCAAGCGACTGACCGAGCGATTGACCGAGCGTCTGACCTAGCGACTGACCTAGCGACTGACCAAGCGACTGACCTAGCGACTGACCAAGCGACTGACCTAGCGACTGACCTCGCGACTGACCAAGCGACTGACCAAGCATCTGACCTAGCGACTGACCTCGCGACTGACCAAGCGACTGACCTAGCGACTGACCAAGCGACTGACCTAGCGACTGACCGAGCGTCTGACCGAGCGACTGACCTAGCATCTGACTCAGCGACTGACCTAGCGTCTGACCGAGTGACTGATCTAGCGTCTGACCGAGCATCTGACTCAGCGACTGACCTAGCAACTGACGGAGCGACTGACCGAGCGTCTGACCTAGCGACTGACTCAGCGTCTGACCTCGCGACTGACCAAGCGACTGACTGAGCGACTGACCGAGCGTCTGACCTCGCGACTGACCAAGCGACTGACCTAGCGTCTGACCGAGCGTCTGACCGAGCGTCTGACCTCGCGACTGACCAAGCGACTGACTGAGCGACTGACCGAGCGTCTGACCTCGCGACTGACCAAGCGACTGACCTAGCGACTGACCTCGCGACTGACCTAGCGACTGACCTAGCGACTGACCTAGCGACTGACCTAGCGACTGACCTAGCGACTGACCGAGCGACTGACCGAGCGACTGACCGAGCGTCTGACCTAGCGACTGACCTCGCGACTGACCTAGCGACTGACCTAGCGACTGACCTAGCGACTGACCTAGCGGACTGACCAAGCGACTGACCTAGCGACTGACCGAGCGTCTGACCTCGCGACTCACCGAGCGTCTGACCTAGCGACTGACCTAGCGACTGACCGAGCGACTGACCTAGCGACTGACCGAGCATCTGACTCAGCGACTGACCGAGCGACTGACCGGGCGTCTGACCGAGCGACTGACCTAGCGACTGACCGAGCGACTGACCGGGCGTCTGACCTAGCGTCTGACCTAGCGACTGACCGAGCGTCTGACCTAGCGACTGACCTAGCGTCTGACCTAGCGACTGACCGGGCGACTGACCTAGCAATGACTGAGCGACTGACCTAGCGACTGACCGAGCGACTGACCGAGCAAGTGACTGAGCGACTGACCTAGCGACTGACCTAGCGACTGACCGAGCGTCTGATCTAGCGTCTGACCGAGTGACTGACCTAGCGTCTGATCTAGTGTCTGACTCAACGTCTGACCTAGCGTCTGACCGAGCGTCTGACCGAGCGTCTGACCTAGCGTCTGACTCAGTGTCTGACCGAGCGTCTGACCGAGTGACTGACTCAGCGACTGACTCAGCGGACTGACCGAGCGACTGACTCAGCGACTGACTCAGCGACTGACCGAGCGACTGACCGAGCGACTGACCGAGCGTCTGACTCAGCGACTGACTCAGCGACTGACTCAGCATCTGACCGAGCGACTGATTCAGCGACTGACCTAGTGTCTGACCGAGCGACTGACCGAGCGACTGACTCAGCGTCTGACTCAGCAACTGACCGAGCGACTGACTCAGCGACTGACTCAGCGACTGACCTCGCGACTGACCTCGCGACTCACCGAGCGTCTGACCGAGCGACTGACCTAGCGTCTGACCTAGCGTCTGACCTAGCGACTGACCTAGCGACTGACCGAGCGACTCACCGAGCGTCTGACCTAGCGACTGACCTAGCAAGTGACTGAGCGACTGACCTAGCGACTGACCTAGCGACTGACCGAGCATCTGATCTAGCGTCTGACCGAGTGACTGACCTAGCGTCTGATCTAGTGTCTGACTCAGCGTCTGACCGAGCGTCTGACCGAGTGACTGACTCAGCGACTGACTCAGCGACTGACCGAGCGACTGACTCAGCGACTGACTTAGCGTCTGACCGAGCGACTGACCGAGCGTCTGACCTAGCGTCTGACTCAGCGTCTGACCGAGCGTCTGACCGAGTGACTGACTCAGCGACTGACTCAGCGACTGACCGAGCGACTGACTCAGCGACTGACTTAGCGTCTGACCGAGCGACTGACTCAGCGACTGACTCAGCGACTGACTCAGCGACTGACTCAGCGACTGACCTAGCGTCTGACCTAGCGACTGACCGAGCGACTGACTCAGCGTCTGACTCAGCGACTGACCTAGCGTCTGACCGAGCGACTGACCGAGCGACTGACTCAGCGACTGACTCAGCGACTGACCGAGCGACTGACTCAGCGACTGACTCAGCGTCTGACCGAGCGACTGACCTAGCGACTGACTCAGCGACTGACTCAGCGACTGACTCAGCGACTGACCGAGCGACTGACTCAGCGACTGACTCAGCGTCTGACCGAGCGACTGACCGAGCGACTGACTCAGCATCTGACCGAGCGACTGACGCAGCGACTGACTCAGCGACTGACTCAGCGACTGACTCAGCGACTGACCGAGCGTCTGACCGAGCGACTGACTCAGCGACTGACCGGGTGTCTGACCAAGCGACTGACCAAGCGACTGACCGAGCGACTGACCAAGCGACTGACTCAGCGACTGACTCAGCGTCTAACTCAGCGACTGACCAAGCGACTGACCGAGCGACTGACCAAGCGACTGACTCAGCGTCTAACTCAGCGACTGACTCAGCGACTGACTCAGCGTCTGACCGAGCGACTGACTCACCACGGCGACGGCCTCCGAGTGCAGCATCTCGCTGGGCGTGAGAGTGGTGAAGTAGGCCAAGTTCGTGAGCACGTACACAGTCGTGACGATGGGCATCGAGATGATGATGGCACGGGGGAGGTTCCTAGGGTGTCACGTGGGGGGGGGGGCGGGGGTATTGGTGGGGGGTGGGTGGGGGGGTGGTGGGGGGTAAACATCGGACTGTGATGAGCAAGTGGGTGAGAGCTTGTCACCTGCTCGCCCACTCACCTGCCCACCCACTCACCCACCCACCCACCTATCCACTCACCCACCCACCCATCCACCCATCCACTCACCCACCCACCCATCCACCCATCCACTCACCCACCCACCCATCCACTCACCCACCCACCCATCCACTCACCCACCCACCCATCCACTCACCCACCCACCCACCCACCCGCGCCTCCACTTACCCATCCATTCACTTGCCCGCCCACCCACCCACTCACCCACCCACTCACCCACCCACCCATCCACTCACCCACCCACCCATCCACCCATCCACTCACCCACCCACCCATCCACTCACCCACCCACCCATCCACTCACCCACCCATCCACTCACCCACCCACCCATCCACTCACCCACCCACCCATCCACTCACCCACCCACTCACCCACCCGCGCATCCACTTACCCATCCACCCACCCATCCACTCACTCGCCCACCCCCCCACCCACCCACTCACCCATCCACTCTACCACCCACTCACTCGCCCACTCGCTCACCCACTCACCCACTCACCCACCCGCCCACTCACCCACTCACCCACCCGCCCACTCACCCACTCACCCACTCACCCACCCGCCCACTCACCCACCCACTATCCCACCCACCCACTCGCCCGTGCACGTTGTGAGAGGTTGTTGCTTAGTAACCGGCGGGCTGCTCACGGTTACTAAGCAACGTGACGAGGACCGGGGGGGGGGGGGCTGGGGGGGGGTGGTGGTGCAGGCTCCCTACTTGTAGGGCTCTATCATCTCCTCCGTCACGAAGTTGAGGTAGTTCCTACACACACAGACACGGGGAGGGGGGGGGTGAGTGGGTGGTGGGTGGGTGAGTGAGTGGGTGAGCGGGTGAGTGGGTGAGCGGGTGAGTGGGTAAGTGAGTGGGTGAGTGGGTGAGTGGGTGAGTGGGTGGGTGGGTGAGTGGGTGAGTGGGTGGGTGGGTGGGTGAGTGGGTGAGTGGGTGGGTGAGTGGGTGAGTGAGTGAGTCGGTGAGTGAGTGAGCGAGCGAGTCGGTGAGTGAGTGGGTGAGTGAGTGAGTGAGCGAGTGAGTCGGTGAGTGAGTGAGTGAGCGAGCGAGTCGGTGAGTGAGTGAGCGAGCGAGTCGGTGAGTGAGTGAGCGAGTGAGTCGGTGAGTGAGTGAGTGAGCGAGCGAGTGCGTGAGTGAGCGAGTGAGTCGGTGAGTGAGTGAGTGAGCGAGCGAGTCGGTGAGTGAGTGAGTCGGTGAGTGAGCGAGTGAGTGAGCGAGCCGGTGAGTGAGTGAGTCGGTGAGTGAGCGAGTCGGTGAGTGGTGAGTGAGTGAATCGGTGAGTGAGTGAGCGAGCGAGCTGGTGAGTAGCTGGTGAGGTTCGCTCACCACCCTCCGTAGGCAAAGAGACCGCTGTACAGCGCCAGGACGATGTGCTTCACGTCGTAGTTTGTGCCGGAGAAAACCGTCTCGGGTAGCAGGTTCGGCACATCACCTGCAAAGATAAAGGTCCCCCGTGTAGCCTCTAACAGAGCTGTAGGGGCAAGTGCCGTTGATAGCACACAGAGACCCACAGACTCATCACACAGCAGAGACCCATAGACTCACAAGGTGAGGCTCACAGAGAGTGAGTCAGGGTGAGGCTCACAGTGAGTGAGTCAGGGTGAGGCTCACAGTGAGTGAGTCAGGGTGAGGCTCACAGTGAGTGAGTCAGGGTGAGGCTCACAGTGAGTCAGGGTGAGGCTCACAGTGAGTGAGTCAGGGTGAGGCTCACAGTGAGTCAGGGTGAGGCTCACAGTGAGTCAGGGTGAGGCTCGCAGTGAGTCAGGGTGAGTCTCACAGTGAGTGAGTCAGGGTGAGGCTCACAGTGAGTGAGCCAGGGTGAGGCTCACAGTGAGTCAGGGTGAGTCTCACAGTGAGTCAGGGTGAGGCTCACAGTGAGTCAGGGTGAGGCTCACAGTGAGTCAGGGTGAGGCTCACAGTGAGTCAGGGTGAGGCTCACAGTGAGTGAGTCAGGGTGAGGCTCACAGTGAGTGAGTCAGGGTGAGGCTCACAGTGAGTGAGTCAGGGTGAGTCTCACAGTGAGTGAGTCAGGGTGAGGCTCACAGTGAGTGAGTCAGGGTGAGGCTCACAGTGAGTGAGTCAGGGTGAGGCTCACAGAGAGTCAGGGTGAGGCTCACAGAGAGTCAGGGTGAGGCTCACAGAGAGTGAGTCAGAGTGAGGCTCACAGTGAGTCTGGGTGAGGCTCACAGTGAGTGAGTCAGGGTGAGGCTCACAGTGAGTGAGTCAGGGTGAGTCTCACAGTGAGTGATCCAGGGTGAGGCTCACAGTGAGTGAGTCAGGGTGAGGCTCACAGTGAGTGAGTCAGGGTGAGGCTCACAGTGAGTGAGTCAGGGTGAGGCTCACAGTGAGTGAGTCAGGGTGAGTCTCACAGTGAGTGAGTCAGGGTGAGTCTCACAGTGAGTGATCCAGGGTGAGGCTCATAGTGAGTGAGTCAGGGTGAGGCTCATAGTGAGTGAGTCAGGGTGAGGCTCACAGTGAGTGAGTCAGGGTGAGGCTCACAGTGAGTGAGTCAGGGTGAGTCTCACAGTGAGTGAGTCAGGGTGAGGCTCACAGTGAGTCAGGGTGAGGCTCACAGTGAGTGAGTCAGGGTGAGTCTCACAGTGAGTCTGGGTGAGTCTCACAGTGAGTGAGTCAGGGTGAGGCTCACAGTGAGTCAGGGTGAGGCTCACAGTGAGTGAGTCAGGGTGAGGCTCACAGTGAGTGAGTCAGGGTGAGGCTCACAGTGAGTGAGTCAGGGTGAGTCTCACAGTGAGTGAGTCAGGGTGAGGCTCACAGTGAGTCAGGGTGAGGCTCACAGTGAGTGAGTCAGGGTGAGTCTCACAGTGAGTCTGGGTGAGTCTCACAGTGAGTGAGTCAGGGTGAGGCTCACAGTGAGTCAGGGTGAGGCTCACAGTGAGTGAGTCAGGGTGAGGCTCACAGTGAGTGAGTCAGGGTGAGGCTCACAGTGAGTGAGTCAGGGTGAGTCTCACAGTGAGTGAGTCAGGGTGAGGCTCACAGTGAGTCAGGGTGAGGCTCACAGTGAGTGAGTCAGGGTGAGGCTCACAGTGAGTGAGTCAGGGTGAGGCTCACCGCGGGCGATTTGCACGAACCCCAGGCTGATGATGAGTCCCAGGGCCAGCAGCTTGGCCCCCATGAAGGCGTCTTGGACTCGCGTCGCCGCACGGACACTCACGCAGTTCACTGCCGTCAGCAGCACTGGGGGGGGGGGGGGGTCACGTGGGGGGTCACGTGGGGGAGGGGGGTCACGTGGGGGAGGGGGGTCACGGGGGGGGGGGGGGTGGTGGTCACACACACGCAGGGCACCAGGGTCAGGCTGCTGCTGATACTGCTGCTGATGCTGCTGCTGATACTGCTGCTGATACTGCTGCTGATGCTGCTGATGCTGCTGCTGATACTGCTGCTGATTGCTGCTGCGTGCGTTTGGGTGCCGGGAAGCTGCTGCTGGCCAGCGCCAGTAGCAGCTGCCCTGACACGGCACACGAAGAGTCACAGACTCACGCACATAGAGAGACACACAAAGACTCACACACAGAGAGAGTCACACACAGAGACACACAGAGACACACACAGAGACACACAGACTCACACACAGAGACACACACAGACACAGAGAGAGTCACAGACTCACACACAGAGAGAGACACACAAAGACACAGAGAGAGTCACACAAAGACACAGAGAGAGTCACACAAAGACACAGAGAGCGTCACACAAAGACAGAGAGAGTCACACAAAGACACAGAGAGAGTCAAACAAAGACACAGAGACACACAGACTCACACACAGAGACACACAGAGACACACAGACTCACACACAGAGACACACAGAGACACACAGAGACACACAGACTCACACACAGAGACACAGACTCACACACAGACTCACACACAGAGACACACACAGAGACACACACAGAGACACACACACACAGACTCACACACAGAGACACACAGACTCACACACAGAGACACACAGAGACACACAGACTCACACACAGAGACACACAGACTCACACACAGAGACACACAGACTCACACACAGAGACACAGACTCACACACAGAGACACAGACTCACACACAGACTCACACACAGAGACACGCAGACTCACACACAGAGACACACAGACTCACACACAGACTCGCACACAGAGACACAGACTCACACACAGAGACACACAGACTCACACACAGAAACACACAGACTCACACACAGAGACACACAGACTCACACACAGAGACACACAGACTCACACACAGAGACACACAGACTCACACACAGAGACACACAGACTCACACAGACTCACACACAGAGACACAGACTCACACACAGAGACACAGACTCACACACAGAGACACAGACTCACACACAGAGACACAGACTCACACACAGACTCACACACAGAGACACAGACTCACACACAGAGACACACAGACTCACACACAGAGACACACAGACTCACACACAGAGACACACAGACTCACACACAGACTCACACACACTCGCACACAGACTCGCACAGACAGAGACACACAGACTCACACACAGAGACACACAGACTCACACACAGAGACACACAGACTCACACACAGACTCACACACAGAGACACACACAGAGACACACAGACTCACACAGACTCACACACAGCGTTATACATTGCAGGCTGCATCTAATGTGTACTGTAGCGTCAATAAGTGGCAGTCACAAACTAAATACATTGACGTTACAGAGTGGATACAGCTGTGTGCACCGAACCTAACCCCACTGGTTCTTCACGTTCTGTAGATGTAGATGCCACTGGTTATTCACGTTCTACAGATGTAGATGCCACTGGTTCTTCACGTTCTGTAGATGTAGATGCCGCTGGTTCTTCACGTTCTGTAGATGTAGATGCCACTGGTTCTTCACGTTCTGTAGATGTAGATACCACTGGTTCTTCACGTTTTGCAGATGTAGATGCCACTGGTTCTTCACGTTATACAGATGTAGATACCACTGGTTCTTCACGATCTGTAGATGCCACTGGTTCTTCACGTTCTGTAGATGTAGATGCCACTGGTTCTTCACGTTCTGTAGATGTAGATGCCACTGGTTCTTCACGTTAAATGTAGATGCCACTGGTTCTTCACGTTAAATGTAGATGCCACTGGTTCTTCACGTTCTGTAGATGCCACTGGTTCTTCACGTTCTGTAGATGTAGATGCCACTGGTTCTTCACGTTCTGTAGATGCCACTGGTTCTTCACGTTCTACAGATGTAGATGCCACTGGTTCTTCACGTTCTGTAGATGTAGATGCCACTGGTTCTTCACGTTCTACAGATGTAGATGCCACTGGTTCTTCACGTTCTACAGATGTAGATGCCACTGGTTCTTCACGTTCTGTAGATGTAGATGCCACTGGTTCTTCACGTTCTACAGATGTAGATGCCACTGGTTCTTCACGTTATACAGATGTAGATACCACTGGTTCTTCACGATCTGTAGATGCCACTGGTTCTTCACGATCTGTAGATGCCACTGGTTCTTCACGTTCTACAGATGTAGATGCCACTGGTTCTTCACGTTAAATGTAGATGTAGATGCCACTGGTTCTTCACGTTCTGTAGATGTAGATGCCACTGGTTCTTCACGTTCTGTAGATGTAGATGCCACTGGTTCTTCACGTTCTACAGATGTAGATGCCACTGGTTCTTCACGTTCTGTAGATGTAGATGCCACTGGTTCTTCACGTTCTGTAGATGCCACTGGTTCTTCACGTTCTGTAGATGTAGATGCCACTGGTTCTTCACGTTCTGTAGATGTAGATGCCACTGGTTCTTCACGTTCTGTAGATGCCACTGGTTCTTCCCGTTCTGTAGATGTAGATGCCACTGGTTCTTCACGTTCTGTAGATGTAGATGCCGAACGGGCGACTTTGTTCGCATTCCTCAGTGTTCGCGTTATTTTATTATTTCTCCGTGGGCCAGCCGTGAAATACGATTGCGCAATTGCATCACATCCTGTGCCTGGTCGTGGCGGTGAGCGCTACAAACCCGGCCACCACCCGAGTTCAATCCCCGCTCACGGCCAACACCACCAGTCACGATTATCCGAACCGGTCCTGGGCCTCCCCTAGGTCGACTCAGCCTCGAATGAGTTAACCCAGTGCGGTGTGTAAATATCGTCACTGGGGAGACGAAGGTGGTCGGGCGTGGTGTTGGCCACCCACCCCCTCGTGTGCCGTGCCGGCCTTCATAGGTGCTGATCGCTAACAGCACTTGCCCCTACAGTCTGTTACAGGCTACACGGGGGATCTTTGTCTTTGTCTCTTTCTCTGTGTCTCTCTCTCTCTCTGTGTGTCTCTCTCTCTCTGTGTCTCTCTCTGTGTCTGTGTGTCTGTGTGCGTGTCTCTCTGTGTCTGTGTCTTTCTGTGTCTGTGTCTCTCTGTGTCTGTGTCTCTGTGTGTGTGTGTCTCTCTCTGTGTGTCTCTGTGTCTGTGTCTCTGTGTCTGTGTCTCTGTGTGTGCGTCTCTGTGTCTCTCTGTGTCTGTGCATGTCTCTCTCTGTGCGTGTCTGTGTGTGTCTCTCTCTGTGTGTGTCTGTGTGTGTGTCTCTCTCTGTGCGTGTCTGTGTGTGTCTCTATTTCCATCAATCTGCACATTCCTCAAATCGTTCAAACACATTCATGCGGAGGGAGGAGCTGGTAGGAACGTCGGGTTGCTCGGTCAATGGCCAGGGTCAACAACAGCGGCGGCGGCACCACGTGGTGGTGCATTCCGCAAATATGCCCGACTGTAAGGGCGGGCACAAGCCGGCGTGAGTCAGTGAAACGTTGAGTTTTATAAGGGCACCACGGGGTGACCAGCCCATCCACTCGCTCACCCAGCCACTCACACGCCCATCCACTCACTCACCCAGTCACTCACCCACCCATCCGCTCACTCACCCAGCCACTCACTCATTCAGCCACTCACTCACCCAGCCACTCACCCACCCATGAACTCATCCACACAGCCACTCACCCACCCAGCCACTCACCCACCCATCCACTCACTCACTCACTCACCCAGCCACTCACCCACCCATCCACTCACCCAGTCACTCACTCACCCATCCACTCACTCACCCACCCATTCACCCCATCCACTCACTCACCCATCCACTCACTCACTCACCCAGCCACTCACTCACCCAGCCACTCACCCACGAATTCAACCACCCATCCACCCACCCACCCACCAACTCAATCAGCTGCTCACCCACCCAGTCACTCACTCATTCAGCCACTCACCCACCCATCCACTCACCCACCCATCCACTCACCCACCAAATCAACTCACCCACCCACTAACTCAACCCCAACCCCAACCCCAGCCCCAACTCACCAACGCAGGCGCACGCCAGCAATTTGGCGGGCGCCTCGGGCACTGCGCAGACCTTCGGGAAGGCCGGCTTCAGCGTGTAGGTGGCGAACACGAACGCCACGATGTACTGCGACGAGGGCCGGATCACGAGCAGCTCCACCCAGAGCTTCAGGAAGCCGACGAGCGGGCCGTACACCTCGAGCATGTAGGCGTAGTCGCCGCCCGACTTGCTGATGGTGGTGCCCAGCTCGGCGTAGCAGAGGGCGCCGGCGGCCGAGAAGACCCCGCACGAGGCCCAGACGACCAGGGCCCAGCCGGGCGAGCCGGCCTCGCGGGCCACGCCCGTGGGCGTTACGAAGATGCCCGAGCCGACGATGGTGCCCACGATGATGGCGACGCCGTTGAAGAGGGTGATGGTGCGCTTCAGCTCCACGCCGGTGGTGGTGGTGCCGGTGGTGGTGCCGGTGGAGTCGCCCGTCGCTTTGCCGGCGCGGGGTAACATCGTCCGCGTGGCTCCACCACCACCACCACCGTTATCATCGTCGTCGTCGTCCTCCTCTAAGGCGGCGGTGTCCGCGCGTTGTTGTTGTTGTTGCTGCGGATGATGAGGAGGAGGAGGTGACAGATCGGCCCGCTTCGCTCGGTTGTGGTTGGGCGACATGGCTCGCCGGTTTCGAGGTTTTTTTGTTTTTAACCGGTTCGGGACGTTTTTTTGTTTTAACCGGTTCTGGGGGAATTTTTTTAACGGTTCGGGTGGGTGGTAAATTTTGGCGGTGGTGGTGATGATGGTGCTGACGGTACCGGTGAAGGTGCTGACGGTACCGGTGAAGGTGCTGACGGTACCGGCGAAGGTGCTGGTGGTACCGGTGAAGGTTCTGGTGGTACCGGTGAAGGTGCTGACGGTACCGGTGAAGGTGCTGGTGGTACCGGCGATGGTACTGGTGGTTCTGGTGGTACTGGCGATGCTACAGGTGGTACCAGGTGATGGTACTGACGGTACTGGTGGTTCTGGTGGTACCGGCGAAGGTTCTGGTGGTACCGGTGAAGGTTCTGGTGGTACCAGGTGATGGTACTGACGGTACTGGTGGTTCTGGTGGTACCGGCGATGCGACTGTCCCAGGAACCGTGCACGCAAAATTATTACGGCTCGCCCGATATGCTGCAATAGATTCGATTCCAAGGGGAATCGACCAAACGTGGTCGAATCGATTCCTAAATTTTCGCCGCCACACCACCACCCCCGGGCCAGTGAACTTCAATGGTAATCGATTCCAATTCTGCGCCTCCGTTAATCGGATCGTCGATTCTTTCAACATGATGCAATACCGGGTGGGCGATTGGCTTTGCTGAGACAAAGTAGCCCCAGGTAGCCTCTAGCAGGGCTGTAGGGGCAAGTGCTGTGACAAAGCAGCCCCAGGTAGCCTCCAGCGGGGGCTGCAGGGGCAAGTGCTCAGACAAAGTAGCCCCAGGTAGCCTCCAGCAGGGCTGCAGGGGCAAGTGCTGAAACAAAGTAGCCCCAGGTAGCCTCCAGCAGGGCTGCAGGGGCAAGTGCTGACACAAAGTAGCCCCAAGTAGCCTCCAGCAGGGCTGCAGGGGCAAGTGCTGTGACAAAGTAGCCCCAGGTAGCCTCTAGCAGGGCTGCAGGGGCAAGTGCTCAGACAAAGTAGCCCCAGGTAGCCTCTAGCAGGGCTGCAGGGGCAAGTGCTGTGACAAAGTAGCCCCAGGTAGCCTCCAGCAGGGCTGTAGGGGCAAGTGCTGTGACAAAGCAGCCCCAGGTAGCCTCCAGCGGGGCTGCAGGGGCAAGTGCTCAGACAAAGTAGCCCCAGGTAGCCTCCAGCAGGGCTGCAGGGGCAAGTGCTGTGACAAAGTAGCCCCAGGTAGCCTCCAGCAGGGCTGCAGGGGCAAGTGCTCAGACAAAGTAGCCCCAGGTAGCCTCCAGCATGGCTGCAGGGGCAAGTGCTCAGACAAAGTAGCCCCAGGTAGCCTCCAGCGGGGCTGCAGGGGCAAGTGCTGTGACAAAGTAGCCCCAGGTAGCCTCCAGCAGGGCTGCAGGGGCAAGTGCTGTGACAAAGTAGCCCCAGGTAGCCTCTAGCAGGGCTGCAGGGACAAGTGCTGAGACAAAGTAGCCCCAGGTAGCCTCCAGCAGGGCTGCAGGGGCAAGTGCTGACACAAAGTAGCCCCGGGTAGCCTCTAGTAGGGCTGCAGGGGCAAGTGCTGTGACAAAGTAGCCCCAGGTAGCCTCCAACAGGGCTGCAGGGGCAAGTGCTGTTAGTGGAAAAGACAAAGATCTCCCGGGTAGCCTCCAGCAGGGCTGTAGGGGCAAGTGCTGTGAGTAGCAGCAGCAGTGCCTATAGACACACAAAGGTTCTCCGTGTAGCCTCTAGCAGGGCTGTAGGGGCAAGTGCTGTTAAAACTACTACACAATTGACTATGTGGGGGGGTTGGGGTGGTGGAGGGATGGGTGGGTGGGTGGAGGTATGAGTGGATGGGTGGATGGGTGGAGGGATGAATGGGTGGGTGGAGGTATGGGTGGATGCGTGGGTGGATGCGTGGGTGGAGGGATGGGTGGGTGGGTGGAGGGATGGATGGGTGGGTGGGTGGAGGGATGGGTGGGTGGGTGGGTGGAGGGATGGGTGGGTGGGTGGACGGAGGGATGGGTGGGTGGGTGGAGGGATGGGTGGGTGGGTGGGTGGAGGGATGGGTGGGTGGGTGGAGGGATGGGTGGATGGATGGAGGGATGGATGGATGGGTGGGTGGAGGGAGGGATGGATGGGTGGGTGGGTGGAGGGAGGGATGGATAGGTGGGTGGAGGGATGGGTGGGTGGGTGGAGGGAGGGATGGGTAGGTGGATGGGTGGGTGGGTGGAGGGAGAGATGGGTGGATGGGTGAGTGGGTGGGTGGAGGGAGGGGTGGGTGGGTGGAGGGAGGGGTGGGTGGGTGGCGGGAAAGATGGGTGGATGGGTGGGTGGAGGTATGGGTGGGTGGAGGGAGGTATGGGTGGGTGGAGGGAGGGATGGGTGGGTGGGTGGCGGGAGGGATGGGTGGATGGGTGGGTGGAGGGATGGGTGGGTGGAGGTATGGGTGGGTGGAGGGAGGTATGGGTGGGTGGGTGGAGGGATGGGTGGGTGGGTGGAGGGAGAGATGGGTGGGTGGGTGGAGGCACGGATGGGTGGGTGGAGGGAGGGACGGATGGGTGGGTGGAGGGAGGGACGGATGGGTGGGTGGAGGGTGGGTGGGTGGAGGAAGGGAATGGTGGGTGGAGGGATGGATGGATGGGTGGGTGGAGGGAGGGTGGGAGGGATGGGTGGGTGGAGGGAGGGATGGGTAGGTGGGTGGGTGGGTAGAGAGTGGGTGGGTGGGTAGAGAGTGGGTGGGTGGGTAGAGAGTGGGTGGGTGGGTAGAGGGTGGGTGGGTGGGTAGAGGGTGGGTGGGTGGGTAGAGGGTGGGTGGGTGGTGGGAGGGGTGGGTGGGTGGATGGTGGGAGGGGTGGGTGGGTGGATGGTGGGAGGGGTGGGTGGGTAAGTGGTGGGAGGGAGGGGTGGGTGGGTGGAGAGAGGGATGGGTGGATGGGTTGTGAGTGACGTCACTTCCCGGAAGCGGTGGCCGCCGTTTCCGCTTCCGGCGGGCCGCGGTGCCGGGCCTCGCTCCGCGCATGCGCGAGGAGCGAGGCCCGAGACCGGGGAGAGACGGGGAGAGATAAGGGAGAGACGGGGAGAGATAAGGGGGGAGAGTTCGGGGGGAGAGAGACAGGGGGGGGGCATAGAGAGAGAGAGACAGAGAGACAAAGACAGGGCAGAGAGACAGACAGAGAGAGAGACAGAGAGACAAAGACAGGGCAGAGAGACAGACAGAGAGACAGAGACAGGGTAGAGAGACAGGGCAGAGAGACAGAGAGACATAGACAGGGCAGAGAGACAGGGGGGGCATAGAGAGAGACAGAGACAGGGCAGAGAGACAGAGAGACAGACACAGAGAGAGACCGAGACAGAGACAGGGTAGAGAGACAGGGCAGAGAGACAGAGAGAGAAAGAGACAGGGCAGAGAGACAGAGAGACAGGGCAGAGAGACAGAGACAGGGCAGAGAGACAGAGAGAGACAGGGCAGAGAGACAGAGAGACAGGGCAGAGAGACAGAGACAGGGCAGAGAGACAGAGACAGGGCAGAGAGACAGAGACAGGGCAGAGAGACAGACAGGGCAGAGAGACAGGGCAGAGAGACAGAGAGACAGGGCAGAGAGACAGACACAGGGCAGAGATACAGAGACAGGGCAGAGAGACAGAGACACAGGGCAGAGAGACAGGGCAGATAGACAGAGACACAGGGCAGAGAGACAGGGCAGAGAGACAGAGATAGGGCAGAGAGACAGAGATAGGGCAGAGAGACAGAGATAGGGCAGAGAGACAGAGACAGGGCAGAGAGACAGAGACAGGGCAGAGAGACAGAGACAGGGCAGAGAGACAGAGACAGAGAGACAGGGCAGAGAGACAGAGACAGGGCAGAGAGACAGAGACAGAGAGAGCGCAGAGAGACAGAGAGAGAGAGACAGGGCAGAGAGAGACAGAGAGAGAGAGACAGAGAGACAGGGCAGAGACAGAGGAGAGACAGCGAGAGACAGGGCAGAGAGACAGAGACAGGGCAGAGAGACAGAGACGGGGCAGAGAGACAGACAGGGCAGAGAGACAGAGACAGGGCAGAGAGACAGACACAGAGACAGAGACAGGGCAGAGAGACAGAGAGACAGAGACAGGGCAGAGAGACAGAGACAGGGCAGAGAGACAGAGAGACAGCAGAAAGACAGAGCAGAGAGACAGCAGAGTGATCAGTGATTGGAGTGATCAGTGATTGGAGTGATCAGCCATGGAGGAGGAGTTTGAGGAAATCGACCGCGCAGGAAACTGGACAAAAATCTTTAATGTGAGTGTCTACGGGTCTCTGCTGTGTGATGAGTCTATGGGTCTCTGCTGTGTGATGAGTCTATGGGTTTCTGCTGTGTGATGAGTCTATGGGTCTCTGCTGTGTGATGAGTCTATGGGTTTCTGCTGTGTGATGAGTCTATGGCTCTCTGCTGTGTGATGAGTCTATGGGTCTCTGCTGTGTGATGAGTCTATGGCTCTCTGCTGTGTGATGAGTCTATGGCTCTCTGCTGTGTGATGAGTCTATGGGTCTCTGCTGTGTGATGAGTCTATGGGTCTCTGCTGTGTGATGAGTCTATGGGTCTCTGCTGTGTGATGAGTCTATGGGTCTCTGCTGTGTGATGAGTCTATGGGTCTCTGCTGTGTGATGAGTCTATGGGTCTCTGTGTGTGATGAGTCTATGGGTCTCTGCTGTGTGATGAGTCTATGGGTCTCTGCTGTGTGATGAGTCTGTGGGTCTGTGTGATGAGTCTGTGGGTCTCTGCTGTGTGATGAGTCTATGGCTCTCTGCTGTGTGATGAGTCTATGGGTCTCTGCTGTGTTAGTCTATGGGTTTCTGTTGTGTGATGAGTCTATGGGTCTCTGCTGTGTGATGAGTCTATGGGTCTCTGCTGTGTGATGAGTCTATGGGTCTCTGTGTGTGATGAGTCTATGGCTCTCTGCTGTGTGATGAGTTTATGGGTCTCTGCTGTGTGATGAGTCTGTGGGTCTCTGCTGTGTGATGAGTCTATGGCTCTATGCTGTGTGATGAGTCTATGGGTCTCTGCTGTGTGATGAGTCTATGGGTCTCTGCTGTGTGATGAGTCTATGGGTCTCTGCTGTGTGATGAGTCTATGGGTCTCTGCTGTATGATGAGTCTATGGCTCTCTGTGTGTGATGAGTCTATGGCTCTATGCTGTGTGATGAGTCTATGGGCCTCTGCTGTGTGATGAGTCTATGGGTCCTGTGAGTGATGAGTCTATGGGTCTCTGCTTTGTGATGAGTCTATGGGTCTCTGCTGTGTGATGAGTCTATGGCTCTCTGCTGTGTGATGAGTCTATGGGTCTCTGTTGTGTGATGAGTGTATGGGTCTCTGCTGTGTGATGAGTCTATGGCTCTCTGCTGTGTGATGAGTCTATGGGTCTCTGCTGTGTGATGAGTCTATGGGTCTCTGAGTGATGAGTCTATGGTTCTCTGCTGTGTGATGAGTCTATGGGTCTCTGCTGTGTGATGAGTCTATGGGTCTCTGCTTTGTGATGAGTCTATGGGTCTCTGCTGTGTGATGAGTCTATGGCTCTCTGCTGTGTGATGAGTCTATGGGTCTCTGTTGTGTGATGAGTGTATGGGTCTCTGCTGTGTGATGAGTCTATGGCTCTCTGCTGTGTGATGAGTCTATGGGTCTCTGTGTGTGATGAGTCTATGGCTCTCTGCTGTGTGATGAGTCTATGGGTCTCTGCTGTGTGATGAGTCTATGGGTCTCTGAGTGATGAGTCTATGGTTCTCTGCTGTGTGATGAGTCTATGGGTCTCTGCTGTGTGATGAGTCTATGGGTCTCTGCTGTGTGATGAGTCTATGGCTCTCTGCTGTGTGATGAGTCTATGGGTCTCTGTTGTGTGATAAGTGTATGGGTCTCTGCTGTGTGATGAGTCTATGGCTCTCTGCTGTGTGATGAGTCTATGGGTCTCTGCTGTGTGATGAGTCTATGGGTCTCTGTGAGTGATGAGTCTATGGTTCTCTGCTGTGTGATGAGTCTATGGGTCTCTGCTGTGTGATGAGTCTATGGGTCTCTGCTGTGTGATGAGTCTATGGCTCTCTGCTGTGTGATGAGTCTGTGGGTCTCTGCTGTGTGATGAATCTATGGGTGTCTGCTGTGTGATGAGTCTATGGGTCTCTGCTGTGTGATGAGTCTATGGGTCTCTGCTGTGTGATGAGTCTATGGGTCTCTGCTGTGTGATAAGTCTATGGGTCTCTGCTGTGTGATGAGTCTATGGCTCTCTGCTGTGTGATGAGTCTATGGGTCTCTGCTGTGTGATGAGTCTATGGGTCTCTGTGAGTGATGAGTCTATGGTTCTCTGCTGTGTGATGAGTCTATGGGTCTCTGCTGTGTGATGAGTCTATGGGTCTCTGTGAGTGATGAGTCTATGGTTCTCTGCTGTGTGATGAGTCTATGGCTCTCAGCTGTGTGATGAGTCTATGGGTCTCTGTGTGTGATGAATCTATGGGTCTCTGCTGTGTGATGAGTCTATGGGTCTCTGCTGTGTGATGAGTCTATGGATCTCTGTGTGTGATGAGTCTATGGGTCTCTGCTGTGTGATGAGTCTATGGCTCTCTGCTGTGTGATGAGTCTACGGGTCTCTGCTGTGTGATGAGTCTATTGGTCTCTGCTGTGTGATGAGTCTATGGGTCTCTGCTGTGTGATGAGTCTATGGGTCTCTGCTGTGTGATGAGTCTATGGGTCTCTGCTGTGTGATGAGTCTATGGGTCTCTGCTGTGTGATGAGTCTATGGGTCTCTGCTGTGTGATGAGTCTATGGGTCTCTGCTGTGTGATGAGTCTATGGGTCTCTGCTGTGTGATGAGTCTATGGGTCTCTGCTGTGTGATGAGTCTATGGGTCTCTGCTGTGTGATGAGTCTATGGGTCTCTGCTGTGTGATGAGTCTATGGGTCTCTGCTGTGTGATGAGTCTATGGGTCTCTGCTGTGTGATGAGTCTATGGGTCTCTGCTGTGTGATGAGTCTATGGGTCTCTGCTGTGTGATGAGTCTATGGGTCTCTGCTGTGTGATGAGTCTATGGCTCTCTGCTGTGTGATGAGTCTATGGGTCTCTGCTGTGTGATGAGTCTATGGGTCTCTGCTGTGTGATGAGTCTATGGGTCTCTGTGTGATGAGTCTATTGGTCTCTGCTGTGTGATGAGTCTATGGCTCTCTGCTGTGTGATGAGTCTATGGGTCTCTGTTGTGTGGTGAGTCTATGGGTCTCTGCTGTGTGATGAGTCTATGGGTCTCTGCTGTGTGATGAGTCTATGGCTCTCTGCTGTGTGATGAGTCTATGGGTCTCTGCTGTGTGATGAGTCTATGAGTCTCTGCTGTGTGATGAGTCTATGGGTCTCTGTGTGTGATGAGTCTATGGGTCTCTGCTGTGTGATGAGTCTATGGGTCTCTGCTGTGTGATGAGTCTATGGGTCTCTGCTGTGTGATGAGTCTATGGGTCTCTGCTGTGTGATGAGTCTATGGGTCTCTGCTGTGTGATGAGTCTATGGGTCTCTGTGTGTGATGAGTCTATGGGTCTCTGTGTGTGATGAGTCTATGGGTCTCTGTGTGTGATGAGTCTACGGGTCTCTGTGTGTGATGAGTCTATGGGTCTCTGCTGTGTGATGAGTCTATGGGTCTCTGCTGTGTGATGAGTCTATGGGTCTCTGCTGTGTGATGAGTCTATGGGTCTCTGCTGTGTGATGAGTCTATGGGTCTCTGCTGTGTGATGAGTCTATGGGTCTCTGCTGTGTGATGAGTCTATGGGTCTCTGCTGTGTGATGAGTCTATGGGTCTCTGCTGTGTGATGAGTCTATGGGTCTCTGTGTGTGATGAGTCTATGGGTCTCTGCTGTGTGATGAGTCTATGGGTCTCTGCTGTGTGGTGAGTCTATGGGTCTCTGCTGTGTGATGAGTCTATGGGTCTCTGCTGTGTGATGAGTCTATGGGTCTCTGTGTGTGATGAGTCTATGGGTCTCTGCTGTGTGATGAGTCTATGGGTCTCTGCTGTGTGGTGAGTCTATGGGTCTCTGTGTGTGATGAGTCTATGGGTCTCTGTGTGTGATGAGTCTATGGGTCTCTGTGTGTGATGAGTCTACGGGTCTCTGTGTGTGATGAGTCTATGGGTCTCTGTGTGTGATGAGTCTATGGGTCTCTGTGTGTGATGAGTCTATGGGTCTCTGCTGTGTGATGAGTCTATGGCTCTATGCTGTGTGATGAGTCTATGGGTCTCTGTGTGATGAGTCTATGGGTCTCTGCTGTGTGATGAGTCTATGGCTCTATGCTGTGTGATGAGTCTATGGGTCTCTGTGTGATGAGTCTACGGGTCTCTGCTGTGTGATGAGTCTATGGCTCTCATCTCTCGTCGCCGCCCCATGCGGCAGTGCAGCCTCTCGGTTTTTGTGTTTCGTGTTTGCGCGAGAAACGAGGAAGTGCCGCGGGAACTTTGTTGGTGTCGTCGTTCCGAGTGCGGCGCCGTCGCTACCAACCACCACCGGCATTCCGATGAACCGTGAAGCAACAAGCACCACCACTACCGTCACCACCACCACCGTCACTTCCGTCACCCCCACAGTCACCCCCACCGCCCCCACAGTCACCACCACCACCGCCCCCACCACCACCACCGCCACCACCGCCCCCACCACCACCACCACCGCCCCCACCACCACCACCACCGCCCCCACCACCACCGCCCCCACCACCACCGCCCCCACCACCACCACCACTACCACCACTACCAAGAGAGGCGTCACAAGATCCCAGGAACTAAATGAGCGTCATCGTTTTTTTCAGGAAAAGGGAAATTCCAGCAAATGTTGGGAAGTGATCGCGACGGTGACGGTGTGACGGTGACGGTGATAGTGTGACGGTGACGGTGTGATGGTGATCGTGTGACGGTGTGACGGTGTGACGGTGACGGTGTGATGGTGTGACGGTGAAGGTGTGACGGTGTGACGGTGTGACGGTGTGACGGTGACGGTGATCGTGTGACGGTGTGACGGTGATCGTGTGACGGTGTGACGGTGACGGTGTGACAGTGTGACTGTGACGGTGATGGTGACGGTGTGACTGTGACGGTGTGACTGTGACGGTGTGACGGTGACGGTGTGACTGTTACAGTGTGACTCTTACAGTGTGACTCTTACAGTGTGACTGACTGTAACGGTGTGACTGTTACAGTGTGACTGTGACGGTGTGACGGTGATGGGGTGATGGTGTGACGGTGATGGGGTGACGGTGTGACGGTGTGACGGTGATGGGGTGACGGTGTGAC